TGTAGACTCTTTTCATGTGTTTATTGAGCACTCATATGTTTTTGGAGAAATGTCTGTTCACATCCTTTGCCCAGTTTTAAATTGGGATGTCTCTTCATTATTTAATTAAGCTCTTTATAAAGTCCTTTATCAGATATATTACTTGCAAAAATTTTCTCCCAGGGGATTCCTGGGTGGCTCAGCAGTTTAGCGCCTTCCTTTGGGCTGGGGTGCGATCCTGGGGTCCCGGGATCGAGTCCTGCGTCGGGCTCCCAGCATGGAGCCTGCTTCTCCCTCTGCCTGTGTCTCTGCCTCTCTCTCTCTCTCCCCCTCCATGTCTATGATAAATAAAGAAATAAATAAATAAATAAATAAATAAATAAATAAATAAATAAATAAATCTTTAAAAAAATTTTTTTTCTCCCAACCTGTGAGTTGTCTCTTCATTGTTAATAGTGTAAAGCACAAAATTTTTAATCTTGATGAAGTTCAACTTTACTGTTTCTTTGGTTACTTTTGCTGTTGATGTCATATCTAAGAAACTATGGCCTATTCCAAGGACACAAAGGTTTACTCCTAGATTTTCTTCTAAGAGTATTATTTTTTTTTAGTATTATCATTTTGGCTCTTATATTTGTTTCCACTTCAAGTTAATTTTTGTATATGGTGGGAGTCAGGTGGCTCAACTTCATTCTTTTGTATCTAGTTGTTCCAGTACAATTTATTGAAAAGAGTATTATTTCCCCATTGAGTAGTTTTGGTACCCTTGTGAAAAATCAGCTTACCATAAATTGATTCATATGTTGTAACACATTGTCTTGATTACTGTAGCTGTCTGTGGGGATGAGTTTTTTTTTTTTTTAAGACTTTATTTATTCATTCATGAAAGACACAGAGAGGCAGAGACATATGCAGAGGGAGAAGCAGGCTCCATGCAGGAAGCCTGATGAGGGATTCGATCCCAAGGACTCCAGGATCACGCCCTGAGCCAAAGGCAGATGCTCAACCACTGAGCCACCCAGGCATCCCAACTGTGGATATTCTTATTTAAAATAACCAAATTGGACAAGTGGTAGTTTCCCAAAGGTTAACTGTAGTACAGAATCTGAAATCTCATCATTTTTTAATACTCTGGTACACCTTTCACACATGCATCTCTTTATAATATCATGTACAGGTCATTTGGAAAAAACTGGTTATGCAGATTTCCAAACATTAACATATTTTATGATATATTATCAAAAATAACCGTTGTTAAATCAATACTGATTTCTTTAGAAAAGTATTGAGAAGCTGTTATGTTATTGGTGTTAATAGGCAAGTGTTCCCCAAATTCAACTTTTCTCTTAAAATCTCAAATTTTAGCATTAACAAGTATTATTACTCTTCAGTCAAATCCTCAAGTTTGAATAACCCTGGTTTGTCCGCTAGTCACTCTTTCAAAACAGAAATGATGTACAATGAAAAAAGTGACACATTTTCACATTAGGTGCTTTTCCTTGAACACAGTCATCGCACTTCACTATGTAGCAAGTTTTATGTGTTTGGTATTTCTCATTTTGTTCCACAGATATTAAAGACATGTATCCAAGGGTCAAGATTTATTAAAAATTATTACATCAAAGACATTTTATCTACTTTTTAAAGATTATTTTTAATTAATCCCTACACCCAACATGGGGCTTGAATTCACAACTCCTTAAGAGTCACATGCTCCACAGACTGAGCCAGCCAGGCCCCTGGATCAGACATTTTAGATGACTTTTTTTTTTTTTTTAAACTGTGGTGAGGGTAAAGAGTATGACTACTCGTACAGTTTGGTGCCACTGCTCTGACTTGTTTTTTTTTTTTTTTTTTCACTGCTCTGATTTGTGCCAAGATACCAACAGTTTTACCCATCAAGAATTTTGCCTCATCAGTAAAACTTTCCATATAGTGAAAAAGGCAAATAATATCTTAGAATTATAGAAGTTTTGACTCTGTGGGCTCCCTGACAGTGCCCTGGGGACCCTCAGGGTTGGTGGTCCATTGCACGAATCACTGATCTAATTAATAGATCTAGGTAATGACCATCAAAAAGACAACCAGCATCATGTTTCCTAATGGAAGTATACACCACCATCGAGGTACATATTCTTGACAAAAATTCAATCTTGAATTTGACCAAGATTCTAAACCTAATAGTTTATGGCATATTCAAGAAACAGAAACATGTAAAATGGCAGATAAGGGAAATAATCAGCAAAACCCTGAATGTGGGAAACTTTTTAGAACGAATGATTGGGTTCTTTAAAAAATAAACTAGGTGGTGGTGGTGGTGGGCAAATGCCAGAAGCCTGTACATTGAAACTTTAAAGACAAGTCAAGCAACTGCAATGTGTAATAAATCTCAACTGGGTCCTGACTGAACCAAATTGTAAAAAAATTTTTTGAGAATGACATTTTCTGATATTAAGAAAGTTAGTTTTTTAGGTGTGACTATATCACAGTTCTTATATTTTAGAAACACATACTAAGGCATTTTTATTAAAATGCCTTAGATATGATAAGATGATAGAAAAGTTCCATTGATGCAGATTGCATAGAAATCCCGAGAAAAAGAGTAAAGGAGAGAGCAAAGTGTTGGGTGGGGCAGCACATGAAAGCACTGTTGATTGGTGCTATTTATGGTGAACACCCATGACCACCAGGGCAGAATCATGGACCCCAGTTAGCAACTCTGCTTTGAGGAATTTCCAAAAACAATTTCAAAGGTTCAAAACCATACCTTGAGATTTTACGTAAGAAAAAGCTGGCTAATAGATCTGCCCTACGACCCAGCAATTGCACTATTGGGGATTTACCCCAAAGATACAGATGCAATGAAACGCCGGGACACCTGCACCCCGATGTTTATAGCAGCAATGTTCACAATAGCCAAACTGTGGAAGGAGCCTCGGTGCCCATCGAAAGATGAATGGATAAAGAAGATGTGGTTTATGTATACAATGGAATATTATTACTCAGCTATTAGAAATGACAAATACCCACCATTTGCTTCAACGTGGATGGAACTGGAGGGTATTATGCTGAGTGAAATAAGTCAACTGGAGAAGGACAAACATTTTATGTTCTCATTTATTTGGGGACTATAAATAATAGTGAAAGGGAACAGAAGGGAAGGGAGAAGAAATGAGTAGGGAGTATCAGAAAGGGAGACAGAACATAAAGACTCCTAACTCTGGGAAACGAACTAGGGGTGGTGGAAGGGGAGGAGGGCAGGGGGTGGGGGTGAATGGGTGACGGGCACTGAGGGGGGCACTTGACGGGATGAGCACTGGGTGTTATTCTGTATGTTGGCAAATTGATCACCAATAAAAAATAAATTTATTATTAAAAAAAGGAAAAAAATTAAAAATTAAAAGAAATAATAAAAAAAGAAAAAGCTCGCTAATGGTCTAATAAATTAGAATTATTCTATTCTTCTTCAACACATATTTATTGAGCATCTGTATTCTATGCTACATATGCCAGTAAAGCACTAGGGGAAATACAAAAATAAGACAGCTCTCAGTTGGTAACAGAGACACACAGTGGTTGAGAGGTTTCACTCCAGTAATTACTGAGCATTTAATTGCTAGTTGTGAAAGATCTGAGGGTCAACTTTAGATACTTTGTGTGAAACCTAGGTAGGAAACGAAAGCAGATCAAGTAAATAAGGAAGATCACAAAAATCCCTGCCCCTAGATTCATCCTTTTTTTCCCAAGTAATTACTTGAGCTGAATGACAGGTGACTATTTGTTGGGTACTCTTGCCTTGATTGTCCACTTAGACACTCAAGACTGTATCACTATCATTTATCTTTCTCAAGAGAAAGTTTGGTATTGCAGTAAAAATTAATGTTTTTTACTGGTGTGCCTATCACAAGCCATGTGCCTATGCAAGGTGTTCGGTGTTACAGTAGTGAAAAATCTGAAGGGTCCTTTCCTCTAAGAAGTGTATAATCTAATGGGGGTAAAAAGAGATTTAAAATCTTCACCTTATGTTCCAATAAAACCAACATGTATTACTTTTAAAATAATGATGGCTCATATCACCAGACTGAGGAAGGCATATTATCAGAGAACATCTGCAGATGTTTTAAGAAGTAATCTGGTAAAGAGATAGAGCTTTGTTCTCAGTAGGATGAGACTGAGAAGAAAATATTAAAGAGATTAAGCAAATGACATTTTTGGACTAGAGTAATAATGATGAAATTCAGTAACCTAAAGAAAGATCACAGTTCTATGGAATGAGAAATGTGGTTTTCAGATAGACTGTTACTTTCCAGAATTAGCAAAGAAAAGTTATGGAGATTTATTTCAGAAAAGCAACCAGGAACTGATACAGAAACCAAAAAGTCAATACAGCATGAGGCTCAGGAGAGTACACAAAAGCGAGTCTTCCTGGATTTGAATCCTAGAGCTGCTATGCACTAATTATAAGAATCTTAGGAAAGTTACTTTACCTAAAGCTTTTATTTTCCAATAGAAAATAAATATCATGATAATAATAGCTATTTCGTAAGACTGTTTTAAGGATTAAATGGGTCAACATATGTAAAATACTTAAGTAATACCTGGTATATATTAAGTTCACTATTATTATCTAGTGAAAATAATCAACATGAAATTAAACATAGTTTAATATTAAACAAAATCCGCATCCCCATATTCTGACATAACAAGAAACAGATTAAAAAAAAGAGGGGAGGTGTCTGGGTGGCTCAGGTCATGATCTCAGGGTCATGGGATCAAGACCCACATTAATTTAAGCTCTGTGCTCAGCAGGGAGGGGAGTCTGCTTGAGATTCTCTTCCTCTGCCCCTGCCCACGCTTGCACACACATGCTCACTCTCTCTCTCAAAATAAATAAATAAATCTTGGGGGGTGGGGAGTACAGGGCAGCAGGTGAAAAGGTTATTAAGTGTACAAAATGGTTTACTTAAAAAAACTGACACTCTGAAAACAATTTTTCAGAATGATTCAACTCACTAAACATCTGTAAACAAGAATAAATTTATTTAATTTCTTTTAAAGATTTTATGATATACAAAATGTATATAGTATAATATCTTTAATACACTTTTTCTTTCTCCCCCCCCTTTAATATTAAACACTATTTAAACAGCTTATCTCTTCTTGCCTTGTCTGTATCTATGAGATACACTACTGAATACAAGTAAGATTTACACTGCTCCTTCCTAAATAAAAATTAAAATTAGTACCTAGGAAACAAACAAACAAAAAAAAAATCAAAGCATAAAACTTTAGTAAGATGAAAGCTTTTCTTGTTGAGTATTCAACAATATCTGGGGCAGTTAAATTACATTTTATTGGCATAAAGTTACATTGCAATCTCCCGACATCACATAATGATAATCCAACTCAGTTTCTTAAATAAGTACCACAAACAATACTCATGTTCAGATGTTCCTACACAATTTTAAATATATGAAAGAATTTATGTTTACATTCTGATTTGATATACTGGTCAATAAAATCTTTGGAGAAGTATGTAGCTTCCAGGTTGTCACTAGATATAGATAGGAAAAAAGCACTTTTAACTCTTTTTACAAGGTAACTTCTCTTGAATAGCAAGTTAAGTTTCTCCTCTGATATATTTAGGTTATACCAGTCTACCATGGCTTTCTTCTACTTATCAAGGACTTGATAAAACAATGTTTAAAAAAAAAAACCACACTAATACTTTTGCACAATTTGGGCTCTATTTAACAAAAAAACTAGCTCCATCCTTAAATATGAAGCCTAATCCTGATTCATAAGTCCCTCTTAGAAAATGGTTTTCAGCTCAGGGTTCTTGTATCCCTATGGATCTAGAATAACAAGTCACCTCCTTTCCCATGGCCAACAAGCATCTAGCTGGGAACTAGTGACATCATCACTGAACACACTAAAACACACTGAGGAAGACGTCCGCCATTTAACCAAAAGGCTGAGTGATTTCTTCATTTCACTAGCTGAACGGCAGTAAACCAGCTGCCAATAAAATCTGCACAGACACTTAACTTTGGTTAATGGTATTGCACCACATAAGCGAGGGTATCACCCTCATCAGAACAAAGTGAAATGAAATCTTCTGCTAAAAAGAGCCCTTTAAAAAGTTATAAATACTAATTTTCCTTTACCTTTAAACTTTAACAGCTGCCAGCTGTATCCTATAGGGAGTTCCTGACTGACTACTTTAAACAGGCCAAAAGAATATTGACCTTTTAACTGTGCCAGAATTAGCATATTCATTTGCACACACTTTTCTCTATTACCAATTTCCTCCTGAAGGAAAAATGACTAGGTAACATTTTTGTGAGGTGTATGCTAAATCAATGATTCAGTAATATTATAACATCAGACGAATAGAATTAGTTGATTCTGATTCTTTGGTGGAATTTCCAGGCTGAAGAGTCAAATCTGAAGGCTCATCCTGAGGAAATATAATTTTATCAGGTGTATAGTCATTCCTCTTCAGATCTATATTCATAACCACAAAAAAAAGAGGAAAGGAAAAACAGTCAATATTTCATAGAAATGAAAAATTAAGAACATTTTCTAAATCAATTTTCTTCTAAAGTCTCAAAATTTACATACATAAAAATGAAATCATTCATTCATTGAAAAGTAAGTATTATGTTCTGACCATGAGTCAGTAACTCATGTTAAGAGTAGAAAGAGCAATAAGCAAGTCAGACAAGGTCCTTCCTTTCATGGAGCTTATATTCTTCTGGATGAAAAAACACAAATAGAAAAATAACAGAATTGTGTAGTAATAAAGTGCTTTGAAGCAAACAGTATGATGAGGGCCAGATAGGAGATGGTATGTAAGCGGATTCTTTTAGACAAGGCTGAGCAGAAGAGGCAAAGGAGGTAATATTTGAGTAGAGACCTGAATGTTGAAAAATGACTCAAAGCTCCAGGAAGTGTGTTCTAGGCAGAGGGAAGATTAACTGAAGACTGTAAAAAGGAAACAGATGTGCTGTTTCCTAAAAATAACAAGAAGACTGCATGCTTGCATGTAGTAACTGATGGAAAGACTACTAGAAAATGGGGTCAAGCAGCAGTTAATGGCCAAGGGTTGTCAAAAATATAGTCAGTGAGCCAAATCTCACCTGCTACATATTTTTGTAAATAGTTTTATCAGAATGAACCATGCTCATTTGTTTACAGATTGTCTATGTCTATTTCTGTACTACCATGGTAGAGCCAGGTAGCTGTGACATAGGCCATTTGGCCATATTTTACTACCTTGCCTTTTACTATAAAGTTGCTGACCCCTGATCTATGAGATGCAAGCTAAGGTAAGGTAGTAAGCAGAAGGTATTAAGCAGTGTTAAAGGAAGAACATAACCAAACTTAACTGACTATTCTGTCACATGAAGTCTTGTTAAGGGCATTTGGCAAGAACACAGGAAATGAATGGTGGCAACGAAGATTAAGAGAAATGGACGAATTCTAGGAAGATTTCAGAATCAGAGTGGACAAAATTTGACAGATTGGCTAAGAAAGGTGAGAGAAGAAAAACAGATCAGCTTTTAGGTTTTGAGCCTGCACAACTGCGTAAAAACTTTAATGAGATAGGGAAGTGCAGAGGTGGTAAATGAGCCTCCAGAGTTCTGGAATGGACATATTACTTATAAAGACGATCCACAGTATCCCAGTAGAGATGCAGGAAACTGAATATACAAACAAGAGTTCAGGAAGGATGGGATGTCTTTAGTTTAAATTTGATACTATCAGTATTTAGATTACATTTATACCTATGGGACAGGATGAAACAATTTTGGGAATTATAGACAACAGTTGCAGAATTGGAAAACAATGCAGTAATATCAAATTTTACTTAAAACTAACCATAGTCCTGCATATATTCTTATACTTCTTTTTATCTCCATATAAAATAAAACCCAGGGATCCCTGGGTGGCACAGCGGTTTAGCGCCTGCCTTTGGCCCAGGGCGTGATCCTGGAGACCCAGGATCGAATCCCACGTCGGGCTCCCGGTGCAAGGAGCCTGCTTCTCCCTCTGCCTATGTCTCTGTCTCTGCCTCTCTCTCTCTCTCTCTCTCTCTCTGTGACTATCATAAATAAATAAAAATTAAAAAAATAAAATAAAATAAAATAAAATAAAACCCAGAATATGAACTGTTCATTTTGAGTGGTAGCCTGTATTCAATGATCTAAATACATATTTGCTACTTAACAAGTTAAGTTTTGATAAATTCTGAATTCAAGATTGTGCCACTATGGCCTTAAGGGAATGCAAATTAACTTGTAGCTGTATTGTACACGAAGAACAATACAGAAAAACCCAATTATAATTCAAGTCCCGAAAATGTTGTTAACTTATGGTATAACCATAGACAGATCATCTGACCTCTAATGATATATTCTGGAAAATGACAGATTTGGACTGGATTGCTTTTAGGGTCTCTTTCAAGCTACAAAATCCTGATTATATTAATAATTTTTAAAAATAGATATACTATACTTAAAATATCATTGGATCCAAATGATATAATTTATATATAGTATATAATTACATACAACTTATGTTATATAATAAGCAAATAAAAATTAGATCTGGGCTTCCTATTTAATTCATCACTGCTATGTTCTAGTTCTGGCTAAAATGGACTAAGCATACTCTATCACAGATCACAAGTAAAAACCCTTCACATAAACATAAAGCCACTATCTGGGACTCCTGAAAAGTAGGAGCAAAAATAATGAGGAAGGGGATCAAAACTTAAAGAATGACCTAGATTGATGGTAAGTTTCCTGTTTTTTTTTTTCTCCACTCTCTTATTTCTAGGTTAGACTTATAGATAGCTTAATCTCAGAAATGTACATGGATAGAAAAAGCTCTAAGATTTTCTAGCCAGAGGATCAGGAAGGAGGACTCTGTGGGATGGAGAGTGTTGAGGGGGAATGCCCTCTTTCTTATTTTTTGCTTTTTGTTCTTCTGGCTATTACCTAAAACAAGCTCCAGTCATGGAGAGGCACTCTTGGGAGTGGTGGCAGCTGAGCAAGAGAAAAACCCTTCTCTGGGACCACAAGAACTAAAAAATGGGTATCTTTATGATCCAAAAAGTTTTTTTTTTCTTTTTCCTTGCCATTAGCATCAGAAATGGACTCAGTTGAAGGAAATGCATGACAGTACAGGGAGGCCACAAACCTGGCTTTCTAATCAGCATACCCCATCTGTCCCCCACCCTTCCATTCTGCTCAAAAAGAGGCCCATAACAATCACAAATCATGGAACAGAAGAAAATGGAGAGGGATACCCTAAATTTTTGTATGAAATCCCAAGTTCACCCTTGAGTGGTACACATGTGGAAAGATAGCACAGAATAGGCTTCGAGGACTAAACTATGGTGCAGACCTCCACTCAGTCCCCAGACTTGACCATGTTTGACACGTAGTCAAAGAGATCTGAGAAATACTGCAAAGGCTTTGAAAATCAAACTGACATTGGAATCACAGCTACAAAGGTAGACTGGGACTTGTAAATTGAGCTTAACTGAGCTGTCTACTAACACAAACAAAAATTGACACTCTCTAGAGAATTTTTAGTAAGACCCAGAATCTCATAGTATTCAAAATATCCAGGACACATTCTAAAATTACTGGAGTCTCAAAGACTCTCAAAGAAAAAGACAAAACATGCCAACCTCAAGATTACTCAGATGGAATCATCAAAGACTTTATAGTGCTACTGTGACTACGCTCTATGAAGCAGGGCAAACAGACCTGAGATGAATGGAAAAACAAGTTTTAAGCAGAGAATCAGTTTAAAAAGAACCAAAAGGAAGTTACAGGACTGAAAAATAGGACTGAAACAACAAATCCAGTGTATGGGCTTAAAAGCATAATGAAGAAATGAAGAATAAGAGTGAACTTGATAGATCAACAGAAATTATCCAATCTAAACAGATAAAAAAATAATTTTAAGGAAATACCCAGAGACTCAAGTCCCTGGGAAAATATCAGAAAGTCTAATATTCTTATTATAATGGGAGCTCCAGAAACAAATGAAAAGAGATTGATGCAGAAGAAATATTTGAAGAACAGCTAAAAACTCCCCAAATTTTATAAAAATCATAAATTTGTAAATTCAAGAATCTAAATAAACCTGAACCAAGATAAACTCAGAGAAAGCTACAACTAGACATATCAGAATCGAACTGCTAAAAACCCAAGTTTTGAAAGAAGCAAGATTATAATGACAAATCACATACAGGGGAAGAACAATTCAAATGACAGTGAAGTTTTCATCAAAAGAAACAGAGGCCAAAGACAACAGAACATTTTCTTTTTTTCTTAAAGACTTTATTTATTCATGAGAGAGAGAAAGAGAGAGGCAGAGAGACACAGGCAGAGGGAGAAGCAGGCTCCCTGCTGGGAACCTGATGTGGGACTGGATCCTGGGATCACATCCTGGACCAAAGGCAGACGCTCAACCACTGAGCCACCCAGGCAGCACAACATTTTCTAAGCCCTGAAAGAAAGTAGTATCAACCTAAAATTCTAGATCCAGTAAAAATATCCTTCAAGCATGAAAACAAAACACATACATGCTTGATAAGAAAAACTAAGAGCAACCACTAAAAAACTAAACAGAGTCAAAACAGAATACTAAAACAGGGAAGCCTGGGTGGCTCAGCGGTTTAGTGCTGCCTCCAGCCCAGGGCATGATCCTGGAGTCCCGGGATCGAGTCCCACATTGGGCTCCCAGCATGGAGCCTGCTTCTCCCTCTGCCTGTGTCTCTGCCTCTCTCTCTCTCTCTGTGGGTGTGTCTCTCATGAATAAATAAATAAAATCTTTAAAAAAAAGAATACTAAAACAGATAGCAGCAATGTCCACAACAGCCAAACTGTAGAAGAAGCCTTGGTGTCCATCGAAAGATGAATGGATAAAGAAGATGTGGTCTATGTATACAATGGAATATTACTCAGCCATTAGAAATGACGAATATCCACCATTTGCTTCAACGTGGATGGAACTGGAGGGTATTCTGCTGAGTGAAGTAAGTCAATCGGAGGACAATCATATTATGGTTTCACTTATACAGGAAATATAAAAAATAGTGAAAGAGATTATAGGGAAAGGAGAGAAAATGAGTGGGAAAAATTAGAGAGGGTGACAAAACATGAGACTCCTAACTCTGGGAAATGAACAAGGGGTAGTGGAAGGGGAGGTGGGCGGGGGGGATGGGGTGACTGAGTGACATGCACTGAGGGGGCACTTGATGGGATGAGCACTGGGTGTTATACTATATGTTGGCAAATTGAATTTCAATAAAAAAATAATAAAAAAATGCAAAAAAACCAGAAGGGGGGCTGGAAACCAAAAATAAACAAAATAAAAAAACAAACAAAAAATAAGAGTTATCAATCAGAAAACAATAAAACAAGATCTAAATCTAACCACTTCAATAATTACATTAACTGGGGATGCCTGGGTGGCTTAGTGGTTGAGTGTCTGCCATCGGCTCAAGGTGTGATCCCAGAGTCCCAGGGATTGAGTCCTGCATCGGGCTCCCTGCATGGACCCTGCTTCTCCTTCTGTCTACGTCTCTGCCTCTCTCTCTGTGTCTCTCATGAATAAGTAAATAAAAATAAAATCTTAAAAAAAAATAATTACATTAAATGTAAAATGTCTGAAACACCAGTTAAAAATGGAAATAGTTAAGTTAAAAAAATAAAATTAATTAAACCTAAAACCCAACTATAGGCTGTATAGAAGAAACCCATTTTTTATTTTTTTTAATAATAAATTTATTTTTTATTGGTGTTCAATTTACCAACATACAGAGTAACACCCAGTGCTCATCCCATCAAGTGCCCCCCCCCCTCAGTGCCCGTCACCCATTCGCCCCCACCCCCCGCCCTCCTTCCCTTCCACCACCCCTAGTTCGTTTCCCAGAGTTAGGAGTCTTTATGTTCTGTCTCCCTTTCTGATATTTCCCACACATTTCTTCTCCCTTCCCTTATATTCCCTTTCACTATTATTTATATTCCCCAAATGAATGAGAACATATAATGTTTGTCCTTCTCCGATTGACTTACTTCACTCAGCAGAAACCCATTTTTTTTAAAGGAACCCACATAAATATAACACGTGTAGGCAAAAAAATTGGAAAAGATATCTGATTAAACCATTTATCAAAAATTAGCTGGAGTAGCTATGTTAATATTAGACAAAGCAGATTTCTCAAAACAAGAATTACCATGGTGTTACATAAAGATAAAAAGAATAAATTCACCAAGAATATATAATAACTGTAAATGTGTATGTACCTAATAACAAAATTTCAAAATACATGAAGAAAAAACTGATAGAACTGAAGGTAACAAAGACAAATCCACAACTGCACTTTCAAGACCTCCTTTCTAAGCAATCAACAAGAGCAAGGAGACAAAACCATCAAGAATAAAAAGGTAGTGAATAACACTACCAAAAACTAAAAACCTTCCTTAATTATCATTTACAGAATACTCCATCCAACATTATAATATTCTCTTCAAGTGCATATGCAACATTCACAAACTGTATCCTTTTAAGTTAAGAAAAATCTTTCAAAATTGAAATCATACAAAGTATGCTCTCTTATAATGGAATGAAAAAAATCAACAACAGAAAGATATCTGGAAAATTTACACATAACTGAGTGCTAAGAAAGATGCTGTAAATAATTCCTAGGTCAAAGAGGAAATCTCAAAAGAGAAGAAATATTTTAAAGAAAATAAAACCAAAAGGAAACATATCAAAATTTATGGGATGCAATGTAATGCTTAAAGAGAAATTTATAGCAGTAAATGTTTTGTTAGAGAAAAAGGTCTCAAATCAATAACTTAAGCTTTGTCCTTAACAAACGAAAAAACAAACTGGATGTGAACCAGCAGAAAGACAGAAAAAATAGAGTAAAACAACGAAAAGCTTGTTCTTTGAAAGTATCGATAAAATTGACACACCGTAGGGGCACTTATGTAGCTCAGTGGTTGAGCTTCTACTTTTGGTTCAGGTCATGATCCCGGGGTCCTGCGATTGAGTCCCACACCAGGTATCCCCCCAGGGAGCCTGCTTCTCCCTCTGCCTATGTCTCTGCCTCTCTCTGTCTCTCTCATGAATAAATAAAATAAAAAAAAAATCTTAAAAACAAAAACATTTACATACTGTAGCCAGAATGACCAAGAAACAAAAAAGACAAATTACTATAATAAGAGAAGATTCATCAGAACCCAAACATTAAAAAAGATTAGTATATAAATAATTCTATGTTCATAAATTTGACAATTTAAATAAAACAAACCAATTCCTTTCAAAGACACAAACTACTAAAAACTTACTAAAAAAAATGGATAACCAATAGTCCTCTATTAAAAAAAATTAAACTTATTTAAAACCATTTCACAAAGAACTTTAGACTGAGATGTTTCATTAGACAATTCTATCAAACATTTAAAACAAGGAGAGCATTAATTCTATATAATCTATTCCCCAAAACAGAAGAGGTACGAACACTTCTAACTTCTTTTTAAGGTCTTTATTATCCTCATACCAAAAGAAGGGAAAAATGGTACAAGGAAAAACAAATGTAGACAAATGTTATTCATGAACACAGACATAAAAAGCCTCAACACACACACACACACACAAAAAAAAAAGCCTCAACAAAATATGAGCAACTATATTAAAAAAGATAGTATTATGACAAAGTAGTTTGTCCTGAATGTATGACTGGTTCAACATTTCAAAAATCAATGTAATACAATGTACCATTAACCTATTAAAGAAGAAAAAACAAATAACCATATAAATAGATGCTAAAAAATTTTGACAAAATTAAACACCCATTCAGGGTAAGAATTTTCAGGAAACAAGTAGAAGAAAATTTTCTCAACTTAATAAAATGCATCTACAAAACCCTTACAAGCTGACATCATGTTAATGGTGGAGGACTGACACTTTCCCTTTAAGATTAGGAACAAAGCAGATTTTACTTTCGCTACTCCTATTCAACCTTGTATTGGAATTCCTTGCAAGTGCAAAAAGTCAAGAAAAAGAAATAAAAAGTAAATAGGTTGGAAAGGAAGTAATAGAACTGTCCCACTGTCCCTACTATCTACACAGAAAATTTCAGGGAGTTTACAAAACAAAACAAAACTCTTAGAATTGAGTCTAAAAGGTTATAGAACACAAGGTCAATAAACAAAAAAAAATAAATAAACAAAAAAAACCAAACACAAACATTAATGATATTCTGTACACTAACAATGAACAATTAAAAAGTTAAAAAACATTATTCACATGCTTACTATGTGCTTGGCACTGTTCTAAGTACTTCATAAATACCAACTCATTTAATCTTCAAACAAACAAACAAAACTATACCTCTATAAAACAGGGATTTTCTGGAGTATGCAGTCTGGCTCCCAACTCTAAGCTCTTAACTATTACATTACTGGTCATAATGACAGAACTTCAAAAAACCCAGCTCGAGTGTGAATCCCAGGAACCTGTAATCTTTAAAAAGTTCCACAGGAGATGCTGATGCATACCAAAGGGTGAGAACCACTGGTCTGTGCTATAACTTAAGATTCATCATAATTTTATTTCTTTAAATATAAAAATGAAATTACAATTCTGAAAGAATTTATCTGTGGTTCCTGTTCCCTACTTCATGGAATACTCTTTCCCCAGTTCTGCCAGGCTAACTTGAAAGTCTATTTAACCCTCAATTTCAGGCAATCTGTTAGTTCCCCAGGTAGCATTTGCTTTACCTTTTGTATTTCTTCTACTTGACATTTATGACAGTCCTATAACTCCCTATTAATCCTGTTGTATTCAAATTTGACTAAATTCCATTGAGGGCAGAGATCACATCTGTCTGGTTCACTAATGTATTGTCAACACCTAGTACAATTCTTGGCATCCAAAAGACACATAATAAATATGTATTAAATTAACAATTTTGTATTTTTATAAGCAATTAAAGAAAGCGTAGATCCACTTATTAAATTATGTGTATTTGTATCTTTGGCCTAATAAAGTATTGTAGTAACCAAATTTGCTAACATTTTATACATTATACTATTTAAGAAAATGTTTACCTGGAAGTTTAAGCTTTCTACAACAAGAATTACAGTGATGTTTTGCTCTGAAGTTTTTTATTGCATCTTCACCTAGATTTGCTGGGCCAAAAACCATATCACAGGATCTGGAATTGGTAGTTTAAAAAAAAAAAAGGCAATTTATGCAAATAGAAATGTAGAATTTGAAATTATAAAAATATTTTAATGAAATTATTAAAACTTATTACCTCTTTTCTTCTGCCTTTATCACAGATGGGTCAGTCAAATTTTCACCCACACCTTTATATGTATATATAAAAAAAGACAATTTGTATGATTGATGTAGACACTGACACTTGAGTAATAAAAAAATCATGAGAGATTTTATAGTGTTATTAATTATATAGCATTATTCAAGAGGGTATTTTTTTCTCTTGATATTTTATAATGACTATGAAATTGCCAAAGTTCGTAGATAGGCAGATGAGCTCCCAATGGCACTGCTTCTGATACAACAGGGACAAAGTTGCAAATAAACATCTCCGTATGTAAAAGATCTACATGATCTCCCTGTTTTTCTTTAAGATTTATGTATTTATTTGAGACCAAGACAGAAAGAGCAAGCGAGTGCAAGCAGGGGGAGGGGCAAAGAAGAGGGGGACAGAATCCTTAAGCAGGCTCGAGGCTGAGCGCAGAGCCAGATGCCAGGTTTGATCTCATGACCCTAAGATGACCTGAGCTGAAATCAAGAGTCGTAAGCTTAACCAACTGAGCCACCCAGTTTCCCTTTCCCTTTTTCAACGTAGCAAAGAACAATTAGATACATGAAAGCATAATTTATAGGCCATTTTAAAAGTGTTTTTGGTTTTTTAAAACTGCTACACTAACATATGAATATATCCTCTTGTAGTCTGCTTGACTCTCTCTCTCTAAAATAAATAAATCAATCATTTCTTTAAAACAAGATTATTCGACACTGGAGAGTCTGTGGAGAAATGGGCATTCACAAACAGTGCTAAGTATGAATTCCTATAACCTTTTGGAAAAGGAACCCAGCAGTAGCTATTAAAACTGTACCCATTTCTAACTTAAGCCAATTCAGGAATATGGACATAAAAGTAGCAATACATGAGTATGTTTGTTGCAGCATTGTTTATAGTAGCAAAAAAGAAAAAAAAAGACTAAATTATGTCACTCCTCCATATTATATTATGCAAATATTAAAAGGAGTAACTTAGATTTATCAGTAACGACCCAAAAGATGCCCATGACATAGCTGGAAAAAGAACGAGTGAAATACACACACATACACACACACGGCATCATCCCAGTAGAGGAAAATCACAACATAAAACAAAATAATCAAAAATAAGAAAAAAGGGGGCACCTGAGTTGCTCAGTGGGTTAAGTGTCTTGACTCTTGATTTTGGCTCAGGTCATGATCCTAGGGCTGTGAGATGGAGCCCCAACTTGGGCTCCACACTGGGCATGGGCCCTGCTAAAGATCTCTCTCCTGCTCTACTCCCTCTTTAAAAAATTAAAAAAAAAATTTAAAAGGTAAAAAAAAGCCTCCATTTGTGTATTTGTCTTCATAAAAGTAGAGAAATAGTAAAGATGGGAAAACCGTTCTTTATATATTTCTATATTGTTTAACTTGTTTGCAGTAATTGTGTCAAATATTCCTATGAAAAATGGCTTCAGGAACATATTAATGATATAAAGAACGGCACTACTTTCCTTAGTGAAAATAACTCCCATCTTTTATTTTTATTTATTTGTTTTAAGTAAGCTCTACTCTCACATGGGACTTGACTGAGATCAAGTCATAAGCCCTGGGGGGCCTGGGTGGCTCAGTCGGTTAAGTATGTATCTGCCTTTGGTCATGATCTTGGGGTCTTGGATCCAAGTCTCTGGTCAGGCTCCCTGCTCAGTGGGAAGCCTGCTTCTCGTGCTCCCTCTGCTCCTCCTCACCCATGAGCTCTCTCATTCACTCTTTCTCAAATAAATAAATAAAATCTTAAAAAATAAAAAAGGTCACAAGCCATACCAAAGGAGTCAGCCAGGCACACTAACTCCCATCTTTTAAATTAATAGTTCAGACAAAATCTGTTTGGCTTTATCTCCTATGCATGTTTGAAGATAATTAAAGGATGCTTATTTAGGAATAAACTTTAAGGGGAGCCCTGGGTGGCTCAGTAGTTTAGCGCCTGCCTTTGGTCCAGGGCACAATCCTGGAGACCCAGGATCGAGTCCCACGTCGGGCTCCCTGCATGGAGCCTGCTTCTCCCTCTGCCTGTGTCTCTGCCTCTCTCTCTCTCTCTCTCTGTCCATCATGAATAAATAAAATCTTAAAAAAAAAAAGGAATAAGCTTTAAGATCCTTTTTACTTAATTGGATTGACTTGTCTAACATTTTACATCGGTGTCACTATATATACTACTAAATCATTTATGTAAAATGATGAACTACTGAAAAAAGGATAGTTATTTTTACAGAGATTTTCTTTCTTGAGCTTGAATCAATGCCATTTACTTTTCAGCACAACCCTTTATATTTGTGACTGTATATAACAAAAAAATTTATCAAGTGATAAACATTCTAAAAAATTTTCTTTATGTGATTTTGAAATCTGGTCTGTGTTAACATTTGAAATTAAGGCTGCTCTTCAGGAAAAAAAATTATGGAAGCTATAATGTGAAAGTACAACTCAGGCAGAGTTGGCAACTTGCTCAGTTTTATTTTCCTTTGACCCTATTGTGAAGCTTCAGACATTACTCTGAGCAAATTTGCCCTCTCCAAGCCACAACTTTCTTTTTCTATGTATGAGAGTTTGTCTACAAAAATGGTTATGATCAGTTTTTCCTTCCTTGTATATACGTGCTACTCTACTCAAGAAGTGCTGGAATCCATTTCCACCTCTTGAATCTGGGCTGTCCTTATTATCTGTCTTTACCAGTAAAATATGGAGGAAGAGATCTGAGCTAGTTCTGGACTTAGTCCTCAGAGTTTCTGCTTTCTCTCTGTAGGAAGCTAGCTGCTATGTAAAGTCTAACTATCCAAAACTACCATGCTAGGAGAAAGTCCCGTTAATCAGCCGTTGGAAAGGTCGCATGGCGGAGAACTGAGGGATTCAGATGTCAGAGAACAGCAACCTCAGACATCTGACTCCAGTAAGCTGTCCATACTTACTCTCCAGCCATTCAAACCCTCTGAGGAGATAGCAGAAATAAGCCATCCCCACTATGCCCATTTCAAATTCCTGAAACCAAAGAACTGTAAGCAAATAAAATGGTTGTTTTAATCCATTAAATGTTTAAGTAGTTTAGTTCACAATAGTAGATAATATAAACACCAGGAATAACAAAATACCTGTTACTGTTACAAAGAAACAGTCTTAATAATTCTAAAGGACTGAGGCTACATACACATCTAAAAGTAGAATAGTGGGGGGGATCCCCAGGTGGCTCAGCAGTTTAGCACCTGTTTTTGGCGCAGGGTGTAATCCTGGGGTCCCGGAATCGAATCCCACATCGGGCTCCCTGCGTGGAGCCTGCTTCTCCCTTTGCCTGTGTCTCTGTCTCTCTCTCTCCCTGTGTCTCTCATGAACAAGTGAATAAAATCTTTTAAAAATAAATAAAATAGTGGATTGCATGTATTTTTATCAAAATATGTATTATCCAAACAATAATTAAGATAGCAAGATCCCACCATTCAGGGAGGACCCTGATGGCTATATGCTAATGGTTATTGACTTGCTTTTTTAATAGCTTCTACTGACCCACAGTTGTTTTTTTGTTATTGTTTTAAGATTTTTATTTATTTATTTGTGAGAGGCACAGAGACAGAGGCAGAAATATAGGCAGAGGGAGAAGCAAGCTCCCTGTGGGGAGCCCGATGCGATCCCAGGACCCCAGGATCATGACCCGAGCCAAAGACAGACACTCGACACTCAACCACTGAGCCACCCAGGTGTCCCCTGACCCATGGTTTTACCTATGTGTAAATTAATGGATTTCGGTATATCGCTCATAACATATGAATAGGTGAGAATCTACTGTACAATTACACCGTAGCAAAACTTTAATAAACTTACCTTGTAAATCAAGTACCAATAACTCCCCTCTTGTATATTCATAAGTCCAGTGGCTAAAGGCTAGCATGATCTCTTCCAGTGTATTAGTTGGAATAATCTCATCACCATTATTATTGTTGTATTTTCTAAATTCTCCAGTCATACATTCTTCCACAGCAAACCACTGTCCTGCTGAATGGCAATACAGCAGGAAAACTTCAAGGAACCTTATGAAAAACAGTTACAGACATTACTAGCAGTTTTGTTAATAAAATTCTAATTGAGCTTTAAAATGGGTAAATAAATAATAAATAATAAATAAATAATAAATAAAATGACTTTTATTATTATAAAAGTCAAAAGAGGATGCCATCCATATAAAACCAAAGATCTCAAGAAAAATTTCAAGATTTACCTTGGAGAATATGGTATGGATTTGGGTTTCATTTGGTTGAAAGCAAATGTGAGCTTCTGTGCTGCTCTCTGTTGTTGAATTTCCTATAGAGCAACAAAAATACACATATACAAAAAAAAAACCCTGTTGAAAACTGAAACTAAAATCTTATTTGGTTTAACATACTTTAGAAGTGAAAACATGAACCTTAAATAATGCTCCACTGTTACACATTCACTAGCACTTACTCTGAGACACAGATGCAGAACTGTATCTTCTTTATAAATACTTGACCATGTGTTAACCACCTCAGGAAGAAAAGATTTGATAATATAAAGATGGCCTGATTTGAGGATATCATGTTCTGACCAGGTACACTGTACTTTGACAGCTCTCCGTAAACCGCCTCCCATCTCCTCTTTACTTAAAAACTCTATTTTGGCACAGAGGCCAAGCTGTGACCAAGAAGACATGCTGTTATTCAGTATACTGGGTGAACTCTCTTCCAAACGATACACTGTGACAGGCTCACCTGCAAGATGAATGAACACATTCTGAGGTCAAATTATGACTCTTTAAAATGACAAAGAGAATAAAAATTGGCAAGAATATTTTGTTAAATAAGAAATAGGAAATGAATTGGACAAAGTTGTAATTTTATAAAGGAAGTTTAAGGGCAACAAATGTTCATGAATCTAGAATCTACTAATATCTCTAAATTCATGTACATTTAGTAATGATAAGCATTTTTGAAATTATGAACATCTTCAAGAAAAACTTTAAGAAAACAACCATTCCAAAAATCCTATAATGTCAATTTATCTATGGTTTCTTTACTAGACAATGGTTTCAGACCCTTTTTCAATGAGAAATACACCATTACTTCCGGATACGCTAGAAATAGAGATATCTAATACTTCTGATTATTCTTTCTTCTATTTAAACCATACCCGACTCTTGCTAATTAAAATTTACATAAAATGGACACTTCTTAATGAGACCCTTCTTTCTGTCACCAGCCATGTTCTATACAATAGCTAAAATCACCCATGTCCTATATAAAAGCTAAAATCAATAAAAAGTTATAAAAAATAAAAATTATTAATTTATTATTAACAAAAAAATTTATTTCCCCCTTCATTTACTTTTTGGATTTACCTCTTGGAGGCACAGGTGTAAATGGAATGCTCTGGGATAATCTCATCAAATTATTTCTTTCCACAGCTGCACAAAAATGAGAGAAAAATAATGAAATCCCTAAAAGCTCAAAATATTCTTTTTCAAAATATTGTTAATGTTTTGTTGTTAACAGTACTTACCTGAGTAATAGTAATTTGTATCCATAACTGGTTTAAACGGAGAAGCAAGACCTAAAATGCAAATAAATAAATGAAACCCTTTTAAAAGTACTAACGTAGCATAAATTTCATCCTAAGTTCCTTCTTGCAAGCTCTCTTCACCAATATAGAAAAATACAATAAAATATATTCATCATGTGCTTGCTGTACTTTTTCATTATGCCAGATCAGTCCTAACTGTGCACTCAGATACCCAAAAGGGAAAAAGTACATGATGTTTGACACTCTGTCATAAACTGTATTCTTCCCATATGCCTTATTCAAAAGAAAAAATATCTTTTAGTTTTCAACTTTCAGGAGGTGGGGCCTGTGGCCAAGTAACCATTTTAGTGAGCTGACCATAGGAAGATGAACTCTGGAATGTGAAACATACCCCAAAGAGCCCCTGCTCCATATCTAAATGTATTGAGGACTTTACTTTTTAATTGTAGTAAGAAGAAGCTATGTGTTAAGTTTATAGAATATAAATGAAAAAGAACATATTGTCTTGCAGGAGAAGGCAATCAGTCAACAGTTTTAATGTGTAGTAAATAAAAAACATACACATTATATATACATTTATGTATATAATAAGACTACATATATATATGATGTATATACATCATAGGACTATACAGGAGGGATACCAAATGCCTCCTGCTTGAAGAAACATTGAAGGATGTCTCAGAAAAGAAAGAAAAGATAGTAGTTTTGAAGGTAGTTATGTGGTCAGGGCAACATTTGCAAAGGCATGGGATTATTAAAGTGCATGCTGTGCCTGAGAAACTGCAAGTGGTTCAGCATGAATAGAATAGCAGTTTTCAATACTAATTTTAAATAAATATATTGTATATGATATAATATATAAACATATAATAAATACAAATCAGCACCCCTTGATACATTATATAATATTTTGTTATATAATATATAAATGTATTGTTATTAATATTAGTATGTAATATATAAACATATAATAAATACAAATCAGCATCACCTGAGAGGTTTTTTCTTTTTTTAAATTTTTTTTTTTTAATTTATGATAGTCACACAGAGAGAGAGAGAGAGAGAGAGAGAGAGGCAGAGACATAGGCAGAGGGAGAAGCAGGCTCCATGCACCGGGAGCCTGATGTGGGATTCGATCCCGGGTCTCCAGGATCGCACCCTGGGCCAAAGGCAGGCGCCAAACCGCTGTGCCACCCAGGGATCCCCTGAGAGGTTTTTTCAATGTGCACCTACCCAGACCTCACTCCAAAATATTCTAATTCTGTCGATATGTCAGCATAAAGTGATTCTCCACAAATACTTGGAATATATAACCAAGACTGCAAACTAATAAACAAGAGTACAGGCATGCCTATAGGAGGTAAAGCTACACCAAATTGTTAGGAACCAAATATGCCATGCTAAGAAACGATACTGGATTTTAGCCAATGACAGTGGGGAAAATGAAAAGCAGAAGATGATAAGTGTAGTGGCAGAAGAGAAGACAGACTGAAAGGGAGCCTAAGTGGCATAACCCTAAAAACCCAGATGGCAGTAAAATACTAAATGCGAACATATATATATATGTATATATATATATGTATATATATATGTATATATATATATACATATATATATATATATATATATGTATATATATATATACCTTATCACCTAGGAGTACAAGACCAATAAAAAATAAATACAAATATTTACCAAACAACAGGAACAAGAATACTCATCAACAGCACTATTCACAGTAATCATACAGTGGAACTATGAAATGCCCATCAAATAATAGAATGGATAAACTCAATATATTCACAGAAGGAAATACTGTATAGTAATGAGAATGCACGAACTACCACTAGACACATGAATCTCATAAACATATGTAAGGAGGAAAAAGCCAGACACAAAAGTATGTACTTTATGATTCCATAAACATGAGGAGCTGGGGTATTGGCGATATTGTTTTGTAATGTGGGTGCTGATTACATGGGTATACTTAGAGTACCCGTGCATGTTATATACTTCAACAAAAGGTTTAAAAAATGAAGGGGTGAACTGAAAGCAGGAGCAGGATGTAAAGTGGAAAGTGGGTTCTAGAGATATTTAAGAAGTAAATACAAAAGGACTTTGTGAGTGCAAGGTCAAGGGGGTCAAGAGTAATTAATTCCTCAGGTTTGACCTCACTGACTGAAAGAGTATCATTAACTAAAACAGGGACTACAAGGGAAAAGAGCAGGCTAGGTCATAGAGATAAAGGGAGGTGGGGTGACAGTAAAGATATTATATGGTGAGTTCATATATTTGTGAAGCTGTTATTCTGAAGAGAAACTAGCTGAGGGAAGAAATTTTTATCACATTGGCTTTCAAACATGAAGTCTAAAGTTTCCTAGCTAGAATAATGTGTTATTTGCTGTTAACAGATCACAGATGATCCTCATTTTTTCACATTAAATCTACCATATGGACTCACCATTCAGTGTTCCTTCTTCAGATGGCCTAAAGAAAACCAAAAAATATGAGTTGTGATGCAATCTTTGTTTTGGTTACCATACAATTTCTTATTTGTAAAGTTATTATGATTATTTAATATAATACTATTTAAGTAATTCTGAGATCCAGACTCACTTTCGTTTGAATATATGCCATTTCCCTTAAGCCAATGTCAAATTCACACATGGATATAAATATGTCAACATACATACATTTTATTAACACTTTGTACCTTCAATTTCTTTTATTTTATTTTTTTAAGATTTTATTTATTCATGAGAGACAGAGAGACAGACAGAGAGAGAGAGAGAGAGAGAGAGAGAGAGACACAGAGACACAGGTAGAGGAAGAAGCAGACTCCATGCAGGGAGTCTGATGTGGGACTGGATCCCAGGACTTCAAGATCACGCCCTGGGCCAAAGGCAGGTGCTAAACCGCTGAGCCACCCAGGGATCCCCTGTACCTCCAATTTATACCTAAATGTTAGTAGTTTGCTGCCAAATTGAAGGTTCTAGTACTAATAGAGTAAAATATTCTATGACTTCTCTATTCATGGAGATAAATTCTATACTATATTAAGAATGCCTTGAAATGACTTTGCAGATTTCTGAAAATACAGAATTGCGGGCAAAGAATGGAGAGAAAGGCAAATAGACATCATTTGGCAAAACTCAATTTATAATGTTGAAAAAAAATTTCCAATGTTGAATATATTTATTTGTAACAACATATATTGGTACCAAGAGGAGGTTTTATTAATCCCATAGATTCCAGTGCAAATTAGACAGGTATAGTAGAAAGGAAAATGCAGTAAGAATCAAGTAAAATGGGTTAGAAGCTTAGCTCTCTCATCCTACAGCTATGGGGCCTTGATCAGGACTAAAAAAGACCAGATTCAGAAAGGACCTCTGAAGTGAAGAACTTTTACAGTCTCTTTCTAGCTCTTACTTTGATCTGATACTGTTATTTCCTACTGACTTTCACCTTAATATAAATATTTTATTATAGGAAGTATTTTCACCCTAGCCTCATCTCCTTGCTGCTGATAAACTACTCTTAGCATCTAAAAAGTACTAACCAACTCCACCTCTTTGGGTATTTCTATGGCACAACATTGTGTGAGATAAGGTTCTCTTGCTAGCTGAGTTAACATCAACTTCAAGTACCTATTCTGTATTTACATCGTATGATTTTGGTTATAAAAGATAGTATACTCTGAAGAGATCTGACTACAGATTGGTCTTCCAAATGCCATACAGGCCCATAATATCCAAAGAACTTGAATATTGGATGTCCATGTGGCACTTGGTTTATTTTCTTCTCTCTATATTCACATATATTTCTGGTACACAAAGGAAATGGGGAACACTGTGGAATATCTAATAATTTCCTTCTCAAGTAGTCCATATCTCAAAGTAACTCTATTATGCTTCCAGTATCAAATAGGCATTAAAACAAGGACTTTTTTTTTTTAATGTTCTTTAGAATCCTAAAAAAACTAATTCTCAGGCTGGAATCACATAGATTATCTTTGATTCTTCTTTATGTTTAATCTGTACTAAAATTTTTTACTTTCTAGGGATGATTACCTGTCAGATTGCCTTTTGTTTCCACATTTGGTTCTGGATTACTGTATCAGCTTTGTAGTGGATCTCCCTGAATGCAAACTTTTTAATGTATACTGTGTAATAACTGCTCTAATTACCTTTCCAAAAGCAGGGGTAAGGCTTGCTGATTACAATGATGGGCATAGAAGTTAGCTAAGTGCAAAGCTAAATTGTCAAACTAGATCTCTGAATAAATTTATTCAACAGCAAGTTGGAAACAGGACTAAATAAAATCATATTATAAGGAAGATTTTAGTAGAGTAGTAATTATAGTATGGCTCTAACAATGTAACTAATAAAGAATTATAATTTTAAATGTATATATTAATTCATAATAAATGAGTGCCCCCAATCTCGTCTATGTAAAGACAAGAGCCACTTAAATAAATAATTATCATCCATCTATAAAGGAGTATTTAAGAAATGGTACAAAGAAAAAAAAAGGACATCAAATAACTATGATACTTTTTAGGTTAATGATAAGAAAAGACTTACTTACATTTCTCTGTTTGATGGTCTATCTTGTAACCAATCCTTTAGTCAAAAACAAACACAAACGTAAAGTTAAAGAAAAAAAATCTCTCTAGATGAAGTATAACTGTTTAAACCTGTTTTGTTTCCTATAGTAGGTTTTAAGAATGAAGGACTGAAAAATTAATGTGAAGTCCTTGTTTCATACACCTGAACTAATAAAATAATAAATGGATATAATTATCTTAAGACCACTCCACAATATAGAATAATTTTGTGATTGTTATTTCCTACAATATAATTATAGTCTGGCTAGTTGCTTTTTTCTGATGACAACTTTATACTCTTAAATACTATGTGCCCACAAAAGAAAAACACAACAAAGTATAAAGAGTAAAGTTAAAATCATGCACACTGTAAACAAATCACCAAAAACATTTAGACATATTTCATTAAAGTCTTTTTCTGTATGTGTGTATTGTTTTTACTCTGCAGTTTTTTCATCTAATTTTAACTGTATGATTACATTCTGATCCAATTTAGTAATTCTCTGTTTAGCTATGCCTGATCTATGTTGTCATTAACTTCCAATGAGTTATTTTTTATTTTAGATTTTTTTCCCCTAATTTTCAGGACTTTTTGAATAGCGTCTTTTCTTTTTATAAATTTGTTTTAATCACTTTAATAATCATACTTGTTTTAGATCTGTAACCAATAATTCTACTATCTTAAGTTATTAGAGGTTTAATGCTGTTTATGTAACTTGAAACCCAAAAGTTTTATAATTTGGCATTGTCAGGTCATCTTCAATAGAACTTAATTTGTGGCAAAATTCTGCTGCTTAGGTTCAGGATAGGTCTTCCAGAAAGAAGGAACTGTTACTATGAAACTGTGTTAACTAACCCTCTCTTCTCATTGAATTAATTTTTTTAATAACATGATTTTCAATAATACAACCTCCTTATAGCAGAATGTAAGTTAATATGTTCCTGATAATCCAGGATAATTATGAGTAGTGATTTCTATACCTGACTCATATAAAGGAACAGTTTTTCTTTTTCCCAAGCTATTTGTTTGGCTTGCCAGAGTATGCTTTTAAAGTGTTTGTAAAATCAAATACTACCTAAATTGGCTGGGAATGACTTCATACAGTTTCACTACAAACAGATTACTGTTTTTCTTTTGTATAAATTTTTCTTTAAAATTTCCTAAACTATTGCATAGACAGTAATCTCTCTTAAACTGGCCATAGCAATATTTTTTTCTAGCTATCTCTCCGGAGGCAAGGGAAATAAAAGCAAAAATAAAGGCAAGGGAAATAAAAGCAAAAATAAACTATGGGGATTACATGAAAAAGTTTCTGATAGTAAAGGAACAATCAACAAAACTAAAAGGCAATCTATGGAATGGGAGAATATATTTGCAAATGACATATCTGATAAAGGGTTAGTATCCAAAATATATAAAGAACTGATATAATTTAATACCTCCTAAACAAATAATCCAACAAAAAATGGGCAGAACACCTGAACAGACATTTCTCCAAAGACACAGAGATGGCCAACAGACACATGAAAAGATGCTCGACACTACTTATCATGAGGGAAATGCAAATCAAAACTACAATGAGATTATCACATCTGTCAGCAAGGCCAAAATCAAAAACATTTAAGAAACAACAAATGTCAGCAAGGATGTGGGGGAAAAAAAGAATTCTTTTGCACTGCTGGTGGGAAGGCAAACTGACAGCCACTGTGGAAGACAGTATGAAGGCTCCCCAGAAAGTTAAAAACAGAACTATCTTATGATGTAGTAATTGCACTACTGGGTATTTAGCCAAAAATACAAAAACATTAATTTAAAGGAATACATGCACTTCTATGTTTATTGCAGCATTATTTATAATACCCAAATGATGGAAGTTTCCCAGTGTCCAGTGATAGATGAATGGATAAAGAACATATGGTATATATACACTGGAATATTATTCAGCCATAAAAAGAATAAACCTTCCCATTTGCAACAACATGGATAGAACTGGAGAATACTAAATGAAATAAGTTAGAGAAAGACATATATCATACGATTGCTCAAATGTGGAATTTAAGAAACAAAACAAACAAGCAAAGGGGGGGGGGGAGAAATAAAAAACAGATAAACCAAGACTTTTAAAGAAAAAACTATGGATCTGGGAAGAGGGAAGGTGGGAGAGAGGATAGGATAAATAGGAGGTGGGGATTAAAGACTACATTTATCATGATGAAAAACATAAAATTATAAAGATAATTTTATATATCTATATATCTAAATACACAAATAAGTAAAAATAAACCCCTAACTATTCAGACTACAGGAAGAAACTCTACTAAGAATAATTGCCACCACGTACTAATGTTAGTTTTCTAAGGTAAAATTTTTTTGAAAGATAAGTATAACCTCAAATAACATATCACCATCTTTTAGCTCTTTTTAAATAAATATACATATTAAAATATGCATTTGTTTAATTGAAATGTACAAACCGGTAGTAAAGCTGCTTTGGAATCTACTTCATGAGTTTCTTCTGTAGATGGCCTTCTACTGCTATTTTCTACTTAAAGAAAATTTTAAAACGTAAGTTATACAATTGAAAGTTTTTTTATATCAACAAAACACAAATTGTTTTTACATACAGTGTAACCTTCATAAGATAATTTATCCCCTCCTCAACACTGCTGAAGATTGAGCTACATGCCCACAGATCTCTTGACAGGGCATCAAAATTATTCAATTTACTTTTCTAAAAAGGCACTAAGAAATAAAAGACTATAACGGAAAAAGTCTTACTCTTCCTATTTCCAAATTTCTTATGTATCCTACCATTTATTTTTTTTGTGTGTACACCTATCATTTTTTAAAGCCATAAATAAATAGTAGGATAATAATACATATTTTGGGTGGTTTTATTGTTGGTTTTTTAACTTTAAGCTTGGCGATCTTTCCATAATCAGTACACAAGGACTTTCTCTATTTTGAGGTTACATTGAACTTCATACTATGGGTGTACAATAATTGTACAGAATAATAACCAAACTCGTACTGATGGACATTTGGTAGGATTTCAATCTCTTGCCATTACAACATTGTAATTCATGATCTTAAACATACGTCATCTTATAGTAATAGAAAAAAAAGTTAATCTCTCCTCCCATTATTTAAGATGCCATATCTTTATCATATCTTGTTTTTCTTTATCCTAAGCTTAAGAATTAAGCCTATTTTAAAAAGTCAGGATGTTAAATTCTAAAGTAACTTAGAATTTACAACTTTATGACATAATGAAGAAAAACCTCAGAATGAATAGTGATGGGGAATCTTAGAACAAAATTTGTATTCCGAATGTAGAGGGCAAAAAAGACAAGATTGAAATACATTAGAAGAGTCTGGACAAAATTTTTTCAAGATAATGAAACTGATAAAATGCATTATGTATCTGAGAATCTTGAAGAAATGTAGTCAATAGCAGAGAATCTAGTACTGATCTAACCAAAATTACAATATAATTATATTGGTGGAAAAGAGTAAATGTGTGTGTATGTGCGCGTGCGCGTGCATTTGGGAACCGGGGGAGGGGAAGAGTTCAATTCTTGCCTTCTTTAAGGGGAGGTCAAAAGTTATGGTCTAAAGCTGAAATATGAGGATGCAAAATTAAGAAGCATACTAACTGCAGAAAGAACATCCATGTTACTGAAAATGAATTTTATTTCTTCCCTCCAAACCCTTCCACCATTCTTTGTCTTACTTTATTTCTCCAGCAAGAATGTTAAACAGAAATAGTAACAGCCAGAATCCCTGCCTTGGATCCCCATGTGGTTTTCAAGAGATCATTATGAAATATAGTATCTGTGGTAACTTTCTGTCAATATCCCTTATTCAGATTAAGGAAACTCCATTCTAACTTTGCTAGGAGTTTTAATCATGAATGGATGCAGAATGTCATCAAATGCCTTTTCTACAGCTACTGAGATGATCAAATGATTCTTCTCCTCTTACTATCGTACATCAATTATACAGACACACACACACACACACACACACACACACACACACACACACATATATAATTTCTTCTTTAAGTAAGCTCTACGCTCAACATGGGCCTTGAACTCACAACCCCAAGATCAAGAGTTGCATGCTGTACTGACTTAGCCAGTCAGGTGCCCCTCATCAATTATATTTTTGATGTTAGTGTTAAACCAACTTGCACTCCTGGAATACTTCCAACTTGATATTGCTGTATACCAGAAGAGAATGAAAGGGGAAATGATGGTGAGCCGGACATGGTAGTGATGTTTTTCTTAAGGAACGCTATAAACGTTAAATGCACATTAGTGAAAAGCTGAATAATAAATTTAAATTTATATGCATATATAACTTTTGACTCATAAAAAAAGTGTGATATGGAAACATCCCCAGGCCATTTAATTCTCTAGTGAAAAATTAAAGGTGTAGGTGTATGGTGTATTTCTTTCTGTGTAAAAATGAGAGGAAGAAGACTACTGTCTTATAGGATCTGTGTGGAACTCTAGAGAATAAATAAAAATAAGTGGTTACATGTTAGGTTGGAATGAGAAAGACTTATTTTCAAAGTACTTGTGTGTGTTTGTATTTTAATTCTGAGCCAAATAAAAGTATTAGCTTTTTTTTTTTTTAAGATTTTATTATTTATTAGAGACACAGAGAGAGAGACACACACACACAGGCAGAGGGAGAAGCAGGCTCCATGCAGGGAGCCCGACGTGGGACTCAATCCCGGGTCTCCAGGATCATGCCCAGGGCCGAAGGCGGCACTAAACCGCTGAGCCACCCAGGGCTGCCCGTATTAGCTATTTTTAAAAGTTAAATTAGAAAAATAGATTAAAACACTACAGATTCATCTGTGTAAGTTAAAACCCGCAGATTCATAAAGATCATCTTTAGGTACTAAAGAATTTGTAAAAAATATGAGAATATTGGGATTATGTGTATTATTCAAACTTAAAGGAACAATGAATGACCTGAATTGTCATTTTCTGACTCTTGAAACATTTGCTGCTCAGGTGTGTGACATACATAAAATATACGGAAAGCTTAAATGAGCATGTTTGGTAACATGATTCACAAGTCAGAAACTTACCTTGTTCTAAATGAAGAGGAATAGAAGTTTTACGACATTCAGTAAATCCAGCATGAGAACTCACATGTTTCAAAGCATTTTCAGAAGGAACATCATTCTGTATATTGCACAAATACACAATTTAAAAAGAATTAAACTGAATTTCAAATGATTATACTAAGTAGTGTAAGAGTCTCTGTATCTATTCAGCTCAATATGCTTTAATCTACCTGGACACCAAATATGTTACAGGTTAATTTTCTTCAATGACAATCTCAAAAAACTACATCAAAATATACTATTTATTGTTCATAAACCCATCTAAATGGATCCTTTTCAATAGTAATACAATTTCATAAAAAACTGAGGGAACTATGAAAAACTGTAGGGAAAATAATAAAATGCTTACCTGTTTACCTAAAAAACAAAATGCTATTTTACACTGACAGATTATAAGAGTTTGGAAGATAAAGGAGTAGAGAGAAGAGGTTTTTAGGGGGAAGAAGGGGTTTCTGGATAGCTTTCTTATTAATTATATGAGCTGTTTACATAATAAAGATTTGATCATTATTTGTCACATTTCAATTTTTCCCAAATTTGTTTTTACTTATCTGTGATTTCCATTTTTTGGTACTTAAATCTCTTCATATCCTTCCTTTAACATTGTTTATTCCTTATACATTTAAAAAGTCCTCCTGGTCTTACTGACTTAATATTTCTATTTTCTGAAATGATTTGAATTTTTACATTTAAAGCTGGAATTCAGGGGCACCTGGGTGGCCCAGTGTGAGCACCTGCCTTTGGCTCAGGTTGTGATTCCAGGGTCCTGGAATCAAGTCCTGGATCAGGTTACCTGCAGGAAGCCTACTTCTCCCTCTGCCTATGTCTTTGCCTCTCTGTCTCTCATGAATAAAATCTTTAAAAATAAATAAATAAAAGCTTTAATTCATCTGAGCTTATGAAGTGATACAAGAACATAAACAGACTTTTCCAAATTTCTACTCAATTATCCAATTTGTACTTACTGACAAAGCATTTCCCTTCTCATCAATTTCTAATCTAACCCTCCCTATTAAATTCTTATTTGCAGGAACGTTATTTTGGAGTCACCAAAATGTTCACTGTTTCAACTGTTCTACCTGTACAATATTTTATAGTCTAATTCTCCCTTAACTTTCTCATTTTTACCTACCCATTTTCCCAGATGAACAAACTGCATTAAATTAATGTGGGGACAATCCAATCCATTCACAGTTTTCTCTCTTCAAGTTATAAACAGGTCACACACTATTATGTAACTCTAAGATATTCCCAAACTTCTACCACCTCTCAGAAACAGTGAGTTTTAAAATAGTATTCCTGCAATAAAGTATTACTTTTATTAAGTAAATTCAACTTACATCTCAAGAAAGTTAAGCTTTTCTACCTTTGATGCTCTGTACTCTTCATATACAGCTGATTATATAACCAAGTGAGAGTGCTAACCTTTTATGTGGTCACAATGCGACTCCAATTTCCTTTCTGATTTTAGTTGTTTCTTTTGGAAGCACTTTTAGCTATTTCTTATTTGCTTTATTTAAGTGCTTTCTTTGATATGACACATGAGTTTCATAGAATCATCTACAACAGAAATTCTAGTGCAGGATTGATGGTGGGCTTCCAGATATTTGTAAAATTCCATATAGATAAAATTTTGTATATGTGCATTTTTATGGGAAGAGGGTCTATGGTTTTCATTTGATTTTCAAAGAGGTCTATAACCCACAAACATTCAAGAACTCTAAGTCTCAGACTCCAACCTAGAGCTCATTATTCTATTAATATAGTTTGAGTTTTTTTTCCTCTAAGTAATTTACTCAAAATTGTTTAATTCAAAACACGGCCACCACTTTTCTGCCACTTTTCACAGAAACTTGTAATTTCTTCTTCTTTTTACTAGAAAGTTACCTGCCCACTTAAAAATTTTAGCATACTCTGGGTTTTTACTTCATTTAATAGGTTCATTATTAAAAGGTGAAATCTGTGGGGGAAACCTTAATGCCACAAGAACGTATTGATACAGTTCTTTCAACTGCCACTGTGACACTTGTAGAGGCATTTTAAAAGTTCAATGAAATACATATTAAAGGGGATCCCTGGGTGGCTCAGCAGTTTAGCGCCTGCCTTCAGCCCAGGACATGATCCTGGGGTCCTGGGATCGAGTCCCACATCGGGCTCCCTGCATGGAGCCTGCTTCTCCCTCTGCCTGTGTCTCTGGCTCTCTCTGTGTCTTTCATGAATAAATAAATAAAATCTTAAAAAAAAAAAAAAGAAATACATATTAGAGAATGACAGCCTAAGTCAGGATAGTTGTTACTGAGTACTGAGAGAACCTGAGATACTACAAAAATGTTTAGGAAGCAAAACAAGTTAGATTGGCTGTTGAATGAAGAGAGAAGTAGGACTGCAGTTATGCCTTGGTAAAACTAGAATGCTGATGTTATTAACAGAGACAGGAAATACTGAAGGAATATGTCTGCTGAGCATGAGGAAGATGGTGAACTTGAGGTTTTGACGGCTGAGTCTGATAACTCTAAATATTTCCAACTAGTTAGCAGTTCCAATCTTTTACTGTGGTAACATGCCAATCCTCTAGTCAGAATCACTCCAAAGATTTACTTTCCCCATATCCATATTCCCAGACTTTAGTTTTCCTGGCTAAAAACTAAATGCTGGGGATCCCTGGATGGCTCAGCGGTTTGGCGCCTGCTTTCAGCCCAGGGCGGGGTCCTGGAGTCCCGGGATCGAGTCCCCCATCAGGCTCCCTGCGTGGAGCCTGCTTATCCCTCTGCCTGTGTCTGTCTGTTTGTCTCTCTCTCTGTGTCTCTCATAAATAAAATCTTTAAAAAAACCAATAAATAAAAAATAAAAACCAAATGCTGATATGGCTGGTAAAAAATTCATGCTATCTCAACTCTTATTTCAGCTGAGAAATTGTATTCTTGGTTTTCTCCTGACTCCTTAATAATTTCACACAATGGTTACCCTACACCCTCTCTTTCTGATGTACTCCATTAAAGTTTCCACCAGCCTTACTGGAAAAACATGCCTTAAGAGTTATCAACAAACTCCTCAGATTACTTTTTTATCTCCTTTAATTTTTAAAAAATTTTGTGTTAATTTATATACAATGAAGCACACAGATTCTTAAATGGTAAGTTAGAGAAGAGTTTTTCTTTCCAACTGGAAAATTGGAAAGATTATCTTTTTATTATCTGGCCATCAGAAAAAAGTTATACTTTTTAATCCTTAAGATTATCATCTGAATGCTCAATTTCTCTCCATCTAGGTTTTCTTGTTTTTAAAATTTTAATTCCCAATCAGTTCTTCCTCCCTGTAAGAAACTCCAAGATAAAACAAGAGATAGAACATAAAACAAAAATACTGGTTTCCCTACTGGTTCCTTTCCCTCATATTAAGATTCTATCATTATAGGTATTCATGAAAGCAACAGTTAAATACTTTTCACTCACTGTTCTATACATTTAAAAAGTTAATTAGCAAACATTTATTGAATATCTTACACCTGCACATTATACTGTAGTGACTGGCATATTCAGCTTTTTACTGCTTGGCTACAGGTTCCTTGACAGACAGGGTTATGTTCTAATAAATTCTGGGGCAGGAAAGAGTTGAATTCAGTATCTGGTCAAGGAGAAATGTATAGGAGCAAGCATTTTTTTTAAGAGAAATGTTAAATAGGTATTTTTAATTTTTATTAATAAAAAAAGTGCAAGCTATTTGTAGAACATTTTTCATATTCAATCGTTTCTTCTTTTTAAATGGTATGTAGCTTTAAATATTTGGGATCATGTTGATGATGATCTCTGCTAAAACTGCATTTTTTATTGAAATATTTCTCTTTTGAACTAAACCCACAAATAGCAAAATAAGGTTGAACTGTGCTGTTACAAGGATTTACTTACAGATATTTCTTTTATCTTGTTTGATGTTTCTTTAAACTTCTGCAAATAATCCATGCTATCTCTGTGTCCTTAAAGAGAAAAAAAGATTACAACAAAAAATATTTATTTTTTCTTATCAAAAAATAATGTCCTTGCCGAAAGTCTACATAAAAGTGATTTTATGTTATTTTTAAAAGTAGTTTTGATGGCTCTGAAGTTTCTGGTAGATTTTCTGATATATAGTAAAAATATCTGTCAAGATGCTAGAGATGAGTAGTTCAGTTTATAGTAAGAGCAAAAGCCAAAGGCCTCCTAAAATAAATCCAACATGATATTAATTGCTTGAAATGTAAAAAGAAAAAAGGGCAGCACTGCTTTTACTATTAATAAAATATAAAATTACATATATATTAATATGTGATATTTATTATACATATATATTCACACACTATATATACAAATTATATGTAGAGATAAATATGTAGGTATCTATACATATCCATCCCAGTGGCAATATACTAACAGACTAAAATGTACTTTAAAAAAATAAATTGGGATAGATTTTATGCAGGAAAAGTTGTCTCTAAATCCATACTGAACTGTACACAGCCTAGCAGTAGAGATCAGTATGCTCAGTTATTTAGATAAGTTACAGGGTTGGCCTCAATGTGGAGATTACATGGACATGCCATATTCTCTGACTAATCTCCATACAGGTTTCGTGACTAGGTAAATTTCTAAGCTGGGAAGGCTCAAACAAGTGTTAAGACAAGGTTAGGAAGTCACCTGATGGAAAAATTCAAACCTGAAGAGACAGAGGGCCTCTTTCATGCCTCAGAACACTCTGATCATGCCCACAAACAACTCAAGTTTTTTCTAAGAACTCTTTGTTAAATACTTTAATCTTTACTAATCTAACAGGAAGACTGTTAGAACACTATATTCTCCCAAATAGTAGCAACCTAGCTAGCTCTATAAAGTGTTCTCTTTTCACCTTTCCCTTCTGTATGGCATACTATCAACATTAAAATATCTTAGGTCTCCCCCATCATTAAAAACAAAAGAAATAAAAAACCTTAGATACAAACCACAGTATTAGTTCTTTCTTTCTTTTCACCATCATAGTAAGCTTTATAGTTGCTCCCCAAGTCCTCCTTTTTACACTCCCTCCTCCCATTCACATTTTATTTCAATATAATCTGGCTTCTCCCTCAACCACTTCACTGAGACAGATTCCACCAAGGCCACTAATCTGTACTCACTGCCAAAACAAATACATTATCAGTCCTTATTTTGCTTTAGCTATCTGAAGTGTAAGAATGAATTATTCTTTTCTGAAATGCTCTCTTCTTTGGGCATAGAATAGTGGTTTGACCATAAATCCTCACTTTCCAAGTAGAGTCCTGGCTTTCTCTAGTGTCCTAATGTAATCATTAGCATACCCTTTTCACTATCAAAGTGTACTGGTTGAGATGAAAAATTATGTGGTCACCCAACTTATAAGACACAGCTCTTTTCTAGTTATTTCTATGTAGCCTTTCCTATACTTTTCTATTATTTCCCAAGTATCTAACATTCATGAATCACTCAGGTTCTTTCAACAAGTGAACGGAATTCAACAGAAGATTCTCAAAATCAAAAGCTCAAATAAGTTTTATATACAAATGTTATTAGAGTAAATTCCCCAAAAAGGTATATACCAATTGAACTATTCAACCTATTTCCCCCACTTGATTCCCTTTAAAAATTTTAGAAACATAATCTATGAAATGTAGTCCACTTACCATACAAGTGCATGATTTTACTAATTAGTTATTTATTTCTAAGGTGATTTTAATAAAAAATATTGATATACAAACTTTAATTTGCCAAACTTACCAACAAATGCTCCAAATTCTACATTATCTCCTTCTGCAGCTTTAGAGCAAACAACTTCTTGATCTTTGGTAACAGTTTCTAAGTGGCTTTTACAACTTGGCTGGGAAGGTGTACTAACAAAAAATTTGGTTGGTGGGGATGACAGATGTGGTATGCTATTAGATGAACTGCCTAATTTTTGATTTTTACTGAACATTTTTAACATCTCCACCCCATGTAGTCTCTGTCGCAGTTCTGGAGGAGAAACAGCACTTGGGAATAAGGCACCACAAGAGGAACCAGCCTCTGGGAAATTGAATTCTTTTCTCTGGGGTATTACAGGTAAATCCTGACCAAATATGTTACACTGAGGATCTTTTTCATCTTTCATAAAAATATTACAAAGAAAAGGATTAGTACTTTCAAGACCACCTTGAGGAACTGAGGAGCTAAGTGTATTTACTACACTGTGCTTTTTCCATACAGAAGGTCTTACAGGACCATCGTCAATAAGGTTTTGAGCCAAATGTTTGGAAATGCTCAATTCTCGTGTGATTTCATTGTGAACTTTGCTAGCTTCCGAAGCTTTCTGGGCAGTGAGCGTTTTTAATGTATCTACAGTCAGGGCTGAAAGATCTTGCAAATGGCCAATTTGAGAATCTAATGACTGTAATGATCTTTTTATATAGTTGACACGATCTCCAACTTCTTTAATTTGAATGCACATCTGCTCCACCCTGTGGGGGAAACAAAGAGTTTTTATAAATGTTAAAAATTAAAGTTTTAGAGATTCTTTTTATACTCTCAATAAATTACAATGCTAAAAAATTTTTACATGCCCTCAAACAAGCTAACATAGAAAATAAGATGATTATTTACTTATAAAAGGCACACCTAATATTTAAGAAGGATCCAGTGCTGGGGGACACCTAGGTGGCTCAGTGGTTGAGCATCTGCCTTTGGCTTAAGTTGTGATCCCAGGGTCCTGGGAACGAGCCCCACATCAGGCTCCCCACAGGAAGTCTACTTCTCCTTTGCCTATGTCTCTGCCTCTCTCTCTCTCTCTCTCTGTGTCTCTCATGAATAAACAAAATCTTTAAAAAAGGGGGGGGAGTTCCTCGTGCTGATTCTATTATAATAAAATGCAAAATTTCAAAAAACATTTTTGTTATTACAATTTCCCCACATCAAAGTAACACACACGGATGTGTATAAAGCTACATATACATAGAAATATCATTACCATTATTATAACTATACCATCTGCTTCCAGAAGGTAGCAAAGCCAATAGAAAAAGGAAAAAAATGCTTTAAAACAATATACTTTCACTTTTCTCCACTGACTAGGAAAGACAGTAAATCTCCTCTGTCCTCTGCAACAAGTGTCAAAAAAATAAGAAACTGACTTACTGACTTACACCAAATATTAAAAATTAGAACTGAACTGTCTTCCAATATATAAAATTATTAAGCTTATTTGACAAACATAAATTGAACAGTGACCATGTATAAGACATAACAGAATCCATGTGACATATAATCAATTATAATTAAAGAGCCTTTGAACCTCTCAAAAGTGACACGAATTCTCTCTTCACTCCCAGAATGGAATTTATCATCTTTTTCATTAAAATACATCTCAACACATTGTTCTTCAAAGTCATGTAGTTTCTTTTGATCTTCTTCTGTTAAAAAAAGTTCTAAGGAGGGAAAAGAAAAAAAAAATCAATGAAGACTATCAAGATATCAAACTGTATACCTCATGAGTCATGAATTATTCAGGGCTCATAAGACCATATCCATCATCTGTAATTTCTTTCTCTTTTTACTGTAATGTTTCTAAAGCATTGAGCAAGTACTTCCATTTTTTTCTTCAGCAAGAGGAGTACCTCCTCCTCTTCTAATTTCCTTTTCCTATAAAACACTCTTCCCCTACCATCTCTTTGCACCTCTCCCTAATTTACCCAGAGAGAGAAATTTAAGAACCAATTTGGTAGAACAGTAAGCCACTATAAAATTTTAAGCACAGTTTGATATGATGATTAGTCTCATGTAGTAAATATAGAATAAACTAGTGTTATTGTTTACAAAGAGCAAAAATCATTTGTAGAACAGCAAATGTTATGTTTTACATTACCATTTTAACAAAAACAAACTGACATGCCACAAAGAGAAGTTTAATACTGAATTCACTTTTATAGATATATTATACTTAAAATTAAATATACTTAAAATTCCTTTATGTTCAGACAAATTCAACAAAAACTTTTTATAATATTGGCCAATTAAGTCTTCTGAATAAAATTAATACTTAACCTTCAGCATAATATTGATAAGTGGTAAAATAAAAACATTTCCTGTAATATATTTTACTTACTTGGTCCATCTGAAGTCTTATCTTTTTTTCTTCTTTTACATATGCAGCAAAACAGAGAAACTATATGGCTGAGAATGATAAGTGGTGGAGGCAGAACTGGTTTCTCATGATAAGCCATAATAAAATGATAACGTTGGTACTTCCATACAATATTGGAAATTGCCTTCACTTGTAAATACACATTGCTTGAATAATAAAGAATAAAAATAAACATAGCTAATTATACAATCAAGTTTTAAATACTAAAAACTACTGTAATTCTATTCTAAACAAGGATTCAAAAGAGTACTCTACCATACACAAAACTAAAAGGCAAGTGAGGAATTAGAAAAAATACAGCAAGAAGTATAAGCTACTAGTTTGATATTGCTGGGAGTCTTAATTACAGACTCCAGAAAAATGAGCAGAAAATATCATCTTATTAGGATTTTAGAGTTATATATAAATGACAAAACTATTAAGAAATATTCAATCTTAGTAGCAACAAAATAAATGCATATAAAAACGATACTTTATGTACTATCAAATAGCAACCATTAAAGATAATAATACCTAGTCTTGACAGAGATTTGGGGATGCAGGCCTACTTTAACTTAAATGCATAAAGTCCTAAAAATGCACATACTTCACAGTTCCACTTTTAGGAAAATATTCTTTTTTTTTTTTTTTAAGAAAATATTCTAAGGACATATGTTAGGACTGATAAAAAATTTAACCATAATATAGTTTTGGGGAACAAAAATTATAAACAATCTAACTGAAGAATGTAACATATGGTTGAAAAAGTAGGGTCTATATTATGGAATACCAGGTAGGCATTAAAAATAAACTGGAGGGATCCCTGGGTGGCACAGCGGTTTGGCGCCTGCCTTTGGCCCAGGGCGTGATCCTGGAGACCCAGGATCGAATCCCACATCGGGCTCCCGGTGCATGGAGCCTGCTTCTCCCTCTGCCTATGTCTCTGCGCCTCTCTCTGTGACTATCATAAATAAATAAAAATTAAAAAAAAAAAAAAACTGGAAAGGGAAGCCTGGGAAGCTCAGGCATTAAAACTCAACTGGAAAGGGAAGCCTGGGAAGCTCAGTGGTTGAGCGCCTGCCTTGCACTGAGGGCATGATCCCAGAGTTCCAGGGTCAAGTCCCGCTTTGGGCTCCATGCAGGAAGCCTGCTTCTCTTTCTGCATCTCTCATGAATAATAAAATCTTTAAAAAGTAAATGAAAAAATAAACTGGAGAAAAATAAAATAAAAATAAACCGGAGAGGGATATTTATTAATGTGGATAATATTCATATTTTGCTTAGTTAAAAATAGTATACAAAATATAAGAACATTAATTTTCAAAAGAAAAAATTCATAAATATTCATAAAAATAAAGATGTACACCAAAATATTAATGAAATTATTGAATTTTCTATTTGCCTGTTTTATATACTGAATGTATTCCTTTGTAACCCAGTAAAATTCCCAAATAAAGGTTAAATTTATAAAAGATCCTGCATGTTAAAAGGTAAGTCTCAAATTTAAAGTCTCATTTGATTTGAGAAAGTATGCCTATGCCTTATTTGTAATTTTCAAAGATAATTTTAGTAGTTTAAGCCTCAGTACAATCTTTAGATCTGAAATTTTGTGTATTTCCTTCAAAATGAGAATTATATATTAAATGATCTCATTACAATAAGCAGCTGAATAAAATTCTTACTTGAAAAAAGCAATAAGAAGATTGACCATAATGATATACTGTACAAAGAGGTAGACTGCTTGAAGAAATGGAGTCAACCATGTCCCAGGACCACAGATTTGAGAGATAGTGGAATCATTTGCACACACTTTGGAAAGAAGAAAAAAATTCAGATATAGTAATGACACCAGTAACTATTTTTTTAATTAAAATTTTAGTTAACATACAGTGCAATTTGGTTTCTACACCAGTAACTATTTTTAATTAGTATTGTTTTTTTGAAGGAAGTTTCAATTATGCACAAATCTGTTTCAGACTCTATTAAAAGCTTCTAGGCAAGAACTTGCAACACAAACTTAAAAACACTCCAACAGAGAATAATTTTGTGAGGGATATGGGTATCTGTTCTACCATGCCATTCCAGATGAGGAGGTATATAGTTCTGTGTTATTTCTGCATTTCAAGGCAGGGTTTAGCTTGAGGAACATTAAGTAGAATAAAATTCCCAGATTCAGCCACACTGTAACATTTCTGTAAGAAAAATAACTGTACTATAAAAGGGTATGGTAAACTCACAGTAAATTTACAAACAAAGATTACTGAGTTTATCTTATTATGTCACAAGAGGGCTGCAAGAGTGGTTAAAGTGCCTCCCAAGAATAAAATGAGGTTTGAATTTCTTGCTTTTCATTAACCTCACTGGGAATGTTTCTGAAGCCAAACACAGTTGAGGAAAAAACAAAAAAAAAAAAAAAAAAAACAAGGAAAAAAGGAGCTATAGTACCCACCAGAATATTAAAGAATTAAGCAAACCAATTTCAGTAGGGTAAAGATTAGAATTGAATAATCATGAATTAGCGACATCTTATATAAATGTTTACAATTAACATTTCTTTAGTAATCATTTAAAAACAGATGCACCATTAAAACACTCAATGGCTTTGTCACAATCATTTCAAATCCATGATTTCACAGGCAAAGGAATACACAAGATTCTTTCAATCTTAAAAAATTTAATGCATCTATTTTAATTCTATTCAGATCTGTTTGATGTAGCAAATACCCAAGGAAGAAAATGACGGAGACCAAGAAGCTATACCCAATGCTCTATAACAACTAAACTAGATCCTCATCAGAAAAAGCAGAAAATGAAAACCTGAAAATGGCACTGAAAGGAAAGCACTGGAACAGAAAGAAAGTTTAACCACGCTGGTAAAACCTCACTGTTTTAAACAACATCTGATAACAACTGATAACCACTATGCAGCCATCCCCTGACCTAATCACCTATAAATAGGTGGGTAGAGAGCAACATAGGTATGGGCTGAGAGAGGAATAAAGACAGGAGAGAGAGTGGAAGAGAGATTAAGAGCGAACTAACCAAATAAAGATTCTAAAATGCAAATGTGGACATCAGAACATGTCTGAAAGCTGGCAGCATCACTTATGTTCACAATTTATCTAGCCTCATTAGCTAAACAATTATTTAAAAAATTATGCAGAAAATGTGTTCACAGTTGATTGTGTTAATTCAAGAATTTACCATTGAATCTACCATGATCGCTCTAATCACTGTTAATCCTATTACCCCCTTGCCCCAACTGTTTTCAGAGATAAGCAGGCTGAAGTCAATTTGAGCTAATGAGATTTAAGGAACAGGTTCAATAGGGGGCTTTTCGGAAAGTAACTTCTCACCCATAAGAGAACCACGGAAACCACTCTTTCCTCCCACTGCTAGTGACAGTCTTCTAATCCTAAGGGAAACCTGTATCAATCAGACATTGTGATTACAGAGCAGTGGAATGAAAAAGAACAAGTGTCCTTATCCATGAATTAACAAACTTCAAATACCACTCTACCTCTGAACTTTGTGTTACATGAGCTAATAAATACCTTATGGTGTAAACCAGGTTAGGCCAGATTTCCATTTGTGGCTGAAAAAACTCTAAAATTCTTTTTCAACTGATTTTTATAGTTATTTTCTGGGCTTACCTACTGTATTTTGGGAGGGCTTAGGTTGGTAATGGTTTGACTTGTGAGAATATGTAATATTACTGTAATGCAATTCTGACTTTAAAACATAAAATAACCAAAAGATGAATTTTCAAACATAAATCCTTACCATCAATTTCATATGCGTAAACTTCACCAAAAATCATCCAGTATGGATGAAAAACTATATCTTTAGCAAGAGTCCAAGATGGTGCTTCACGAGGATAAAGTATTGCCTTTCTGGGAACACCAAAACTAAGTAATACAAGAGCCATAATCACTACAATGTAGAACATATTGGCTACCTGTTAAAAAATGAACACTGTTAAAATACATGGGAATTTAAAAACAACTGTAATTTTTTTCATCTTAAAAATAGTTTTTAATGTTCTAATAAATAACTAGAATCTTTTGACTCCTAGTATTAGCATTCAGGAAAATCTCATCATTACATCAAGATGACATAAAAATTGATCTGTAAAACTAGACAAGTCAGAGGCGTGTTCTATATAATGAATCATTTCACTGGTTCAAACTGGAGTCTGCCTATTTGAGTCCATGAAGATTTTTTAAAGAGGTATAAATATACGGGCAGCTTCAGGAAATGAATTTCCGTATGTGCTCTTTCCTGTTGTCATACTGGAAGTTCAGACTCACTTTTCTACCTCCCTTTGATAATTGTCCTTTACCCACTTCATACGCAAAAGGGCATTCTTCTCACCCATCTTGAACTCTACACCATAGTCCCTTATCCCAGACTGTTGAAAAGCTCTAAGAGCTAAATAAAACAATAAACTGAAGTATCAGCATGGGTGCTGAAAAAATAAGTGACACCATTTGGTTAAAAAATCCTTTTACAAATCAGGTAGTCTGCAATTCTTTAATACAAAGGTGGGAAAAAGCCTATTTGAGCTATCACCTAATAAATCAATGAAAAATTAATTTTTATTAGTAAGTCACAACATGTATTTTGGAATCATTACTCAAGAATTCTATGAGTCAAGTAAAATCCTATATTAGAACTTTAATTTTTAACTACTTAATTAGGGGTTTGAGTGCTCAGCATTTATATCTAAAAAAGTGAATGTTGTCTCCCTCCAACAATGTAGTATTCAGCCACAAATAATAATCTACTAGGGAAAAACCCACACAGATCAAGACTACATTTATAATAAATCTGTACTTTACCAATAACTGTAATAAACCAATCTAAAAAAAACCAACTGCAATAAAATAACCTAAAAAATTATATTTGCATATATTTTTTCAAACGAATATACAGAGAAAGTAGAAATGGTAGGCAGGAATGTGAAAGGTAAAAAGGACCATAAATCTGGACTGTGTGAAGAAATTACAAAATATTTATGTGTAATTATTTAGACTTGAACCTTCATCTTTAAAATTCTTATATCTGCTCTGCCAGTAAATTTTCTTTTTAAGTTAGAGTCTCTGTGACTTACAATTGAAGAGTCTTATTACTCTCCAAGATTCAGTTTTATTTGTAAAATAGTCAAATAATGCCTTCAGTTTAACTTACATACTAAGAGAATGTATGTTTTCAATAAACAAAATCTTGGGATAAAAGATTTTGGGGGGAAATAAAAGATCTTAAAAGGCAAATCATCAAAACATTATTCATGACACTTGAAATACTACGGAATCCAAATTATTTACCAGTAATTAAAGAAAAAGGCCAAATCAAAACTTCAAAACTCAAATCTGTATGAAGTATCCTAAAATTATTCAAAGGTCTTGACTGATGAGTCACAGAGGTCTCTGGATTTCATACCTTCCACAAAAAGCCTATTTGACAACCTTCCTTATATCTGATCTAAATTTAATTAAAAATATTTAAATATCCCATTTTCTCATATCTAAAATGAGGATTTCTAGTTTAAATGTACAGATACACAGAGTGGGAAAAGTTTACCATTTACCATGCAATTTTCATAAATGTAATCTTTATTAATGATATCAACTGTGAGGAAGGTTTCTTTTGTATCTTCAAGCTTTTTACGCTTTTCAAAGCCTTTTCTCTGATTAGAAATTCCCCGCTCATGAAAAGTTCCTATTTACCAAACTTTTAAATACCATATTCTTTGTGAAAAACTTCATGACAGAATGAGGTAGTACATATAATGAGCCTATTTTGATAAAACTATTATATACATTTATTTGTGTGAAGTTAAAGACACACATCTATATTCCTGTATGTCTTGAAAGATGGAAAAGTATACACTACACTGTTAACAGTGGATGTTGCTGATAGTCTGTATTTACTAAAAAATTTCTACAATAGTAATTTTAGAATAAGGAAGGAAAAGTTACTTTTACAAAAGCAATAGTATGTGTTTGCCTTTCTGACCACTGAAAACTGAAAAGCAATTTATGGCAGAAGTAGGCATAACACACTTTAGAGTTTTCAGTTCAATGCATAAGGAATCACACATCAAACCTGACATCTACATTTAAAAAACAAAACCTGCCAGTTGGTTAAGCCTGTGGGAAAGAGCAAGACAGTGGACATATTATAACAAGAAAAGATTAGATGTTCTGACTGTAACTTTTAAAAAAGTTTCAATTAGTGATGATAGAAGGAAAGAGGAACCTAAAGACATAAACCATAGGTAGTATTGTTTAGCTCCATTATCTTGCAAATACAATAATAATGGGACAAGATTAGTGTGGGGAATTGGAGCTGAGCAAGAGAAACACCTGTGAGACTTTTTCAGCCTGTCCCCACTGGCTGAAAATCATTATCTAACAAATAATCTGATTAGCTGTTTTCAGCAACCATCCATTGAAAAGTCCATCCAAAATGGTAAGGAAAGATAAAGAAATGTCAACTTATTCCTCTTACAGAAAAGAAAAATAAAACTTCATACAGGGAGGACTCTTCATGGTTTCCCCTATATTTTTCTTCTCTAAAATCCCAGCTTTCAATGTTTTATATAATCCAGGCTAGGCCCTTTTATCCAATCTGACAATCAACAATTGCTTATCATAAAAGAAGTTCTAGTCAGGTTGTGCCTTTTTATTCCTATCTTAAGCTTTCAAAGAACAGATCATATCCTGCTGCTTTAATAAAAGCCTCCACAGATTTATCTCTATCCATGAGTCCCTATATCCCTTACTCCCTGATTTAATCAATAAGCCACATGGACAGTTTACTAATACCTTACATAATTTTCTAAAATACTTAAACTGGGCAGGAATTATACATTTCATTAGATATACTGATCTCTAGGGGTAATATGAAAGCATTAGATAATAGATTTTTTTAAGAAGGGGAAGTGACATATTCAGATATGCATTTTGAAATTACTCTAGCTATAATGCTGATTGAAGATAGGCCACAGTGGTGGTGAGTAAACAGATTTTACTAGACTGCTGCAGATGCTAGATGATTAGGGTAGCATCAATAAAGATGAAAAGAACTTCACAAATGGCAGCTGACAAATTTGCATTTTTTCATTCTGATCTCAGCCCTAGAAACTAGCATCTAAAAATTAAAACATTTTAAGATAAAACAAAATATAGTTTTCTTAATCTTATCCCATCACTTATTATCTTCAAAAATTAATATCCCGAGGAGTGGCCTATTTTAAATATGGGGCGATAAACATGAAATAACATTCTCTAGTTCAAATAAAACTATGTTAATGGCAGGTTTTTATGATTTCAAGAAAAAAATATCAATAAACTCATGAATATTATTAGATGCCTCTCAACTTACCATTTTTCCAATCATCATTACATAAGGTCCTGCCTGTTGATTTACAGCTAGAAAATCTAGCAAACGCACATACCAAAATATTATGTTAAGACAGTAAATTAATCTTCCGGCAACAAAAACATGATTATCATATGCATTCTCAAAGTTCCATTTTGCTCCAAATCTTAGTCCAAATCCAATGAAGAAAGAAATTATGGCAATTGTATCACTGATATTGAAGTAATCACTAAACCACACTTTAATCTTCTGGCTTATTTTTCCAGCTTCAGACATAAAGATCTACAGGTTTAAAAAAAAAATTTCAATTAAACTATTTAAGAAATCACTTTCTTCCTGTTAAAATGTACATCAGCATTCAATTATAATATCACAGAATTTTATGGATCTTTTAATATTTCAAAGTTTTACTTACTTATTTTTAAGATTTTTAATTATTTATTCAATGAAAGACAAAAAGACAGAGGCAGAGACACAGGCAGAGGGAGAAGCAGGCTCCTCAAGGGGAGTCCGATGTGGGACTCGATCCTGGGACTCCAGGACCACGCCCTGTGCTGAAGGCAGATGCTCAACCACTGAGCCACTCAGGCGTCCCTCAAAGTTTTTTTTTTTTTTTTTTTTTTTAATTAAAGTTCAGTTAACACACATTAGTTTCAGGTGTACAACATAGTGATTCAAAAATTCTATACATTATGCTCTGCTCACAAGCATAGTTATCACGTTACCATACTATGCTGTTACAATACCACTGACTATATTCCTTATGCTGTATCCCTAAAACTTACTCATTCCATAACTGGAAGCCTGTGCCTCCCATTCTCTTTCACCCATTTTGCCCAGCCAGCCCTTCACCTCTCCTCCCCACCATCACTTTGTTCTCTGTGTTTATAGGGCTGTTTCTGCTTTTGTTTCTTTTGTTTTTAGATCTTACATATAAGTAAAATTACATAGTATTTGTCATTTGGTATTTGGTATTTGTCAAAATGTTTGATTATCTTGGGATCTGATGATGTATTTGATCACTAAAACAATTCAGTTAGGTATCAGAGACAGGTATTTATCTTTTTTTTTTTTTAGATTTTTTATTTATTTATTCATGAGAGACACAAGCAGAGGAAGAAGCAGGCTCCATGCAGGGAGCCCGACGTGGGTCTCGATCCCGGGACTCCAGGATCACGCCCTGGGCTAAATGCAGGTGCCAAGCTGCTGAGCCACCCAGGGATCCCCCTTATCTTCATTCTATATATGTATGTGTATGTGTGTGTACACATACCCACAAATAAATGATCTATTCAATCAAGGTCATCCTACCAAGAAGCTGAAAGTCTTTTTTTTTTTTTTTTAAGATTTTATTTATTCATGAGAGACCAGAGAGAGGGGCAGAGACACGGGCAGGGGCAGAAGCAGGCTTCATGGAGGGAACCTGACATGGGACTCGATCCCAGGTCTCCAGAATCACGCCCTGGGCTGAAGGCGGCACTAAACCATGGAGCCAACCAGGCTGCCTGAAGCTGAAAGTCTTAAATGAGAACAGAATCTCTAGAAAGTGAGATACTTCTGAAAGTTGTTTTATTTTCATTGAAACAACAGGATACCCTGGTAGAATCTTTTAAAGGTATCTTATTTGCAGAAAGTAAACAGCTCAATGGCTTAAGTACCTATACTTATCTCTTCTCTTCAATATAAAAATTAGAAATTTGCAGTGCCTGAGTGGCTGAGTTTGGTTGAGTGGACAACTCTGGATTTTGGCTCAGGTCAGCCCCACACTGGGCTCCGCACTCAGCGTGAAGTCTGTTTGAGTTTCTCTCCCTCTGCCCCCCACGCTCTCTCAAATAAATCTTTAAACATTTTTTTTTATTTTTTGTGGGGAATGGTAAAACATTTACAGCTTTAAAATAATAGTATATATAAAAATAAGTACTAAAAAGTCTCCCTTTCTTTTTTCTTAGCCAATTAACTTCCCTTCCCACTACAGGCAACCAGTTATTACAATCTAATGAATCCTTGGTACAATTATTTTTATGAATATGCATTTCAAAAATTCTTTGCAGCTTTATCATTTAACAATTTAATTTTTTTTCTTTTTTTTTTTAATTTATGATAGTCATACAGAGAGAGAGAGAGGCAGAGACACAGGCAGAAGCTCCATGCACTGGGAGCCCGATGTGGGACTCGATCCCGGGTCTCCAGGATCGCGCCCTGGGCCAAAGGCAGGCGCCAAACCGCTGTGCCACCCAGGGATCCCACAATTTAATTTTTCAAACATGTTGGTAAAAAAACAGATTTTATAAACATAAATCATGGCACTCAAGGGAATTAAAAATGCATAATAAACTACTTAGGATAAATTCCTATGATATCTAAGTAGAAGGGACGTACACAGCTTTCATTTGTTTTTGCAAAATAATGTATTCTTTGAATCTAAAGCCAGACATGAAATAACTCAGAAGTCTTAAGTCAGCATATTATGAAACTATATTTATGTAGTTACTAGTTTGTATAAAAAGTATAAACATTCAAAGAAAAAAATTTTTTTTTCAAAATCAAGATGTTAGAAAATTTACAATTTAAACTGAAAACTGTGATAGACACAAGAATCTAAATTTTAATAATAATTCAATAGGCAATTAGAGCAAACTTCAGTGGGAAGTACAATGTAACAACAAAGTAAAAATCTACTTATAATTTACCTGATTGGGTATATGTGTAATTAATACTTTTTGAAGAGGGACAAAGAGCATAAATATAAATGCTGATGAACTAAAACATAAACAGATCTAGGCTATGTTTCTGAGACAAATCATGATCTTCGTAATTGTGACAAAGTTAACATACTGATCTCTATTCTTATGCTATAATTTTTAGAATACCAAAAATGACACATGTTCTACACTTCTATAATGTCATCACCTACTGATTATGAGTAACACATACTCGCATACATACCAAAAACAAAACACAACACCCCCCACATATACAGTTAAGTTACTGGTAGGAAAAACAAGACATACCTCACGGACTTTCTCAATAGCATAGGTAAAAATATAAGCAATAACAATCCATTCTTGAATTGAAGGTAATCGTTCCATTTGTACAAGAACCACAAATGTATAAAGCATCAGAAATCCTAAGTATGCCAACTAATGAAAAAGAAAACACAAAATATGAATAATATTAATGACAAGATAAATTTTTTTACTATCAAAAATTTCAATCCAACACACAAAAGAGACTAAATGAAGCCCTATGAACTATCTCAAAGCTTCAATCATTAAAAGAGTTTTAGGGGCACCTGCGTGGCTCAATTTAAGTGACTGGTTCTTGGCCCTTGGTTTTGGCTCAGGTCATGATCTCAGGGTTGTGAGGTTGAGCCCCACACTGGCCTCCACACTTAACATGGAGTCCTCCCTCTCCCTTCCCCTTTGCCCCTCCCTCTGTTCACATGCTTTCTCTCTAAAATAAATAAATAAAATCTTTAAAAAATGTTTCAGAAGTAGCTTCAGTGCAGACACTGCATTTATCAATCAAAACATAAACAGTGGCGCAGCGGTTTGGCGCCGCCTGCAGCCCAGGGCGTGATCCTGGAGACCCTGGATCGGGCTCCCTGCATGGAGCCTGCTTCTCCCTCTGCCTGTGTCTCTGCCTCTCATTCTCTCTGTTTCTATGAATAAATAAATAAAATCTTAAAAAAAAAAAAAACATAAATGGTTCCCAGGGTATAAATACGGTGTTCTAGAACTTTGATCGCTTTTTAGTACTTCCCATAGGAAGAATTTTAAATAGAAGGTTTATGTTCTTAGCATAGTTCATATAATTCCATTTAACTTATACTATACCTAAAGTATAATATATTAAACATACTATAAACATCATCACCACCATCATCATCAAAAAACACATACTACCTGCTTCCTCCTTCCCCCAACCAAATACTATTCCCAGGAAAGACAAATGGTATTTTCCTAACTCCCAGTCACTGAGATTGAATCCCAAGAAGTGAAAACAGATATGAAGGTCATTTTCCCTAGGTAAGGTAACATCCCACCTTTGATATTCTTAACAAAAAAGATTATAGGCAGATAATAAGATCTATGTATAATAACATCTGAAGATTTGTTTCATATTAAAACCCAGACTCGCTCACCCTTGAACAACTGTATCTAAGTATCCTCTTCTTGTTCTCCTTGCCTCTACCACTGTTAAAACAAGCTATATTCTTGATTTAAGCTATGGCAAGGCGGGGAAATAAATTCCAATAAATAAGAAGAAGAAATTTCTATCTGGACATCAGGATTGTCTATTTTTAAACAATCAAATGAATGAAAACATGACAAAAATGAAAAACAGCAAAACAATAACAAAATATACAATTTAAGAATTTTTCTGGGGAGGGGAATAAAAACTCATTCATTCAATCCATGGTTTAAAACTGGAGCTAATCTCATGTGCTTCTTAAAATGAGTCCACTCCCCATGGACATATATACCCTTTGATCTAGGGGAGAAAATTATTCTTCCACAAAGCAAGAGAAAAGCCAATTATATGTCAGATAATAACATGTACCATGCTATGATTAAGGAAATAAACTATTATGCCACTAATAAACAAAACTATATGAATGATCTAGATTATTTTTCCCCATCAAATTAACACCGCAAAAACGTTCATTTAAAAACTTTTACATGTTCTCTGCAAAATCCTAAAGCACAAAAACATATCAGTGATTCTTCTGGTTAATCTTTACCAAAGTTTTTGGTGGGTGATTTGTATTTCATAGCTGCTTAAAAAGGCATATGGTTACCAAATTTTTGTTTAGTCAATTTCTAGTTCCAATTAGAATTGAGATTTGTTAGTATTTATTATTCTATATGATGGCAACCAGGATAAAACGAAGTTAAACTTATACTCTTTTAAGCATTTTATTTATTTCAGAAAGAAAGAGCATGAGAGAGAGAGCACGAGCACAGGGGAGGGGTAGAGGGAAAAGCAGACTCCCCGCTAAGCAAGGAGCCCAATGTGGGACTTCATCCAAGAACCCCAGGATCATGACCTGACCTGAAGGCAAACTCTTAACTAATTGAGCCACCCAGGTGCCCAAACTTACGCTCTTTTAAATGGAAAATGGCTTGTTATATCAAGATAAATATGGATAAATATGGACTTTAGACAAAAGGTTCCCTAAAGTTTATCATTTAAAAACACTATGTTCATACAGTTTAAATAACATACAACATACCGTATTAAACCAGAATTTTACAATTGGTGCATGATAAAAGGCATAAAACTTTCTTGTAATGGGAAGCTTTTTTGATTTTATTTGTATCTCCATTTCATTCTTTCCTTCATTACTGTCCAATATTCTTACTTCTTTAAACACTTCCTAAAATAAAAATAACACTTATCATACATTCATTCATAAAAAGTTTATATTTACTTAAAAATATTTTTCCTCCTTACCATGGGTATCTCTTCTGCTACGTTTTGAAAGTTGTTTTCACTATCTTCCATTGTCATTTGATGGGCATCTTGAGATTGTGGAATATGAGACATTTCAGCCTTTGTTTTATATTCTAGCATTAATATGGCAGGTGGAACTAAAATGCTTAATATGACCTAAAAATTTTAAAAACATGTGAGTTTACATTTTAAAATTAATGAACTTTAATAATAAAAAGAATTAAAAGGTATTAAATATCTTGATTATTAGTTAGCCAATCCGCCACTGTTAGTATAGGGGAAAAAAAAAAAACAAAAACTGCATTTTTTTACTTGCATATTATATTTAAAGAGGCCCAGGTTGAATTGTTTTAAGGAGTAATAAAACAATTGAGTACTATGATATGAGGATATAGAAAAGATTTAGTAATTTGTTTTATTCTTTAAATAAAATTCAAGTCTTATGAAGCTATTGTGTTTAATTTTATCCAAAATCTCTTTGCAACTATTCTATGTCATAACACAATTACTCAGCTTGTGCCTCTATAAACAGGTTTATTTGTAATATTTTATGTTATTACCTGCAAAATATCCTACAGCACAAATAAATTATAATTGTGTATCAGGGTTTTTATTGGTTAATCTTTCACCACTACTTTTATTAGATGATCAGTATTTGTTATCTATTTACAATGGTTAAACCACTTGCCTGATTTCTGCCTTCTACATTTCTGTACCTTATTTAAGATATAAGATAATGAAAAGGAAAGTTTAAAGTAGTATCTCTCACTATGATGAAACCAAAAGAACCAGTCAACATTTTATCTGATGAATTCTTTCCATAAAAACTAGGTATATCTAATGTACTTCAATTATTCAAGTAAAACAAATTATTAAGTTAGTAGACAGGTCGTCAATTTTAGAATATGGAAACTATCTTTTCATAAAGAAGCAACTTTTTTTCATGGCCGCTCAGGACTGTAAACACCAATACTTCCATTTGTTGCCCCATGCTTCTAGCTCAGAGAGTTGCAATAATCAACACCAGAAAGGATTTAGAGTGAAGAATAGGAAGAAAAAAGAGGCCACTTCATGCCACTTGAGATAAAATGCCAACACTGCCACCCCCAGAATTCTCATAAATCAAGGCATTTTACTAGATATCTGGGCTAATTCTCTCTTTTTATCTAATCACATACTTTATATCAAATTGTTTCTAAGGTATACCTTGTACCAGGAATTTTTCCTCATATTCAGCCTTCCCATCCACATATCAGATAACAACATTTGTGTACAGGTGTGAGCTACAAAAGGTCTAAGTCTTGAAGAAACTGCTAACTTGAGGCAGGTAGAATTACTCCAGTTTTTCAGTTCATAAGTAAGCAATTTCATAGCCATAGTTTCATCTTGTCTGAAAGATTGTTCTAGTAATTCAACTGCTAGTTGACCAAAATCACTATCAAAAGAAAAAGCCAAAACATTCATATTACCAAACTGTAGTTGTAGACACTATACTTACAAAATTTCATTTCATATTTAATATTTATTTTTAATATAACATTTATTTTTAATATTGACACTCAGGAAATTATAAGGCATTAGAATCATGTAGCTCTGTTCCCAGATGTCTACTACTATGGTGGATATCACAAAATATTAAAATATGTCACATTAAGAAATGAATAGGGATTAACCTAATTATGAAAAACACCTGAATCTTAGATCCCCAGTAAGTGGTCATAAGATCCCTGCTTGAGTTATCTTCAGTAATAACTCTTACTCTCTTCCAAAGGCATTTGGGGAAAGGTAAATCCTGTTTTCTAGCAAAAAGTTTCCTACAAAATATCTTTCCAGCTTAATATTCCCATTATTCTGTAAGTGTAAACTTCTGTGAACCGTTTTACTCTTCCACATATGTAGTTCTACCTTCCAAAATGCCCTTCGAAAGGAAAAAACAAAAAAACAAGAACAAAACAAAACGCCCTTCCAGTTGAATTCAATTCATTTCCTTAGAACACAGCTCAAAATCTCACTTTCTTTTCCTTACCACTTCAAATGGAACTTTTCCTAATCGAATTAACTGCTAGTACGTGCAATTATTAAACTGACTTCTGGCATTTCTTCTTTCTTGCTAAAATACTTAACGCTTGAATTATAAACAATTTTACAACCTCTTTTTATGTGCATAAGCAGGAAAGTTTCTTTCTGAATTTTAAGAAGTATCTAATACATTCTGGGGCATGCGGGTGGCTCAGTAGGTTAAGCATCCCACTCCTGATTTTGGCTTAGGTCATGATCAGAGTTGGGAGATGGAGCCAAGAATCGCCCTGGAGTCCATGCCCAGTGAGGAGTCTGCTTAAGATTCTCTCTCCCTCTCTCTCTGCCCTTCTCCCTCCCTTTCAACCAACCAATCAATAATTAAAAGTACCTAATACATTTTAATTGTGCCAATAAAATTATACATATATATATACCCACTAAGTGCATGACACTATACTCTTCACTTAAACATATTGTCGTTTTTAAATGTTTGAAAGATAAAATCTAACTTACTTAGAATACTGTTTCAATTCTTCTGAAGTATCATCTACAAGGTCACTCTGCTTTGCTTCATATGCCATTGAACGATAGATCTTACAGGCAACTAATGCTTTAGCCATTGATTCTTCACCATGCTGCCATAAAAATCGGGCCATGACCTGTCTCTTCATAAGGCAAGCCCAAATTAGCAGTTCATTAAGTGGGTAAGGAAAGCGCTTGGTTTCTGGATCATCAATATCTACAATTTCATCTTTGGCTCTTTTCTTCTTTCCTTCTTCCACAGCTGTATCAATCTTCAAGGGAAAACAAATGTCTAAGATTCATTCTAATAAGGCCATGTGACATTACTGTGAGAATTGTTACAAAATCTCTTTTACACTAGTCTTCAAATTCATACAACTGCACAAATCAAAATGGTAAATTTTATATGCTTAATTTTATTATAGCTCGGGTTTCATAGAAACGGTATTTCTAAAAAAAAAATCATTATAATATAGTTTTCCAAAATTAAAGGGCCTAAATATTTTGACTAATACCTGATAAAACATAATTTTAATGAAAGTAAAGTTTGTATAAAACACTTTTATCTCACATGTTAAGTTAAAGTGGAATAAAAGAAGGCAGTTAACATTTAGAAATTTTTATTAGTGCTAAATATAAAAAAACCTCATAGAATCACTAACTTCATAATATCTTTTTGCATGAGAGAATCAAAGATATATCTACAAACAAAAGTTCATTCTTGCTAAAACAAGTAGTTTTTTGTTTCATAAATACTAGTAAATTAGAAAGAACGAAATCTAGAAAAGATATTACTTATGTGAACATACCTTTGGTCGATAGGGCTGTGCTGTTTTAATGAAATGATTGTGTCTCATTTTTTCCTTTTTATCTGCCCTATTGCCAAAAGATTCATGACTCTTGCGTAACTGAGGAGTGCTGCTGGACGTATTTCGGCCAGATCTCTGAAAATGAAAGCTTATTAGTTTTTACAAATTTAAATATACTGATAAATCATAAAAATGCAAGACTCAATTCATATCTATGTACAAATGTGTACACACAGAAAAAAATGCTTTGTTTTGGATTTCAGTTACAAAATATTTCTATGTACTTTTATAGTTGAAAATAAAGTATTTTTAAGACAATGCTTTCACTATTCTGAGTAATTTTAAACTTTTAAAGTGTTTTTATGAATTTTTAACTTATAAAGTGTATAAAGTACATGTGTAGACCTCCCCCCAAATATTACATACCCGATTATTTCCACCAAGACTATTATATATTAATCGAAAACGTTTCCGAGTATAGGTGCATCTATAGGTTCCTCCCATAAGATATTCAATAACAAGTCCTATATCGATTAGGGTGATCTTATATCCCGGAGGAAGATTTCCCTGGAAACAAAACATTAGTTTTATATAGACAGGATATTTCTCAATATTTTCATAAGGGCCTAGAAATGCACCTAATCTACAAAATGACAAACGTTTACTTGTTACAGTAAGCTGGGGTTGCCAGTACCTATCTTTACAGGAGAAGGAAATAATCTCTTCCTCATTTCTTTCTATAAGAAGAGGGGATTCTGAAGTTTTGAAGTCACAAAGGTGTGCTCAGGACACAAGTATGGCTTATAGCATAAGTTCATTTGATCTTTCCAATGCCCTAATACTTTATACATAAAGGCAAAGGAATTTTTTGAGCCAAGTATTTCATTTTCACAGCGACACATTATCATCAATTGCATCCTGCAAAAATAATGCTATAAGTGTTAATTATATTTCCAGACTGGCCCATAAGTACCTATAAGTATTTTTTAGCCAAAATTATATTGGCTATATTATAGGTTACACAAGTTTTTTATAGCCTCATCTAAGATTTAAACTACTACTTATAACATTGTTTAGAACTAAGACTTCATTTTCCCAGGACATAAATTTACAAATAAACTTCTGGACCATGAGCCACTTGTGAGTTTGGAAGACTGCCTGTTCAGAATCATGTATTTGGTTAATTTCATTAAATAATCTTGAAAGGGTTTAATTGTAAGATGATTTACATATATCAATCAATTCTGCCCTCCTACCATCACCATTCTTTCCATTTCCCTAATCATAATTTCATAAAATTAAGACTTAAAAAAACTTTTTAAAGATTTTATTTATTTATTTGAGAGAGAGAAAGAGAGTGTGCACACAATAGGGAACAGCAGAGGGAAAAGGAGAGACAATCTCAAGCAGAGACCAAGTTGAGTGTGGAGCCTGATGCGGGGCTGGATCTCACGACCCAGAGATCATGACCTGAACCGAAATCAAGAGTTGGATGCTTAACTGACTGAGCCACTCAGGCACTCCTAGGTGCCCCAGTACTTTAAAAATTTTTTTATAATTTGGTTTCATCTGTGAAATTTTAAATTTCTAAATACTTATACTCCTTAAATCTGATTTAAAAATTAATCAAAAATTATTTTCACCTTAAATGCAAGATGTTTTTTTGTCGAGCCATTTCCAAATATATTTATAAATGAAGATATCATGCTAACTTTTTAGTTTTCTTTTTTCAAAAAACTTGACAAATACCATATGACCTCACTTACATGGGAAATATTTAAATTAAGGGAAATTAAGTGAGTTATCTAAAAAAGCACGATGAGCAATTTCTCAAACTATACAATACTGATAGCACTCAACTTATTAATTTGATTCAGAAAACAGTGAATTATTGCCTTTACTTTAGGATTTTTCACTTATAGAAATTTTAAAAATTGGTTTAGTATAGCTACCAATGTAAAGATAATCAATATATAACATCTTTTTTCATTTTTAATGATTTTATTTATTTATTCATGAGAGACAGACAGGAAGAGGGAGAAGCAGGCTCCCTGAGAACAGGTTGCCCAATGCAGGACTCAATCCCAGAACCCTGGGATTGGGACCTTAGCTGATGGGAGACGCTTAACCAGTGGAGATACCCTGGCTCCAACAAATCTGTTTCTAGAATTAACAACTATAGTTCTTTCTGCTAACCCACATAAGTAAATCATAATGCAAATGTGTTTTAGGAACCCCTGGACTGAAGATCTACCCCATCACTCAAGCTTTCTAGGAAGAAAAAAAGCTTTATTTTAACCACGACAATGAAACCACAAATCAATGTGAAACATCCAGAATAGACAAATCCATGCAGATAGAAAGCAGATTAACAGTTGGCTGGGGGGGATCCCTGGGTGGCGCAGCGGTTTGGCACCTGCCTTTGGCCCAGGGCGCAATCCTGGAGACCCGGAATCGAGTCCGACATCAGGCTCCCGGTGCATGGAGCCTGCTTCTCCCTCTGCCTGTGTCTCTGCCTCTCTCTCTCTGTGACTATCATAAATAAAAAATAATAATAATAAAGAAATAATAAAAAAAAAAACCAACAGTTGGCTAGGGGGACGCCTGGGTGGCTCAGCAGTTGACCGTCTGCCTTTGGCTCAGGGTGTGATTGATCCTGGAGGCCTGGGATCGAGTCCCATATCGGGCTCCCTGCCTGGAGCCTGCTTCTCCCTCTGCCTATGACTCTACCTCTCTCTCAGTGTCATAAATAAATTAAATAAATAAATAAATAAATAAATAAATAAATAAAATAAAATAAAATAAAATAAAATAAAATAAAATAAAATAAAATAAAATAAAACAAAACAATTGCTTAGGGCAGGGGACAGGCAGGGATTAGAAAAGGAAGCAGGAATGTGGAGTGACTACTAATAGGTACAGTTACTTTAAAATTAGATTGTAGTGATAGTCACACAACCGTGAATATACTAAAAGCCACTGAACTCCTTAAATGAATCAATTTTATAGTATGTGAAATGTTTTAATGAAGGCATAAAGGAAAATAAATGGAAAAAATTGAATTAAAGAAAAAATATTTCTAAGTATAATAAAGTCTAAGTTCTTCCTACAGGATGCTAGTTTATTATTAAATAAAACAGAAAAAATTAAAACAAAATGACATTTCCTATTTAATTTTTCAGTTAATAGTATACTCATATTTAAGAGCAAGCCGGGATTGAGTCCCACATTGGGCTCCCTGCATGGAGCCGAGCCTGCTTCTCCCTCTGCCGGTCTCTCTGCCTCTCTCTCTCTCTCTCTCTCTCTCTCTGCCTCTCTCTCTCTCTCTCTGTGTGTGTGTGTGTGTGTGTGTGTCTCATGAATAAATAAAATGTTTTTTTAAAAAAAGTTCTAGAAAAAAAGCATTTTAGTTCACAAACTAAAAAAAATTTCAACTAATTAAATGAATACCTTCTCACTAGGAAAACTACTGGATACCAATATTTTAAATGACTATACAATTTTTAATAAATGTCTAAAACTATTAATTCATAAAGAATCCTAATAGTAGAGTAGGGGGATATTAGTCATCAAATTCAGTGACCACAGAATGGCTTTAGACCATATGACTGTTAGACATTCAGTCTTGATCAATACTGCATATGAGGAGAGGGTTCAGGGACGCCTGGGAGGCTCAGCGGTTTAGCGCCTGCCTTTGGCCCAGGGCGTGATCCTGGAGTCTGGGATCGAGTCCGGGACCGATCCCGCATCAGGCTTTCTGCATGGAACCTGCTTCTGTTTCTCTCATGAATAAATGAACATTTCAGCATTTTTACTGGCAAAATCTTCCATGAAGATCACCATCCTGTGCTTCCCTCAATGTCTTTATTCAATATCTTCTAAAGGCCCAGGTAACAAATTTCTTGTGAACACAGAAAGAAAATACATTCTGATGGACCAATGAGTATTAAGAACTTTATCACACTTTGTCTCAGATGACTAGAAGCTCAGAAAACTGGGTCTTAATTTCATAACCTTTCCTTTTTCTTCATTTGATATATTATGCTCTTTATTTCTATGTTACCAGAAATTTAGCCCTTATTTTTATCTTGTTCTAAAAAAATGTCATTTTATTGCTATTTTTAAGAAGTATATTATTTAAATGTGTTTTGGAAACAGATGAAGTGTAATCAATTTTTAAAATAGCATTTTCAAAAACCAAAACAATCTCTTACCTGTTTGACATCCCGAACGAGATGAAATAGCATTGGATTAGTTGGACCTTGTTTCTTTAAAAGGAGAAAAAAGTAGAGCAAATTATTATTTTTCTTCTAATATAATGTTAACAACTTCCTTCCAACACAACTTCCAACACAAATTTTAAATCATGCAAATGCTGCAAGCTTCACAATTCTATCTTTAGTTTACATTTCTTTCACTGATAATGGAGCTATATATACTCTCTTCTTGTTAGAATGTACCTTGTTTCTGCCACTAACCATCAAGTTGCACCAATACTTTAAATAGTTTGGGTAACAAACTTGTAACATATATGTCATCTTAATTTCCACTTAAGGAAGTTAAATTGGCATACTTACATCCATAAGTATCTTAATATCTTACTCCCATTTATGTATACTATTAGACTAACCACATGTTCCATTTTTACAGTAATCTTATTTTGATGGTATCAAATATCATCTCCCCCATCAAGACTGAGGTAAATGGGCCAAAAATGTGTTCTTTCTAGACAGTGCTTTGATTCGTCTAAAACTTACTGCAATGAATTCTAGGCATCTAGGCATTACAAATAAAGATTTATTTTCAACACTTTTATTGTTTAAAAGAAGTATCAGAAACGTCTGGGTGGCTCAGGTGGTTAAGCATCTGCCTTCAGCTAAGGTCACGATCCTGGGTTCCTAGGATCAAGCCCGGTGTCAGGCTCCCTGCTCAGCATAGAATCTGCTTCTCCTTATCTCTGTGAGTGTTCATGTGCTCTTTCTCTCTCAAATAAATACATATCAAAATTAAATAAATAAATAAAATATCAAATGGGATTAATCCATCATTGTTGTTATTAATTTTTTATGAGGTCATATTAATCCATTCAATCTACTTTTCCATTTTGATCACATATACTTGGTAATAGGTAATAGATTTGCAAATCTAACAGGGTAAGCCTCTAACTTCTTTAAAACATTATTTTATTGATTTATTCTATATAATACCTGAAGATAACTGTACCTAATACCAGGCATAAACTCTATTTTGCCTTACTTTGCTCTTTCTCTTTTTACAATATTTAATCTATCCAATACTCAGGAGCTGAGTTCTCTCTGGCAATGCTCCATATTAATTTTTTAAAAATAATATGAAGTATTTCATATTTTTTAGGTATTAGCAAGTTTCACTGTATTTTCTCTAACTGTATATAATATAGAAATGTAATATTTTAAAAAAAAGAAATGTAATATTTAGAATTCTGTTTTATCTTAATCCATTAATTTTGTGTATTAAATATAATTTTTTAGTATAAAATAAATATACTTTAATAGAGCAGTTTTCAAAGTGTGGTCCCCTGAAAGCCCCCAAGACTGTTTTAGTCCATGAGATCAAAAGTATTTTCAGAATCATGTTAAGATGTTATTTCCCTTTAGGGTATCTGGGTGACCCGGTTAATTAAGCATCTGACTCTTAGTTTCCACTCAGGTGGTAGTCTCAGGGTCATGAGATTGAGCTCGTCAGGCTCCGCTCTCAACCTACTTAAAGTTCTCTTCCCCTTTCCCTCCAACCTTTTCTCTTTCCCTCTCTCTCTTAAAACAAAACAAAACAACCATGTTATTTGCATTTTTTCATTTCTCTCAGTGTTCAGTGAGAAACTCTCAGTGCAGTTTCCAGAGGATTCTTGCTGTGTGATAGCTAAATTTAAAAGGTTCTGGGGCACCTGGTGGCTCAGGGGTTGAGCATCTGTCTTTGGCTCAGGTCGTGATCCTGGGGTCCTGAGATCGAGTCCCCCATCAGGCTCCCCATGGGGAGCCTGCCTATATCTCTGCCTCTTTCTGTGTCTCTCAAGAGTAAGTAAATTAAAAATCTTAAAAAATAAAGTTGCCTTCTATGAAGCTACACATTAAAGAGATTTTAACCGGTAAATCTATTCTACTCTCCTCACTAATCTATTTTTTTCTTGAAAAATGTTATTTGTATTAACATGTAATGGATTTATTGTTATTACTTAAAATAAGTATTTTTTAAAAATACTGGTTTTACGTTCTAATATGGTAAATATCAACATATATAAACAAACCCACTTTAAAATAGCTTTTAAGCTCAACAATTTTTATATAATAGGGCCCTGATAACAAAGCTTGAGAACCACATCTTTGTGTTTTATAATCCTTTAACATTAAAAAAAATTCATCAGTATGAAAAGTAACTGTTATCTTAATAACTTTGAGCTACACAATTAAGTATTTGCCTTGCTAATGGTATCAAATTTTAAAAACTTAGAGAGTGAGAGAGAAAGAGAGAACAAGTGTAAGGAGGGACAGAGGGAGAAGCAGACTCCCCACAATGCAGAGAGCCCAATGAAGAACTCAATCCCAGGACCCCAGAATCATGACCTGAGCCAAAGGCAGACACTTAAATGACTGAGCCACCCAGGCCCCTTATTTCTATTATTTTATATCCAGCTTTACATTTCAGGGATAAATTATTACTGTGGCACAATGAATAATCCTTTTAATTTTTATATCTGTTTGCTAGGAACAAGTAGAATGTCAACAAAGTTCAATCTAACTGTGCTAGACACTATTTAAGAAAAAATGGAGGAAAATAAAAATATAATCCCTACTCAAAAAAAATTTACAATCCAAAGGGAAAGATATAATTATCCTCAACTAACTATGCCAATGGGTTTATTCATGGGTTCAGAAGCAGTGGCATGGCTACATTCTAAATAATGAATACAATTCCAGTAAGTGAGGAGTAGCTAAGAAAAAAACACACACCAAAACTTTGTAAACAAATGCTTTCTTAAACAGTTTATATTTTGGGAAAATAGTAGGTAGACAACATAACCAAAATATCTAGTATGGGAAGGTGGGGGTGGGAATAAAAGGCCAAGTGATAGAGTTAGCTACGGCAAAATTTCAAAAGCTGAAGAGCTTTGAAAATCAAGCTAAGGGTTTGGGTATTATTCTATACACACTGGGGAACTATCAAAGATTTTTTAACTGGGGAAAGATATGGTAAAATATAGGATTATAATAATTAGTTTAAAGAATTGATTTGAAGAAAGGACAGGAGATTAGATTACAGAAGTAGTATGACTGCTAAAAGGACAAAGTATAATAACATTAGGCATGAAAAGGAAGAGATACAAAGAAATTGATCAATGTACAGAGAGCTTTGCAGAAAAGTCAAAGTTAGAAAACTAGGATTTGGTAGTAGTGTACCTCAAAATATAGCTCAATTAAAATAATGTTGGTAACATGGAAAACCAGTAAGAAGGGCAGTATTTACTCTCTCCAATGCTAGACAATCTTTGTATAGGGAACAGTTTTCAGGAGCTCTTTAGAAAAAAAAAATGAAAAATGGTATGTAAGCTAAAAGGGGATATCACAAGGTTAAAATTATGAACGTAAAAAACAAAAAGAAGAAAACACAATGTGTAATTTCTCCATTACGAAAAGGCATCCAATGAAATTTAGTGTAATAAACGACCACCAAGAAGGGGGGAAAGAAAAGGAAATACAGTGACTTTTAATGAAGAAGCTAATCCTACAGTTTTAAAAAGTGGTGAAGGGAAGAAATGGGAGACAGTTGTAAACACTTTACCTCCTTCTTACGTGGCTATGGTATCAGGGAAAATCTCCAGAAACAAGGAAAGAGTTTCAGATTGTCACATAACCAATCTACCCTAAGACTGGCAGTAATTTTTCCAAGTCATCAAGCAAATCATTAAAGGTCTTGGCAGTGGAATTTGATATGTCCAGGTAAAATGACACTTCCCAAAGATGATAAAGCTTATTCAACAAAGAATTCTGACACATACTTACTGTGTTGTAAAGTTCTTCCAGTCTAGGAATGGTAAGAAATTTATGCATGCTTACTCCATTTTCAATAAGAAGCTTCACAAATGCAACTCTATCCATCACAAGAGCATCAAGCATAGCTTGTTCCAAGGATCCAACCTAAAATATAAAAATTAATGAATATATTTCACAAAGTCTAATTATACAAAGTTGTTTTTTGTTTAAGATTTTATTTATTTATTCACGAGACACACACAGAGAGGCAGAGACATTGGTAGAGGGAGAAGCAGGCTCCCTGTGGAGAGCCTACCTAATGTACAACTCAATCCCAGGACCCTGGGGTCACAGCCTGAGCCAAAGGCAGGTGCTCAAACACTGAGCCACCCAGGTGCCCCACAGATTAAAAATTCTAAATGCAATTCCTTATTTGTTTCTCAACAGTTTTAGAACAAAATTAAAAAGATGCAAAATAGGTGAGGCCTGAGAGGCTCAGTCTGTCAAGTGTCCAACTCTTGATTCTGGCTCAGTTCATTATTTCAGGATTGTGAGATCAAGCCCTGCATCCAGCAGCCTGCTTAAGAGTCTCTCTATCCCTCTTCCTCTGCCCCTCCCCAACAAAAAGCAAAATTAGTAAATGGTTAGGAGTTAAGGTATAAAGGGAATAAAAGAAAAGACCTCTACAGAGTAGCATTCCCCAAAAAACATTCCATAAGCAGTATTTCTGCAGGAAAGTGTTGCGTGGGGGGTGGGGAGGTGGGAGTGGGGAATCCATTATCAAGTAAATCTAGGAGAAAAATACCTTAGAGCAACAGTTCTCGACATTTAGGAAAGGTTTTTTAGAGGAATTTTTTTTTTAACATTTTATTTAAATTCAATTTGCCAACATAGTATCTAACACCCAGTGTTCTTCCCCTCAAGTTTGAAGGGATCATTTCAATAATTGAGGATCATTACTAATATTCAAAGGATACCAAAGATCATACCACATGCCAGACAATTGTACTTAAAAAGGAATTGGGGATCCCTGGGTGGCGCAGCGGTTTGGCGCCTGTCTTTGGCCCGGGGCGCGATCCTGGAGACCCGGGATCGAATCCCACATCGGGCTCCCGGTGCATGGAGCCTGCTTCTCCTCTCCTGTGTCTCTGCCTCTCTCTCTCTCTCTGTGACTATCATAAGTAAATAAAAAAAAAAAAAAATTAAAAAAAAAGGAATTGTTCCATATTTTACACAATTCTGTTATCCCATTAGATGTTCATCAATGAAAATGCAGTAATTCTGCTTTATATACAAAGTATTGTCATGGTTTGTTTTACAAAACGAACTTTCCAGAAATCCAACTATCATATAAATTAGATAAGATGATATTTAGCTTTCTTTAGAACTTTAAATTATTCACCATTAGAAAAAATTGTATTTCCAAATAGCAACACGATCTGTGCTGTTTAATATAACACATGTATATCAGCATTTACAAACTGTTCCTTTAAAAAATATATATTTTATTTATTTATTCATGAGAGACACAGAGACAGAGAAAGAGGGAGACACAGGCCGAGGGAGAAGTAGGCTCCCTGCAAGGAGCCAGACGTGGGACTCGATCTCGGATCCTGGGATCACACCCTAAGCCAAAGGCAGACACTCAACCATTGAGCCACCCAGGTACCCCATCACCAAGATCTTTTTAAGGGTATAAACTAAATTTAAGGGTATAGACTATACCCTTATACATGATGGGATTTCAAGAAGAAAGATGTTTTCTGCAGTGTTTTTCATCACTTAGTTCTATGTCATAACAAGGAAAATATTTTGGAATTGTGCTTAAATTAGATAAGGCCACACTAATTAATAACACTGTAAAACTTACTCATTTTCTCATATTAACTGGTAATTTATCATGGCATGTTATTCCTATTTTAGTTGATATTCTTTTTCTCTTACTACATACAAATAATTCTGCTATGTTATTACTTATTCTAACATAAACTAACGTTTATTCAAATTTCTACTTGGTCTTCTTCCTGTTCTTTCCTTGTCCTATACTAGTAATGGGTGTTTTCCTGCTCCCCATGGAATTTAAATTACCAACAACATTCTTGTATTAGTGTGCACTCACAACTGCAGCATTTATACTGATCCTATATAAAATAAGTGCATCTAATTATTTATTATGCCAATTATATGTTGCTATTCCTGAGATCTCTGCATTAAAATATACACTTTTATTATAAATGACTTTTGTCTTTATCACAATAGGGCATTATATTGCTTTTTAAAAATTTGTATAGGGGGACACCTGGGTGGCTCAGTGGTTGAGCATCTGCATTTGGCTCAGGTCGTGATCCCGGAGTCCCAGGATCCAGTCCCACATCAGGCTCCCTGGATGGAACCTGCTTTTCACATCGGCCTGTGTCTCTGCCTCTCTCTCTCTCTCATGAATAAATAAATAAAATCTTAAAAAATAAACATAAAATAAAAATAAAAATTTGTATATGGGTGCCTGGGTGGCTCAGTGGTTGAGTGTCTGCCTTCAGCTCAGGGCGTGATCCCAGAGTCCGGAGATTGAGTCCTGTATCAGGCTCCCCACGGGGAGCCTTTTTCTTCCTCTGCCTATGTCTCTGCTTCTGTGTGTCTCTCATGAACAAAAATAAAAAATAAAAATCTTGAAAAGACATATTAAAAAATTTTTTTGAATAAAAATTTGTATAGTAAGCACTTCATGAAAGTCAATTTTCACATAACAAAAAGGTTATAATGAAACTTATGTGTCTTATCTGAATTGAACAAAAAGAAGTGTTCTTTCTGAATTAGGTTTATAATCACTGCCCTAAAACAACAATAAAGCCCGATAAAATTTCCACATCTGAGGAAAAAAAGTTTTAAAGAAGAAGTATCTGCTTTGTTTCACATTTCTTCATATACTTAATGCATTCTGAACTTCTAAAAACGAAGAGGGAAAACAGTAAGACAATTATGCTGCAAACTAACATGAAGGAAAGCACAAAATCAAATAGCTAACATTGTGCAAAACAAACCCATAAGATAAACCACATATACATAGAAGAAAAAGGCTTTGACCAAGCCTTTACATCTGAGGAGATGGCTCAGTATGAAGAGTGTACAACTCTTTATATCAGGGTCTTGAGTTTGAGCCCCACATTGGTTGTAGACCTTATTTAAATAAATAAATATGTTTGGGTTTTGTTTTTTTTAAGGAAACCAGAAAAAGGAATCAAGTCCAGGTAGGTATCTAGAGGAATACTGTACCAAAGAGAAAAAACAGCAAGTATAAAGATGGGGGGGAACACTCTTGGTATGTTTTAAGAACACGCCTATAAAGGGGTGCCTGGGTGGTTCAATCAGTTAAGCATCTGTTTTCATCTCAGGTCATGATCCCAGAGTCCTGGGGTTGAGCCTTGCAACAGGCTCCCTGCTCAGCAGGGTAGCATGCTTCTCCCTTTCCTCCCCACTTGTGCTCTCTATTTCTCTCTCTCTGTATCTCTCTCAAATAAATAAATAAAATCTAAAAACAAAACAAAACAAAAAAAAGAACACACCAATATAACTACATAAAAGAGTCAAAAGGGAATAGTGTTAACATGGAAGGTAAGAGAGGTAGTAACGGGACAGAAGATGTGAAGCCCTACAAGCCATCATAAGGGCTCTGGATTATGCTCTGCATAAATGTGATGTTATCCATCTTCTGTCTAAAAGGAGAGGAAGAATGAGAATAAGGAATCAAACAGGATGCCCCTAAAACAACATAGAAGAAGGGTGACAGTAGATTGGACCAGGATGTTAAAAAAAATTGGGTAGTTTGAAAGTAGACCTGAAAATGTTTACAAATGGAATTGGATTGAAATATATGAGAAAGACAAAAGTAAAAAAAATAACACTAAGGTTTCTTATCCTCAAAACTGGGAAAAGATTGTTCCCATTAATAAGATGGTAAAGACCATCTGGTTTAAACATCTAATATAACAGTACAATGAATTCTCTTATACATAAAAGACTATTTCTTTGCTTGCTTTCTTTTTCTTTTAACCTTCTGACTATTTTTCCCACTTCTCCATCACTTATCTGTTTTCTGTATCTATGAGCTTAATTTTTCTTTAATTCCACATACAAAAGAGATCGTATGGTATTTATATTTCACCTAGCATGATGATCTCAAGATCAATCTATGTTGTTGTAAATACCAAGATTTCACTCTTTATTATGGCTGAATAATATTCCACTGTATGTATACACAATTTCCTTGTCCATTCATCCATCAAGCCAGAAAACAATAAACAAAATGTCAATAAGTACACATCTATAAATAATTACTTTAAATGTAAATGGAATAAATGCCAATGAAAATGCGCAGTGTTTGAATGGATTAAAAAAACAAGACTCATCACCTATATGAAGCCTACAAGAGACTCACTTTAGATGTAAAGTCACAAACTAAAAGTGAAGGTATAGAATAAGATATTCCATGCAAATGGAAACCAAAAGACAGACGGAACAGCTGTATTTCTCTCAGACAAAACACACTTTAAAACATACACCGTAAAACAAAACAAAACAAAACAAAAAAACCATACACTGTAATAAAAGGCATTACATAATAATAAAGACATCTATCAAACAAGAAGATATAATCTGCATAAATATTTATGCATCCTAGAGAGGACCTAAATATATAAAGCAAATATTAACAGACACAAAGGGAGAAAGAGATAGCAATACAATAATGGTAGCATACTTTACCACACACCCCTTATATCGATAGAACAGACAGAAAATCAGTTAGAAAATATTGGTCTTAAATGGAATTAACAGATATTTACAGAACATCTCATCCAAAAGCAAAAGAACATATATTCTTGTCAAGTGCACATGGAATATTTTCCAGGATAGATTATACGGTAGGCCATAAAACAAGTCTTAATAAAATTAGGAGGACTGAAATCATACCAAGCATCTTTTCCAACCACAATGGTATGAAACTAGAAATTAGTTACACGAGTAAAACTGGAAAATTCACAAATATGTGAAGATTAAACAACATGCTACTAAACAAGGAGTCAAAGAAGAAACAAAAACTATCTTGAGACAATTAAAAATGGAAATACAACATACCAAAACTTGTAAAATGTAGCGAAAGCAGTTCTAAGAGGAAAGCTAATAGCAATAAAGGCCTACACCCTCAAGAAATTTCTAAGTCTCAAACACCTAATTACACCTCACGGAATAAGAAAAAGAATGAACAAAACATAAAGTTAGTAGAAGGAAGGAAATAACAGAGATTAGAAATTAATGAAATAGAAACAAAAAAGATCAATGAAACTAAGAGCTGATTCTTTGAAAAGATAAACAAAAGGTTAAGAAGAGAAACCTTTAGCTAGACTCAACAACAAAAAAAGACTCAAAATCAGAAATAAAACAGAATATGCTACAACTAGTACCACAGAAATACAAATGATTATAAGAAACTATGAACAATTATACACTAAAAAACTGGACAACCTATGGGCTCCCTGCTCTGAGGGATACCAGCTTCTCCCTCTCCCTCTGTCACTCCTCTTGTTTGCGCTCTCTCAAATAAATGAAATCCTTTTTTACAAAATTGAACAGCTAAATCCCTGGGAAATACAACCCACCAAGACTGAATCATAAGGAAACAGAAAATCTGAACAGGTCAATTACTAGTAAGGAGACTGAATCAATAATCAAAAATCTACCAATAAACAGGAGAGCAGGACCAGACAGCTCACTGGTGAATTCTACCAAACATTCATTCAAAGAAGAATTAATACCAATCCTTAATCTCTTCCAACCACATCTTCCAAAGCATCTTTTAAAACAGGAGGAGGAAACTCTTCCAAACTTACTTTATGAGGCGAGCATTATCCTGATACCAAAATCAGATTACACCACCACAAGAAAATTATAGGCCAATATCCCTAATACACAGAGATATACAGGGCACAATTTCTAAGACTTCTTTCAGTTCTAGGATTTTTAGTGATCCAAACCCTATAAAAAGAAAGGTTTCATCATGAGCTATATTAAATCCTAAATAAATCTGGATTTTGTAGAAATGTTTAGCTAAACTAATTTTGCATTTTAGGCAGACGTAAAATGTTAAGCTAGATCACAGTTCCAGCAAATACTTTGTTATTAGGCAGTCTAATTTAATTGCATCATGTATATAGATTATTTACATACCAGCCACTGCTGTCCATAAACAAACACATGATTTTTGGCAATGTCAACTCTATCCCATGCCAGTGTAAGGATGAGCTGGTCAAACGCAGATGCATTAGTGCCTAATTGCATAAAGAAAACAGTTGACAAATTCAATTAATTTATCTCCATTAAAATGTGAACACTTACCAATTCTCTGCATTCCCTTTTAATTAACTCATATAAGCTCATGTCAGTCACTGTTCAGAGGTAGCCTGTCTCACAGAAATAAGGTTACCCCCAACATTGAGGACTTTTATTTTCCAACTACAGAAAACACACAGCCTCACTCATTGCAAACAATTCAGAATACAGAACAGTAAGAATAAAACAAAGATGACCTATCAGAGACAGTACTATGTTAAAATTATAAAAAACATCCTTACTGGTGCTTTTCTGCTCATATATAAATTCATACAAATACTTTTAATCGTTTATGCAGAAGTGCATGATACTATACAAAGTATTCAGTAGCCTATTTTATGTATCTTAACATCATACCTTAGTTTTGTAGAACAGTACATATAAATTTATCTTACATACATATTAATACCCTTTAAAGGAATACTAAAGTTGATTCAACAAACACTCTAGTGGACATTCAGGTTATTTTGAATTTTTTGGTGAGTATACTTTTATGCACATGCTTGATTATTAAAATAGGATGATTATGTAGAAGACAAAATGCTGGATAAAGAATACTTTAAAACTTTTGATATATTGCCATAATATGTTCCAGAAAGGTGATACCACCCATCAATGGTATAATACCCACAAGGAGACTAAAATGCTTCCTTATTAAGATATACTTTGTTTTAATTATAATATTGACCATCCTTCCACATTTTCCCCAAGCATTTATATTATTCTGCTAACATCTTTTACATGAATTCTGACTCATTTTTCCATGAAGTATTCATAATCTTACTATTAATTTATAACAACTCTGTGGTCCCTTTAGATTCCTATTCCTTAATTTCCTCATCTATAAAATGAGGAAATAATAGGAAATTTTCCTGTTAGGGTTGTTGTAAGATTAACAGGTTGTTGTAAGATTAAGTGATCAACAGTGTAAAACACTAGAACACAGTGGTTAGGACAAAGTATATGGCAAATATAGGTGTTCTCTTTTTATTTTTTATTTGTATGCAATACCATTTATTGATCTTTCCCTTTATAGTTTCTGGATTTTCTATTATTGATCTCTGTTCCCAAAGTGTAAATATATTTTATTACATTATTTTTTAAATGTTTGATCTGTTGGCAATTTATTATGATCTAATATTTGGGAACTTCTTGTGAAAGACAACAACATAGTGTCTTCTTGCTTTGTTCCTGCCATTTCACTACATACTTGGACTTTCAATACCCACCCAGATGGGACAAGTTTTAGCTTCCTATTTTTGGAAAGATTTTTCACTATAATTGTTTTATTAGTTGGATGTCTTTGGCAAGGTAATGAGAGGACAACACAGTTTAATGTGATGTGCATTAACCCTTGAATCCTCAAGCATACCACTAGCTTTCTTTCCAAATTTCTTTTCAGAATGAAAACATGTTTTAAAAACATTTAATTTCTATCAACCAAGACCCTATTACCTTTAAACACCTACTTTCAGTCAATTAAAAATGTGGAACATTCTTAATAGGATAATTAAATGGGTCTGGTGGCAAAAACTCTGCTAGAAATTTTAAAAACTTTTAGATTTCTACAAGACAAAAGCAAAAGCCCATTTACTGTCACAGAAAGCTAGCACTGTGTCTTTCACAAAGAACAATTATTAAAAAGTTCAGTTCCCAAACATTTAGCTAGATTAAAAAGTCCTGTGTTATATAAATAGGCTATAAATAAGATCTTATAAATAAAAAGTTTTAAAATCTTACCTTTAAGCAGTGCAGTAAGGATTGCTACATCTATGTCTTGATGTTCATCTGATCCAATGTGAAAAACCGTGATCTATTTAAAGATCAATTCATAATATTATGCCTTTATATTTTCAAAGCTAAGGTATAAGGTATATAAAACAGAAAGTAATTTCAAACTACATGGGAGATAAAGATTTTTTGGGGGGGTTGGTCAGAAATTACTTCATTTCAACCAAAACCCCCCACAAAATTAAAAACCCTTCATCGTTTACCAAATAAAAATGGCAAGTATGCTCAAAATGTTTAATTTCATATTATATTCATTTTTTGACCTATCTTCTATTTTATGTCCTTCATTAGATAAGCAACTTGGGGCGCCTGGGTGGCTCAGTGGTTGAGTGTCTGCATTTGGCTCAGGTCATGATCCTCAGGTCCTGGGATTGAGTCCTGCATCAGGTTCCCCGCAGAGAGCCTGTTTCTCCCTCTGCCTATGTCTCTGACTCTATCTCATGTATAAATAAATAAAATCTTAAAAAAAATAAAAAAAGAAAAAGAATAAGCAACTTAATGGCCTGAGACTACAGTTTACATATCTGAGTAAATCTGAGTAAATCTTAATGTTTTTTCTACAGAGGGAGCATTTAATTCAAGTACTATATCCCTGGTTCTTTTTTTTTTTTTTTAATATTTTATTTATTTGACAGAGAAAAAGAGAGAGCATGAGTAAGGGGAATGGGAGAAGCAGGCCCCCTGCCAAGCAAAGAGCCCAATGCAGAGCTCCATCTCAGGACCCCAGGACCATGACCTGAGCCCAAGGCAGACGCTTAACCTATTGGGCCACCCAGTGGCCCTATATATGTGAATGAAAAATGCATGAAAAATGTTTTCTTCAATCCTTTTACTGGAAATTTCTTTAAATTATTTGAAGTGAAATGCCACTTGAGAGGTTTTCACTTAATAAGACTTTTCATAAAGTAAAAGACTATTTCAACCCCATACACATTTTTCAAGTTTATCGTGTACAAAAAGGAAATGCAATGAAAAACAAGAGATCAAATCCTGTTATCATCTACCTTTTACAGTTGCTAAAAAATTGTATCTCTGAAAACTTAAGCCCATGTTTAGATGACTGAAATTAAGCAACACTGATCTTTAATTTATTTAGAGCATTCAAACAAAGTAAAATAAAATTTTTTTTAAATTTTTTTTCCCCCAGTAATCTCTACACCCAATGTGGGACTCAAACTTACAACCCTGAGATCAAGAGTTGCATTGCTCTATGACTGAGCCAGCTAGGCGCTCCTCCTAATATATTTTAGAGAAGCTATTAATGACTTTTTATAGTTCTTCCTTGATTCTAAATATAACCTGTTGAGGCCTCGTTATTAAAATTTTCGTAAAATAGAAGTGCAAATGTATGTCTCAGTATCATATAAAATTATAACTCTTCTGTGATATCACTCTTTGAACAAAAACAATAAATGATATCTGGACATGGTTAAAAAATAATTTAAAATTTTAAATTCAGGTATGCCTGGATGGCTCCGCGGTTGAGTGTCTGCCTTTTGGCTCAGGGTATGATCCTGGTGCCGGGATTGAGTCCCACATCAGGCGCCCTGTGAGGAGCCTGCCTCTACCTCTGTCTATGTCTCTGCCTCTTTCTCTGTGTCTGTCATGAATAAATAAATTTAAAAAAATTTTTTCTTAATCCAAATTAAAAACGAAAGTATTTCAGGGTGCCTGAGTGGCTCATTCAGTTAAGCGTCCAACTCTTGGTTTTCATTCAGGTCATGATCTTGTAGTCACAGGATTGTGCTCAGTGCAGATTTTGCTTTGAATTCTTTTTCTTTCTCTCTCTTCTTCTCCTTCCCCCTTTACCCTATCCTACATGTACTCTCTCCCTAAATAATAAAATCTTTAAAAAAATATATTTCACCAATTTATGATGTTTTGAATGAAATAAAAAGGCTTGTTCTGTTGAAATCTACTTACAAGCTCCTTTCTTTTCATGCATTCCATCAGTGTTTGAAATAAATGAACTGCTTCACTCTGGCCAAAGTTAAATGTTTTTTTGATGGTTGAAATTATATCAGGCTCTGCTGCATCAGGAAGATTACTGTAGTGAGAGGAAACATAATTCACCAATTTCAATTTCTATTATTTGTAGACTCTAATATGAAGTATAGGTGAATCCACATAAGACCTTTAGAGATAATGTATTAATATTAAATACCTGACACTGAGTGAAATACTGTCCTTTATAAGACTCCCAACAAAAGTCATATGGGAGAAAAATAAATGTTGGAGTTATTATTCTCTTTGAATTACTTTGAATTGTTTTCAGGGCATGTGTTGCAATAGCACTACTCACATTTTATAAAATACTCTATAAAGATAATTTTAAGATATTATGGTGTATTAAGCACTACTTCACCAAAATGTCTTAAACCTGAGCACATTCACATTTTCTCTTTTCCTCAATAGGTAATATGGCTCAAAAATATAATGATATAAAACATTTTAAAATATAAAAATGAAAATTCATAGTGAAAGTCTCCTTCCCACTATATTCTATCTGCCCAGTTCTATCTCAATTGCTTGCCTTTTTCCATGTATGTACTTTTGGTAACTTTCCCAAATCTAGTATAAAGTTACCAACTTTTCTTAGCTACAAACTTTTGTTATATAGATATACCATAATTTATCTAGACCTCTTAATACACATTCTATTTTGTTCCAATCTTTTACTTTTGTAAACAACACTGTAATGAGTACTTTTTATGTTTTTATGTATTTCATATGTATAAAAATACATCTGTATAAATAATTCCTAGAAAATGGAATTAGTGGGTCAAAAGATACATGCCTCTGTACGTTTGACAGATCTTGCAAAATTATCCTCCAAGAAGACTGTTATATTTTAATTCAATCCAATAATGTATCAGACAAGCTATTTCCTCAAATTATAACAAGGTATTATATTAAACTTCAAATTTTCATGTCCATTAAATACTGAAATAAATCTAATATTCTAAAAAACCACAAATCTCTTTACATAGTTATTGAAATCTTTTTTAAGCACACACTTACCCTCCTTCTTCTGTTTGCTTATGAATATATGCTAGTAGGTCTGCAGCTCTGCCTGTTCCTTCACAAACAACAACTGGAACAGGAGGGCTTTCTTGAAGATACTCTAAAACAGTGAGGATAACATTTGGCCCACCCTCAAATATAAGTGCCACCACAGGGACACCTTGTCCAATTCCTTAAAAAAAGTAAAAGATTGTAAGATATTAGGCAAAACACAGTAATTCAATCTTATTTTTTACTCAATCAAAACACAAAATAAAGTCAAAATACAATGTCTTATAAGAGAGGTGAGTTGATGTCAAGCATTCAGCATGATAATAATCTAACCTAAATGAAGTAAATACTGAATAAATTACTTTTTCATTAACATAAGGTCTGTTCTAAATGACAAAGTTAGAAAATACAATGTATGATTAGGCATGCACTGGAATTCAGATTCACTGAAAAGTAAAAATTATTTTGTATATTTCACTAATTGAACTTTTTTTTTCACTAATTGAACTCTTGACAAGACATTCATACCACCAATTCATTTTTTAGTTTGTGTCTTGAAGATTTTTTTAAGTAAACCCTTCACCCGATGTGAGGTTCTAACTTACAACCCCAAATTCAAGAGTCACATGCTCCACCAAATAAGCCAACCCGCCAGGCATTCCTCATTTGTTTTTTAATACTGTATGAGTTGAACTTCTAATGTACATTTGTTTTTATTCACTTCTAAAATGCATACTTCTAGTTTCAAATACACTGAGATATTAACATGGAAGCCAATGACAGAGTCAGAATTACATAAATGGAACTGATCAATAAAATCTAGGACCAGGACGCCTGGGTGGCTCAGTGGTTGAGTGTCTGACTTCGGCCTAGATCGTGATCAGGCTCCCCAAAGACAGCCTGCTTCTCCCCCGTCTATGTCTCTGCCTCTGTGTGTCTCTCATGAATAAATAAATAAATATTAAAAAAAAAAAAAATCCAGGACCTCCTCAAGACTAACACAAAAGATTTAGTGAAGAATGTCAATTTCTGTTTTTACAATAATCTGCAATGCAGTGAGAAAATCCGAATACAAGCAACTGTAGGATTCTAATACATTCCTACAGGATTGAAGAGAAGATATGACTCCATCTTAATATGAATACATCAAACCTATAATTTTGTATTTCTATTTCACTTTGTCACAGAGCCCACCTTCTTGGTGTCCTAAGGTTACAAAATTTCTTCTTTTTGAAAATAAAAATCTAGATCTTGAACCAGAAAGTTATGACTGTGGTTGGAAAGGAAGACAAGTGTCAAGAATTTTAAGACATACTAAAGAGTAATACCTATTCAGGTAAAAAACTTCAAACAAGATACATCTTTGCAATAAAGTATTTTTTTTCCTCTTTTACTCTTTAATCTTGAATTTCAAATCAGGTAATAGAATATATCACACATTAAGAATATTTCTGAATTCCTTCGGCTGCAATAGGATTACAATACCAACAGAGCTTCCAATGAACCTCTGTGGCTTTGGCCTCAATATCTGAGTACCCTATTTGGCCTCAGACTTCTGTCCCTAAGTCTTTCTACCTTGTCTAAGGTCAGTTATTTTTGTTGTTTTGTACGTTGTCTTGCTACAAAAGGAACTGAGCAACAAATTTATAAATTCCCTTACTAGCATGAATTCTTTGCTGATTAATAGTTTTTTCAAGTTCTCTTCTCAATCTGACTTCTGCCCCATACTTTCCAACAGTGCCATCATCCACCAATATGAAATGGGAATGTAGATTATTCAGAACATTCAATTTGCTCAGAGGGTTCAACAAGGTTTGATAAGGAGCAACCACCTAAACAATAGCAAACATAACAGTTAGTGAGCAGAATTAAATATAAGATAAGGAAAAAATAAACTTCGAAATAATCTGTAAAGGCAAGGAGGTAAAATACTATTTACAATATAGTAACATAAAAAAAAGTCAAAAAATATGTCAAAAAAGCACAAATTTTTAAGACAGCTGATGATTAACCAAGAGTGGGCCAAACCATACGTTTATATTTCAACACTTTTGCAAAATATGTATTATTTTATTATCGCATGCAAAAGAAACAGAAAATAAATAAGTATATAGAGTGAAGAAACTGTTAGGTTATTAGTAGATAAAGTGCAATGTACAAAGGACACTAAATAAGAAAATCTAATAGATTTTTCTAGCCCTAATAGAATCTTTAAAATTGATATTAGGAATTTAATTGTACTTGAAAGTGATCGTTATTATACAGTAATTCCTTTTTAGTACTTGATAAATATTTATGACCAATTCACATGTTCTTAACCTACTCAAATAAAATGCTATCATTTGGTTACTATTCTTAATGACAGTAAAACTAATTCTTAATATCATATAGTCATTAAAAATGTAATTACAAAGACTGGCATGATTTGGAAAAGGTGTGAAATAGTTACACAAAAAAGAAACAAAAATGTACTAATACAATAATGACAACTATTTCTATCTGTGAATGCATTTTTGAAAGGATCAAAAGAAAACCTCAGGAAAAAAGGGAAAAAAAAGAGAAGGAAAATACTCTAAAAATAATTTGAGGGACGCCTGGGTGGCTCGGGGCGTGATCCTGGGGTCCCAGGATTGAGTCCCACATCGGGCTTCCTGCATGGAGCCTGCTTCTCCCTCTGCCTGTGTCTCTGCCTCTCTCCCTCTCTGTGTCTCTTGGGAATAAATAAAATCTTTAAAAATATATAATAAAAATAAAAAAATAATTTGAAAAGTATGGTATGATCATGAGTAGTTTAAGGTGACTTGCACTATTCTTGCCCTAGTTTTGTTTATACACAAGTTCAAATACAAGAAATTTTTAAAATCTTCTTACATCTCTCCCAACAAGATCATTTCTGTTTTCAATCACTCCCCATGGTGCTATTCCAATAGTGCAAATCTTTCGAGATGATCTGGAAGCATGTTCTTTGAGGGCATCACCAACATGTTTTGCCACACCTGCTCATATAAAATTTAATTCACTTTATTTGAAAGTAGTTATTGTTTTCAGAATAAACCTGTGCTCAATCTATAACATTATAATTGGTGATATTTTTCTTTACACAGAGAAGATAAAAAGCGACAAGGTCCAAAAGACAAAACTTAGAAAAGAAAACACAAGGACTAAAAACAAAACAAAACAAAAAACCCCACAATGTCAAATCACTATAACTGCCTGAAACACACGTAAAAGTAACTTTTACCATGTTGTTAGGCCTAGTCCTCTCTTAGATTCCTCATGTAAGTAACTGTAGTTTTTTGTTATTGCTCTACACATCATCTAAAAGAAAATGAAGAGTATGGCTCAGGACCATAAGCAAAACACACACACACACACACACAACAAGCAACTACAAAAGTTGTCCAACTAAATAAAAAAATTAGAAAAGTAGAAAAGACATTTTAAAAGAGCACATGGCTCCTCATTATCACTTATGAGCTGAATTGTATCCTTTTCAAAATTCCTATGTTGAAATCCTAATCCCAGTTGGAGACAGGTCCTTTAAAGCAGCTTTACATTTAAAAACGAGGTCATTGGGGTAGGGCCTAATCCAATCTATCTGGTGTCCTTTTAAGAAGACAAAATTCTGGACACAAAAAGACACCAGGAATGCACATGCATGGCGAAGAGGACACAGTGAGAAGGTGGCCATCTATAAGCCAAGGAGAGAGGCCTCAGGAGGAACCAAACCTGCTAACATCCTGATCTTAGACCTCTAAAACTGAGAAAATAAATTTTGTTTAAGCCACCTAGTTTGTGGTATTTTATTATGGCAATACAGTGGCCAATACAACACTCAGTTTGATTTTTATAAAGCATGAGATCTCATTTCTCACCTAGGTTATGGAAATAGCATCTTAACTGGTCTTCCAATTTACTGCCTTGCCTGTTCACAGTCTATTTTCAAAACATCATCCAAGTGATCTTTGCTCTTGTTAACTCCCTGCTTAAAACCATCCCTTCTTTAATTCAGAGTAAATGCAAAAGTGTTCTAACAGCCTATGAGGCTTTATAATGATGTGCCTAATACCCCTGCTATTCACCACCTTTCCTTACCCCATCCCATCCTATCCTCTATCACACCCCCATAACTTTACGACCTCATCACCAAATACTCCTTGTTCATCCTACTCAACTACACTGGACCCTTCGCCCTTCTTACCATTCTTCCAACACACTAGCAGCTTCTTTTCTTTTAAATCTCTGCCTCACATTACCTTTAACTTGCTCCCTCATTTCCTTCAATCTACTCACATGTCACCCTATTAATGATGCCCTCTCCATCAACCTTCATCATCCTTTCTCTGTATTTCATGTGTCACATAGCTCTTATTATCTACCATATAACATATTTAGTTATCTGCTTGTTATCTGCATCTCCTCTGCTAGAATATAAGTTCCACAAAGGTAAATATTTTGTTTGTGGAATGATGTATCTTCAGCAGCCAGAAGAATGCCTGACATACAATGAGGTTCAAAAACCCCTCATAGTAAAATGTCTGCAAGTTAATTTAAGTCATAATTATATTTTGCTTTGGATATTAATTTTTCTTTTTAATCTGTATGTCATAGAGAAGATCTGGAATGAAAAATTATAGTATATTAAAAACTAATTTTGTTTTTTTAAACTAATTTTGAAAGCTATTTCTTACCACTGTGTAGGCCATGGATTGCCATTTTTATATCAATTTACTAGTATTCAGATTAACACTTGGCTTGGTAATAGGGATCAATAACCTTTTTTTAAGATAGATCAAATAGTAAACATTTCAGGGTTTGCAAGGTAAAAAGCTATTCACCCCTCCACTGTTGCACCACAAATGTAACTATATATAATAGAAAAACAAATGAGTGTGGCTGTGTTCCAATAAACCTTTATTTTCCAAAATAAGGAGTGGGTTGGGTTTGGTACCTGGGACCATAGTTTTATCAATACCTGCTTTAATGTGTATTACTTTTTAAGAGTAAATGAAAACCAAATATACTTTTACATTTTACCATTTATACTTAGGAACTATAAGAGATTATTTAACAGAAAAACTGAATATACTGATATTTGGAGTTATTATTTCAAATATTTAATTAATATTATGAAATATTTACAAATACACTAAAGAGAATTGGTATAATCCTCACATTACCTGTGTTTACTCCTCCAGTTAAAATCCAGGCTCCGGTTGTAACTGCAGCTTTAATAAGACCCTTTCCAAGCAGCTGCTTGATTCGTGGGTGAAGCTCAAATTTCTGCATGCCTCCATGCACAGAGATAACAAGTTTGGGTAATTCCATTTGCCATTCTTTAAGCAAAAGTTGCAGAATGACTTCAGGTTTGGTGTCATATGATAGTCTCACATACTAAAAAAGATTTTTAAAGCACAAAATATATTCATATTCATTTTAAAGCACTGAATATATTCATAGATGTCATAATGCAACATTATACAACATTAGAAAAATGTTATTTATTTTTTATTTTTGGGAAAATGTTATTTAGATCAGATTATTATAAAGTAGATTTGATAGGTTACTTTTAATACACTTAACACTCCAAGGAATAAACAACAGCAAGCAAATGATTTCATTTTTTGAAAGATTTTATTTATTTATTTATGAGAGAGACAGAGAAAGAGAGGCAGAGACACAGGCAGAGGGAGAAGGAGGAAGCCTGATGCAGGACTCAATCCCGGGACCCCAGGATCACACCCTGACCTGAAGGCAGACGCTCAACCACTGAGCCACCCAGGCGCCCCAACCAAATGATTTTAAAGCTGGAAAATCATTCTATAAGAACTAAAGAAGCAGAAATACTCTAATTTCTAACCTTTAAAACATAAATATGTTCCTCTTCCTATTTATATAAACTCAATTACCATTCATCCAATTTACTCAATCTTTCAAAGCATTCAGATGGATTCACAAGTTTTTGTTTTTGTTTTTTAATTTTAATTATTTGAGAGAGAGAGCATATGGGAGAGAGCACAAGCAAGAACACCAAAGGGAGACAGAGCAGCAGACTCTTTGCTGAAGAGGGAGCCCAACACAGGGCTCAATCCCAGGACCCCAAGATCACAACCCGACCTGAGGGCAGCTGCTTAATCAAACGAGCCACCCAGGTGCCCTAACAGATTTAATTTTTTTTTAATTCTATAGAAAATAAGCTGCCACATCTGTGGAGTAAGTTCCTTTGGTTTATAAGATTTAAGAAAATTAGGTATGTCTTAAGTGACATCACAAAACTTACTTGCTATAACTACTCTTATTCATTTTCTTGGATGTACCTATATGATTTAGCTCATAAGAAATCTGAAATACTCGGAGCACCTGCGTGGCTCAGTTGGTTAAGCATCTGCCTTCAGTTCAGGTTGTGATCCCAGAGTCCAGAAATCAAGCCCTGTGTCAGACTCCCTGCGAGTCGGCTTCTCCCTCTCCCCATGTGCTCTCTCGTTCTCGCTCTCAAATAAATATATAAAATCTTTAAAAATAAAAAAAATCTGAAATGCTCCTTTGTTGAAAGAAAAACATTTTTAATCATCTCTAACAAAGTTTTTTTTTCTTTAAGATTTTATTTATTTATTCATGAGAGGCACAGAGAGAGAGAGACAGGAAGAGACATAGGCAGAGGGAGAAGCAGGCTCCACGCAGGGAGTCTGATGTGGGACTCGATCCTGGGACTCCAGCATCATCATGCCCGGAGCCGAAGGCAGACACGTAACCACTGAGCCACCCAGGTGTCCCTATAACAAAGTTTCTTTGCAAAACAATATACTGCCCATTGCTTACAACCAGAGATCAAATACCAATGAAAAATATTCTAAAATATCAGAACCCAAAATAGCAGAATTTTACAGAACTGAGAAGACTCGAGAATGTATGCCATGAGAGTGCCTGGGTGGCTTAGTTAGTTAAGCATTTGCCTTTGGCTCAGGTCATGATCTCAGGGTCTTAGGATTGAGCCCCACATCAGGCTCCTGACTTGATAAGCAGGGAAATCTGCTTCTCCCTCTGCCCCTCTCCCTGCTAGTGCACGCATACGCGCGCTCTCTCTCTCTCTCTCTCAAATAAATTAATTTTAAAAAAGGCTATTTGTAACAAGATTATTTTCTATACTAAGTCTTCCTGCTTTTGTTTAATTCATCATTATATATGGCGGCATAAAGTCATGTTTGGAAAACAGCTTAAAGTTAAAAAAAAAAAAAGATTATGTAAGGAATAAATGAGGAGTTCCACTTTGGACAGTGGGAGACTAGACTGTTTTGAACTAACTCTGCCCCTAGGAATAGAGAAACTAGAAAATAAACATGTCTGAAGGCATCATAGAGCTTCCAAGGCAGTGAAAAGTGGGATCAGGATCCAAAAGAACAGGAAAACTAAGAGAGATGGGCCCACCTTTAGCACTGCTTTTCCCATCAAGGCAGGGAGGCAGGCAGAACAAAGAACAACATAAAGGGTAAAATGCTGATAAATATAAATAAAAAATAATTATGTTTGGGGGGTTTAAAATTATACTAACAAAAGCATGTAAGTCATGAGAAAAATAAATGAAGTTTTAAGTATTCTAAAGGTTCTTGCACTTGCACTGTCCAAAAAGTAGTAAAAGGACTAATTATAATAAATTGTGTTTTGTGGCATTTAATAAAAGATTAATCCACAGAAAAAGAATGTATAAATAACATGTTAATAAGGGAAAATGAAAGGGATCCCTGGGTGGCGCAGCGGTTTGGTGCCTGCCTTTGGCCTAGGGCGTGATCCTGGAGACCCGGGATCGAATCCCACGTCGGGCTCCCGATGCATGGAGCCTGCTTCTCCCTCTGCCTGTGTCTCTGCCTCTCTCTCTCTCTCTCTCTCTCTCTCTCTCTGTGTGTGTGTGTGTGTGTGTGACTATCATAAATAAATTTAAAAAAATTTTTTTTAAATCTTTAAAAAAAAAAAATAAGGGAAGATGAAAATAAAAAATATTTAATCCAAAGCAAACAAGAAAAGAGGACAAAGAAAAAGAGTTAACGAAACTCAAAAAAAAGTACTTCTTAAAAAGAAACCTCTTAAACATAAGGAAAGGTTAAAAGGGAGTAAGACATGAACAAACATTTCTCTAAAGAAGACATATAGACACATGAAAAAAATCCTCAACATCACTCATCTCAGAAAAATACAAATCAAAACCACGATGAGATATCACTTCACACCTGTCAGAACAGCTAAAACCAACTCAGGACACAACAGATGTTAGCAAGGATGCAGAGGAAGGGGAACCCTCTTGGTAGGAATGCAAACTGGTGTAGCCACTCTGGAAAACAGCATGAAGACTCCTCAAAAAATTAAAAACAGAACTACCAAACAACCCCACAATTGTACTACTAGGTATTTATCCAAAAGATATAAAAATAGTGATTTCAAAGGGGTACCTACACCCCAATGTTTACAGCAGCAATATCCAGTACAGCCACTATGGAAAGAACCCAAATATTCATTTACTGATGAATGGATAAAGATATGATAGATATAATATACAATGGAATATTACTCAGCCACGAAAAAGAGAGAAATCTTAGTATTTACAACAATGTGGATGGCTCTAAAGTATGTTATGCTAAGTGAAATAAATCCATCAGGGAAAGATACCATATAACTTCATTCATGTGGAATTTAAAAAACAAAACATGATGAACATAGGGGAAGGGAAGGAAAAATAAAATGAGATAAAAAGAGAGGGAGACCATAAAGCAAACCATAAGAGACCCTTAACTAAGGAAACAAACTGAGGGTTGCTAGAGAGGGGAGTGGTGGTGGAATGCAGTAACTGGACGATGGGCATTAAGGAGGGCACTTGATGTAATGAAAACTGGATGATATATATAACTGATGAATCACTAAACTCTACCCCTGAAACAAATACCACACTGCATGTTAACTAACTTGAATTTAAATAAATTCTTGAAAGAAAAAAATAAAAGGGAAGAAAACTTTAGCTATGCTGATTTAAGAAGCCGACTTTGAAAAAAAAAAGACAAAAGAGGGCAGCCCAGGTGTCTCAGCAGTTTAGCACCACCTTCAGCCCAGGGTGTGATCCTGGAGACCCGGGATTGAGTCCCGTGTCAGGATCCCTGCATGGAGTCTGCTTCTCCCTCTGCCTGTGTCTCTGCCTCTCTCTCTCTCTGTCTCTCATGAATAAATAAACAAAATCTTAAAAAAAAAAAAGACGACATAAGAGGGGTGCCTGGGTGGTTCGGTTGGTTAAGCACCTGCCTTCAGCTCAGGTCATGATCCCAGGGTCCTGGGATGGAGCCCCACTTTGGGCTCCTTGCTCAGGGGGGAATCTGCTTCTCCCTCTCCCCCAACCCTCTGCTCATGCTCTCTCTCTCTCTCTCCCTCTCAAAAAAATAAATAAATAAAATCCTTAAAAAAAAAGTAAATGACAAGAGTAAGGCATTTCATAATGATAAAATGTTCAAGATGTAACATTCTGTATTTATATGCACCTACACAAAGAACTTCAAAATACACAAAGAAATGCTTTCTGATCTACTGCTACACAAAATTTCAGACAACAAATGTATTATATGCTATTTAGATAACAAGATAAATGAAGTTAAAAAAAAATCAAATATGTGACATACCTTAGCTCTGTAGGAATGAGAACCCCCTTGAAAATTTATGACTCCATAAGCATCCGTTGGACTCTGTTCTGTATGCTTTTCCACAGACCATTCTTCTAATGTCTGATTAAAATGGTCACCCAATTTCACATCTGAATATTTCATGGCAAGACTTGCAGTAAAACAAGCATGTTGCTTGACCAAGCGACCACAAAAACACCTAAAGGAAAGAAATGAAATTTTAAAAAGACCTTTCAAAAAATCAGTCAATGAAAAACTGAATTAAAATAAACCAATGAAGAATTGAAATGTTTAATGAAGAATCAAAATAATTTAACTTTCTAATTTTATAATACAAGTAAATTAATATCCTTAACATAGAAGAACAGTAAAAATACTTGATGATGTAGTCCTCTAAATTGAGTGTATCTACAAAATGTAGTAGACCATAACAGAATAATATTCAGCGTGAGAATATCTAATATTAGAATAGTAAACACAATATGGATGATCTCAAAATTATCATGCTTCATGAAAGAATCCAATGCAAAATAGTACATATTTCAACAATTTCATATATATGTAATTCAAGAGAATGCAAAATAATATATACAATGATGACAATGGTGGCCCAGAGCCAAGGGCTGAAAAAGCAATTATATTCTACCTAGAAGCACTACAAAACACTACTATGTAGGAAGCAGATACCCAGTGGTGCCAGACAGTCTCACGGATTTGATAAAAAAAAAAAAAAAAAAAAAAAAAAAATCATAGGGGTGTCTGTGTGGTTCAGTTGGTTAAGTATTTAACTCCTGATTTTGGCTCAGATCATGATCTTGGGGTCATGACCCCAAGGGGTCAGCCCCTGTCTCAGGCTCCCCATTTAGCAGGCAGGGAGTCTACTTGTAGATTCCTCCTTCTCCCTTTGCCCCTCCCCCTACTCAAGCACACACTCTCTAAAATAAATAAATAAACCCTTTTTAAAAAATCATATCACAGTTTGTAGAAGCCAACAGAGCTAGAGTTTGTAGCACAAAAAAACAAAAAGAGGAAGGAGCCACATGAGAAAGTTCCCAATATATGCAGAAGGGTCTTCTTAAACATAAGTAAGAACAAACTACTGAAGGCAGATATAAGAACTACTAAACCATGGTCACCCAAATAATTCCTGAAGCTGATAAAGGGCAGGGAACAGTTGGTGTTGCTACTAGCCAGAGTAAGAGATCTCAAAACACAAGACCTACAAAGGGTCCTCAGAATAGTAATACCTAATTAGAAGGGCTAAATTAGACCTAGACCATTATGTACCACAACAAACTGTAAGAGCAAGACTTGAAAGGATATTAATCCAAAGTAACTTAATTCCATGCTAAAATAAGTCCACAACTCCCTAACAGAATGATAAAATCCAGTACCCCAAAACATAAACTCTCTCAAATAAATGAATAAAATCTTTGGAAAAAAATACAATCTACCCAAAATGAATACTGAGAGAAAAGACTGGAGGGAAACAAAAGGAATTGAACATCAGCAACCTGTGGAACAAACTAAAGTAGCTTAACAGGGGCACCTGGGTGGCTCATTGGCTGAGCATCTGGCCTTTGGCTCGGGTTGTGATCTTGGAATAGAGTCCTGCATCAGGCTCCCCACAGGGAGCCTGCTTCTCCTTCTACCTAGGTCTTTATCTCTCTCTGTGTCTTTCATGAATAAATAAAATATTTAAAAAGCAAAACCAAACAAAAAACAGCAAAGTAGCTCAACATACACATAATTCAAGTCCCAGAAAAAAAGGGAGTGGGAATAAAAATTTGAAACAGTGGGCAAAAATCTGAAAACTATCTGAATGACAGATCTGAGCAATTCAGTAAGAACTGAGCAAAACAAGCTTAAAGAAATCAGATTAGGGCACTGCTGAGAGCCAATGACAGAGAAAATCTTCAAAGTAGCATATCACATTATGTGCAGAAGAACAAAGGTAACAATGACAGCAGACACATTGTCAAAAATCATGTAATCCAACAGTCACCGGTACATCATCTTTCTTTTTTTTTAAGTTTTATTTATTTAAGTAATTTCTACATTCAATTTAGTGCTCGAATGCACAACTGTGAGATTAAGAATTGTATGCTCTTCCAACTGAGCCAGTCAAGTGCCCCAATTTTCTGGTATAGCATCTTTAAAATACTAAAAGTAAGGAGGAAACCCTATCAAATTAGAATTCTGTAAGGCTTAACAAGACTATCAGCTAACTACAATGATTTAATAAATTTATAGAACACCCAACAAATAATAAAAACTCCACTTGAGTGTACAGAAGTATTTACCAAGATAAACCATATTCTGGGCCATATAATAAGTCTCAATAAATTTGAATAAGGATGGAAATCATACAAAGTATTCTTAAACCACAATGAAATGAAACTAGAAACCAATCGAAGAAAAATGGGTATGGGGGATGGGGGGATGTTCCTGAGTGGCTAGGTCGGGTAAGAGTCTGACTTTAATTTTAGCTCAAGTCACGATCTCATCACTCATGAGATCAAGCCCCGCACAAGGCTCTGAGCTGGTGTGGAGTCTACTAAAAATTCTCTCTCTCCCTCTGCCCTTCCTGCCTACCACTCTCATGTGCACGCTCTCTCCCTTAAAAAAAGACTGAGAAATTCTTCTCAATAATTTGGAAATTAAGTAACACTCTTTTTATTAACTCATAGATCAAAGAAAGTCACAAAAGAACTTAGAAAATATGTAGAAAAAAAAACAACAAAAAAAGAGAATATGTAGAACAAAATGTAAATAAAAATAAAAATAATACTGGGATGCCTGGGTGGTTCAGCAGTTGAGCATCTGCTTTTGGCTCAAGGCATGATCCCAGAGTCCCGGGATCAAGGCCCATGCATCAGGGTCCCTGCATGGGGCCTGCTTCTCCTTCTGCCTGTGTCTCTGCCCCTCTTTCTGTGTTTCTCATGAATAAATAAAATCTTTTCTTAAGAAATAAATAAATAAAATAAAAAATAATTTCAAAATGTATGGAATACAACAATACAGTGTTAGTACAAAAAGTTACCATATTTACATATATACTTTACAGTATAAAAATATATGGGATAAAAATCTGCAGTATATAGTTTAAACTAGAAAAAAGAAGATCTGCTATGGGAGGAAGGTAAAGATGGCAGCAGCCTGGACACAGGTCCAAGGAATCTGATGGCTAAAAAGGGCAGCCCAAACCATGGTGCCCTTGGGTACACCAAAAGCTTTGCACATTACCAAGGACATGCTCTCGGGGTCCTATCTCAAGACCCCAGAAAAACGGCCACCACCACCAAGTAGTATAATATGCAGGTAGACTACCAACTGTACCCAGATAGATGGCATAGGGTACGGCAACTCTGCTAACAACAGAGGTCCATGGTATGACTAGGACCACCCAGACCTGAGGTTGAACTGGGGTGTACTGATGCCTTGGGACCTTGTAATGTATATCAGAAACTGTGTGGACACATCCCCCAGGCCTGTTTCCTGGAATCTTTTTTTTTTTTAAGATTTTATTTATTTATTCATAGAGACAGAGAGGCAGAGACACAGGCAGAGGGAGAAGCAGGCATCATACAGAGAGCCCGATGTGGGACTCGATCCAGGGTCTCCAGGATCACGCCCTGGGCTGCAGGCGGTGCTAAACCGCTGTGCCACCGGGGCTGCCCTGTTTCCTGGAATCTTATGTGTAAGTACCTCTTCAGCTTCATGGCCTTAATGCTTTCATGTTTTGGGTTAGAGAGACTTACTCAACCTCTCAATCTGTGGGGCCAAAGCAATATCCTTATAATAATCTGTACCTGGAACAAGGTGGTGATCCCACCAAAGAGCCTATGCCAGAGGTTCACGATGAGAACGGAGGTAACGTCATCAGTTTTCTGCTCCCTAACTCCTTCATTTCTAGAAATTTAACCTTAATGAAATCCCTAATAAAACAGTGCTATGGTTTAAAAAAAAACAAAAAAACAAAAAAGGAAAGACGACTTGTAAGCAATAGTCATCTAAAGTTTCACATTAAAAACTTTTTAAAAAGGGCAAATTACACCCAAAGTGAGCAGATGGAAAGAAATAATAAAGAGCATATAATGAAACATGAAAAGAAAAACAATGGAGAAAAATCAATGAAACAAAAAGCTTGGTCATTGAAAAGACCAACAAAATTCAATAACTATTCACTTACAAATATCTTCAACAAACTAAGAAAAGAGAGAACTTCTTCAACACAGATATCATCATACTTCTTATATGTTGGCTATGAGTACTACTCACTACATTCTGAGTCCTGTGAGCCCTCCTAGCTAATCACCAAACCTTGGGGTCATCTTGGGGACACTTGACAAAACTAGACAAAATATATGTGATAACTGTTTTTAAGCACCAAACAAGAATTATGGGACTTCAATTCTTGAAATGAAGGAAAATTTATGAGGTGAGGCCTGTAATTGTACCAATCACCTGGGGGAATTTCTTAACCATTGTGCATTGAGAGAATGCCCAGGCAGAAAAGGGCGGTGTCAATGAGATGAGCAAGGAGGCAGCAAACAATTCCAGGCTGCTAAAATTTGTACAGGGTACCAGAGGAGAGCTACAGAAGGAGGGAGCCAAGAAACTCGAATGAGGATTAACCATGGGTTCTTAGCAGCACACTGAGCTGTATCTGTGTCAATTAAGATTTTGACATTTAACAGAAATCACCTGCTATGGGCCTGAGAACTGAATCATAAAGGGCTGTGAGGCACTGCAATCTTAGTTAAGAGTGAAAAGACATGATTAGGCATCCTGGGCATTCAGCTAAGACCCTAAAAAAGGTTTTACTTTAGGAGTACAGTCTACATTCTAAAACTAAATTCAAAATAATAATAGAACTGCCCTAACGAAGAATGAAATCAAGCCTGATGGGACAAAAGAATCTGTCAATAATTCAACCACTTGTCAGTACAAAATTTAAACCCTTTAAAGGAAAAAAATTTAAAAATTTAAAAATTAAATCCTTTAAAGGAAGATGACATAGTCCAGAACCCCTAAAGTGGATCATGCCAATCTGCGGAATACAATAAAAAATTACTAGACATGAAAAAACAAAAAGTGACTCATAATCAAGAAAAAAGTAGATAAATTTAATAATTCAATAGAAATAGACCCTAAATGACACAGATATTTGAATTAGTAAACAAAAATTTCAATGCAGATGTAAGTATGTTCAAAGATTTCTAGAAATAGTGATAATGAGGATACAGATAAGGCATCTCAGCAGTGACTTGGAAACTACAATAAAGAATCAAAAAATAGAGAAATGAAAATTTTAGAACTGAAAAATATAAGAAAAGTTCACCGGATGGGCAAAACAGCACATTGGCAATTGTAAAAATAAAGATTAGTGGAAAAAAAAAATAAATATATTGCAAAGCTACAATAACCAAAGGAAAAAAACAAAGGATTGGTGAACCTTAAGACATATTAATACAAATGCTCTACTTTAATCAATGGAATAAAATTTTAATTAAAAAAAAAACAGACTGGGGTGTCTAGGTGGTGGTGCAGTCAATTAAGCATCCAGCTCTTGTTTCAGCTCAGGTCATGATCCCAGGGTCCTGAAATCTCTCCCTCTCCCTCTGCCCCTCTAGCAGCCCCCCCAAAATAAATAAATCTAAAACAAAACAAAACAAAAACCAGGGCTTCAGTAACTCATATAAAATATCATGCAACATGAGAAAATGCTCTGCATCACTTGCCATCAGGGAAATACAAATCAAAACCACAATGAGATACCACCTCACACCAGTGAGAATGGGGAAAATTAACAAGGCAGGAAACAACAAATGTTGGAGAGGATGCGGAGAAAAGGGAACCCTCTTACACTGTTGGTGGGAATGTGAACTGGTGCAGCCACTCTGGAAAACTGTGTGGAGGTTCCTCAAAGAATTAAAAATAGACCTGCCCTACGACCCAGCAATTGCACTGTTAGGGATTTACCCCAAAGATTCAGATGCAATGAAACGCCGGGACACCTGCACCCCGATGTTTCTAGCAGCCATGTCCACAATAGCCAAACTGTGGAAGGAGCCTCGGTGCCCATCGAAAGATGAATGGATAAAGAAGATGTGGTTTATGTATACAATGGAATATTACTCAGCCATTAGAAACGACAAATACCCACCATTTGCTTCAACGTGGATGGAACTGGAGGATATTATGCTGAGTGAAGTAAGTCAATCGGAGAAGGACAAACAGTGTATGTTCTCCTTCATTTGGGGAATATGAATAATAGTGAAGGGGAATATAAGGGAAGGGAGAAGAAATGTGTGGGAGATATCAGAAAGGGAGACAGAACATAAAGACTTCTAACTCTGGGAAATGAAGTAGGGGTGGTGGAAGGGGAGGAGGGCGGGGGGTGGGGGTGAATGGGTGACGGGCACAGAGGGGGACACTTGACGGGATGAGCACTGGGTGTTATTCTGTATGTTGGTAAATTGAACACCAATAAAAATTAATTTATTAAAAAAAAAAGAAAGAAAAATGCAAAAAAAAATAAATAAAATAAAATATCATGCAAAAATAAATAAATAAATAAATAAATAAATAAATAAATAAATAAATAAATAAATAAATAAATAAAATATCATGCAGTCTTGGGGCACCTGGATGGTTCAGTCAGTTTAGCATCTGCCTTTGGCTCAGGTCATGATCTCAAGATCCTGGGATAAAGCCCCATCCATGTCAAGCTCCCTGCTCAGGAGGGAGTCTGCTTGTCCTTCTCCCTCTGTCTCCCATCCCCTAGCTCATGCGTGCTCTCTCTCAAATAAAGTAAGAAAATCTTTCTTTTTTTAGCCATTTTTATAATTTATATATTTGAGAAAGGGAGAGAGCACACACAGGCAGGAGGGAAGGGCAGAGGGAGAACGAGAAGCAGGCTCCCTGTAGAGCAGGGAGCCCAATGTGGGACTCAATCCCAGGACCCTGGGATTGATTACACCTGAGCCATAGGCGGGTGCTTAAGTGACTAAACCACCACCTGGGCACCCCAATAAATAAAATGTTTTTTAAAAATCATGCAATCTGGGATCCCTGGGTGGTACAGCGGTTTAGCACTGGCCTTTGGCCCAGGGCGTGATCCTGGAGACCCGAGATCAAATCCCACGTCGGGCTCCCAGTGCATGGAGCCTGCTTCTCCCTCTGCCTATGTCTCTGCCTCTCTTTCTCTCTCTGTGTGTGACTATCATAAATAAATGAAAATTTAAAAAAAAAATCATGCAATCTAACGAAAACATAACTGGACTCTAAGAGGGAAGAAAGAGTGGGGCAGAAAAACATTTTAAGAAACAATGGCTAAAAACTTCTCAACTTGGTGAAAAATACGCACTTACAGATATTTTGCACAGTACATACAAAGAGAATCACTCTTAGGCACATTGTACACGCGCTGCTAAACACCAAAGATATAGGAAAAAAGTCTTTAAAATGGTCAGAAAGGGGCACCTGGGTGGCCCAGTGCCCAGTGGTTGAGCGTCTGGGTTTTGGCTCAGGCCATGATAACGGGGTCCTGGGATCGAGCTCCCCATCAGGCTCCCTTAAGGGAGCCTGCTTCTTAAGGGAGCCTGCTTCTTCTTCTCCCTCTGCCTATTTAGTTATCTAGCAAGAAATTTAGGATTCATCAAATCCTATTGAGTTTATCTCATTAATCCCTTCAAATATATCTAATTCTCTTCATTATCATAGCCACTATTTTTTTTTAAAGATTTTATTTATTTATTCATAGAGACACAGAGAGAGAGAGGCAGAGACACAGGCAGAGGGAGAAGCATGCTCCATGCAGAGAGCCCGACGTGGGACTCGACCCAGGGTCTCCAGGATCACGCCCTGGGCTTGCAGGCGGTGCTAAACCGCTGCACCACCAGGGCTGCCCCATAGCCACTATCTTAATTCAGGCTCTCATATTTTCCAGAATTACTCTAAAACTTCCCAAACTATTTTTTTCTCCCAATCTAACCTCCTCAAAATGCCAACTGCTTTTACCAAATAAAAAAAGAGAAGAAAAACTAAGCATTTTATTTCCCTGTATATCCTTTGACATGAAATCAAAACTATGTGACATAGTACCAGCTTAAATGATCTAGTCTCTATGTAGCTCTCCAGATCACATCTTTCCAATATCCGTATTACATTCTACATTCTGCAGTTTCCTGACAGAACCATAATCCTCTTTCATTGCCAGGTCTTTCTGTTCTCTTTGCCTAAATCCATTTTGCTCAATTTTTAACCAACTAATTCACATTCAACTTTAGAAATCTACTCAAGGGATCCCTGGGTGGCGCAGCGGTTTGGCGCTTGCCTTTGGCCCGGGGCGCGATCCTGGAGACCCGGGATCGAATCCCACGTCAGGCTCCCGGTGCATGGAGCCTGCTTCTCCCTCTGCCTGTGTCTCTGCCTCTCTCTCTCTATCTCTCTGTGACTATCATAAATAAATTAAAAAAAAAAAAAAAAAAAAAAAAAGAAATCTACTCAAGCAGTTTCACTGGAGTTTCAAGCAGCTTTGCCCAATCCTTCAGCTCCAAACTCTGAGCAAAGTAAACGTCAATGTAGTAACTTGTAAGTTTTATCCCACCGAACTGATGCGTCTAATGGATTAATTTTACTTATTTATTTTTAAAGATTTTATTTATTCATGAGAGATGGGGGGCGGGGGGGGGGGGGACAGACAAGGGCAGAGGGAGAAGCAGGTTTCCATGCAGAGAGCCCGAAGTGGAACTCGATCCCAGGTTTCCAGGATCACACCCTGGGCTGAAAGTGGCGCTAAACCGCTGAGCCACCAGGCTGCCCCTGGATTAGTTTTATTTTTCAAAATACGTGCAACAGAGTTTTGTTATTAAACTTACCTGACGAGTTGCTGACAAATCTGACATCCTGGAAGACATCTATAATACAAGGTAAATTTATTAATTAACATTTAGAAAGTTTTTTAGTTTAAAATTAAACTATGTAATACTATAAAAACCATATACTTAGTTTTTCAGTAGATATCACAAGTCATTTATACTTTGATTTTTATTTTTTTTTTTTTTTTTTTTTTTTTTTTTTAAATATTTTTTTAATCTTTATTTATTTATGATAGTCACAGAGAGAGAGAGAGAGAGAGAGAGAGAGAGAGAGGCAGAGACATAGGCAGAGGGAGAAGCAGGCTCCATGCGCTGGGAGCCCAACGTGGGATTCGATCCCGAGTCTCCAGGATCGCGCCCTGGGCCAAAGGCAGGCGCCAAACCGCTGCGCCACCCAGGGATCCCTATACTTTGATTTTTAAATTCAAACAACTATTTTTTTTAACTCACATAGTTTCCACATTTTTATATTATAGTTAACATACAATGTTACATTAGTTTTAGGTACACAACATAGTGTATAATAATTTAATAATTCTATACGTTACTCAGTACTCACCAAGATAAGGGTAGTCACCATCTGCCGATAACATTATTACAGTATTATTAACCATATTCCTTATGCTGTACTTTCATCTCCATTAGTATTTATTACTACAAGTTTGTACTTCTTACCCCTTCATCTATTTTACTCATTCCCTCACCCACCTAATACTTAAAATAGTTTCCATTTTCTTAAGTACAACTACTTGTGACAAAATCCAGAAACTGGGATCCCTGGGTGGCGCAGCGGTTTGGCGCCTGCCTTTGGCCCAGGGCGTGATCCTGGAGACCCAGGATCGAATCCCACATCGGGCTCCCGGTGCATGGAGCCTGCTTCTCCCTCTGCCTATGTCTCTGCCTCTCTCTCTCTCTGTGACTATCATAAATAAATAAAAATTTTAAAAAAAATCCAGAAACTGTAAGAGAAAAAGATTGACAGATTTGACTATATAGAAATATATTTCTGCAAAGCAAAAATACGCTACTCATAAAGTCTAAAACTGAGGAAAAAGATAATTGCAGGCAAAAGGTTAGTTTCTCTGGGCAGCCCGGGTGGCTCAGTGGTGTAACGCCGCCTTCAGCCCAGGGCGTGATCCTGGAGTCCCGGAATCGAGTCCCACATCGGGCTCCCTGCATGGAGCCTGCTTCTCCCTCTGCCTCTCTCTCTCTTTCTCTCTCTCTCTGTCATGAATAAATAAATAAAATCTTTTTTTAAAAGTTGGGGACGGGATCCCTGGGTGGCGCAGCGGTTTGGCGCCTACCTTTGGGCCCAGGGCACGATCCTGGAGACCCGGGATCGAATCCCATGTCGGGCTCCCGGTGTATGGAGCCTGTTTCTCCCTCTGCCTGTGTCTCTGCCTCTCTCTCTCTCTCTCTCTGTGTGACTATCATAAAAAAAAAAAAAAAAGTTGGGGACAAGATAATTACTTAAAAAGCTTTAAAAAAAAAAAAAAGGTTAGTTTCCCTAATATACATAGAGTCTCATCAAATCTACATAAAAAAGGAAAATATATGGATAGTTTACAGCAAAAACATATGAGGCATTTAATTAGAAGAGTTTTCCAATCCTTTAAGATAATATCTTGAGGAGGATAGGTAGTCTTATATGCTGATGGGAGTATAAACTGATATAATCTCGATGGAATGCAATTTAGGAATGCCACAATGAAAAAAATAAAAAATAAAAAAATAAATTAAAAAAAAAGGAATGCCACAATGAAAAAATGTAGACTCCCTCTGAAATTCCAATTCTAATACTAAAACTACAGGCTGAAAAACATTTGTACCACATGTGTAAAATGATTAATGTATAAGGTTACTGATTCACTACAGCATTTTTCCTAATCAAAAAGAAAAAGAGAAAAGCTAAAATATTCATAAATAAGAAATTACTAAAGGGTGCCTGGGTGGCTCAGCCAGTTAGGTATCTCCCTTCAGCTGGGGTCATGGTCCTGGGGTCCTGGGATCAAGCCCTGCATCAGGATCCCTGCTTACCAGGGACCTGCTTCTCACTCTTCCTCTGCCACTCCCCCTGCTTGTGCTCTCTCTCTCCCTCAAATAAATAAAATCTTTTATTTATTTATTTATTTATTTATTTATTTATTTATTTATTTATTTATTTATTTATTTATGATAGTCACATACAGAGAGAGAGAGAGAGAGAGAGAGAGAGAGAGAGAGGCGCAGAGACATAGGCTGAGGGAGAAGCAGGCTCCATGCACCGGGAGCCCGACGTGGGATTCGATCCCAGGTCTCCAGGATCGCGCCCTGGGCCAAAGGCAGGCGCTAAACCACTGCGCCACCCAGGGATCCCATCAAATAAATAAAATCTTAAAAAAAAAAAAAGGAACTACTAAAACAAATTATGATCCATAAATAGAATTAAAAAGAATGCAACAATTAAAAACAGTGGTTACTGCCAAGATAATTAAACACTATGGTTTAAACAGTATATACTTTAAAAGGAAGAGAGAGGAGTAAATATACATCTGCTAGGACATGCAAAGACTGCATCTAGCTATTTCTAAGGTATTCTAAGAAATAGGTAACACTGGTTTTCTTCAGGAAGGGGACTTTATAGTTAAGGCACAGTAGTAGAAAGGAAAATGTCACTTAAAAAATTCTGATACCTTACAAATCCATGTATATATAGGGGCACCTGGGTGGCTCAGTGGTTGAGCATCTGCCTTTGGCTCAGGTTGTGATCCCAGGGTCCTGGGATCAAGTCCCACACTGGGCTCCCCAGAGGGCGCCTGCTTCTCCCTCTGCCTATGTCTCTGCCTCTCTGTGTCTCTCATGAATAAATACATAAAATCTTTTTTTAAAAATCCATGTTTAAACCTATTTCTAAGAAATTAATTTTCAAATTAATACATTAATTTTCAAATTCAACTAATATAGTTGGGTGGCTCAGCTGGAAGAGCATGCAACTTGATCTCAGGTTGCAAGTTCAAACCCCATGTTGGATATAGACATTATTTTAAAATAAAATCTTAAAAAAAATTTTCAACTAGTATAAAAAGAAATAACCAGCTACCAGTGTTTGAAAATTATGCCCCATATGGATGGCTACAGCCAAAGATACTTAATAACAGAATGAGATTTCTTTAACACCTAATAGTAAATTTTTTTTTAAAAGATTCTATTTAGGGGCGCCTGGGTGGCTCAGTCAGTTAAGCATCTGTCTTCAGCTCAGGTTGTCACCCCAGAGTCCCGGGATCTAGCCCCAAATCGGGCTCCCTTGCTCAATGGGGAGTCTGCTTCTCTCTCTGCCCTTCCCCCTGCTCATACTTTCTCTATCAAATAAATGAAAATCTTTAATATATATATATATATATATATTTATTTACTTACTTACTTAATTATTGAAAGAAAAAGAAAAGAAAGAAAAGAAAAGAAAAGAAAAGAAAAGAAAAGAAAAGAAAAGAAAAGAAAAGAAAAAGGAAAGGAAAGGAAAGGAAAGGAAAAAAAAGAAAAGAAAAGAAAAGAAAAGAAAAGAAAAGAAAAGAAAGAAAAAAAGAAAAGAAGAAAAGAAAAGAAAAGAAAAGAAAAGAAAGAAAAAAAGAAAAGAAGAAAAGAAAAGAAAAGAAAAGAAAAGAAAAGAAAAGAAAAGAAAAGAAAAGAAAAGAAAAGAAAAGAAAAGTTAAGTTACTGGGATCAAGCTCCATGTCAGGCTCTGGGCTCAGTGAGGAGTCTGTTCTCGAGGATTCCCTCCCACTACCCAACACTCCATATGCGGGTGCTCTCTAATAAATAAATCTTAAAAAAAAAAAAAAAAAAAAAAAAAAAGAACCTTAATGTTACATTGTAACAAAACATCTTTAATAATTAGTAAGAAATCCAAAAATTCACATAATAGTGACTGGAAGGAGTCATCAGTTTTATCTAAATGACATTTACTGAATTTACCAAAAATTGAAGGAATCTTTAAAAACATAAGAAACATTTTCTCAACAGGGGCACCTGGGTGGTTCAGTCGGTCAGGCGTCTGCCTTCGGCTCAGGTCATGATCTCAGGGTCCTGGGATCTAGCCTTGCATCCAGCTCCCTGCTCAGTGAGGAGTCTGCTTCTTCTCCCTCTCCCTCTCTCTCTGCCTCCCACTTTCCTCCAACCACCCCCCACTCCAGCTCATGCTCTCTCAAATAATCTTTAAAAAATAATAATCAGGGAAGCCTGGGTGGCTCAGCGGTTTAGCACTGCCTTCAGCCCAGGGCCTGATCCTGGAGACCCGGGATCAAGTCCCCATCGGGCTCCCTGCACGAAGCCTGCTTCTCCCTCTGCCTGTGTCTCTGCCTCTCTCTCTCTCTCTCTCTGTGTTCTCATAAATAAATAAAATCTTTAAAAAAAAATACTTTATAAAAAAAATAAATAAATGCAAATTTAAGACATACTATTTTCTACCCATCACTTTTCCTTGCAGATAAAGAAAATGTTACTGGTTATAATGTTTATTGCTTTTATCCTTTTGGAAAGTTTTCTGACATTATATACACTAAGAGGGAGGAAAAAAAGCCTTACATACAAAGAAAGTTTTATCCACTAAGGTCTTCATTATGGCCTAATTTTACTTTATCATGGCTAAAAACAACCCAAATTTGCCCAATAATGGAACATATACACTAAAAGGATATTAACTACCATTCTTATAAATATCTATAATTCAAAAAATATATTTACTATAATATTTCGTAAAAAAGCACATACAATATTTGACACATAGACTGAATGTAGTAATCTTTTAGAGAAAACCCTATTGAGGAAATACTAAAACTAAACGTACCAAAACATAATGACGGTCTTGGGCACCTGGGTTGCTCAGTCAGTTAAGGGTCTGACTTTTTTTTTTTTAAAGATTTTATTTATTTATTCATGAGAGACAGAGAGAGAGAGGCAGAGACACAGGCAGAAGGAGAAGCAGGCTCCATGTAGGGAGCCCGACATGGGACTCGATCCCAGGTCTTCAGGATCACACCCTGAGCTGCAGGCGGCGCTAAACCGCTGCGCCACCAGGCCACCCCAAGGGTCTGACTTTTGATTTTGGCTCCGGTCATGATCTCAGGGTTATGGGATAGAGCTCCACACTGACTCCTTGCTGGGCGTGGAGTCTCTTAAGATTCTCTCTCACTCTCAATCATAGGAAACAATGGGGTAACCGGGTGATGGGCATTAAGGAAGATAAGTGATGTAACTAACTAGCACTGGGTATTATATAAGACTGAACTCTATCTCTGAAACTAATAATACACTATATGTTAACTAACTGAATTTAAACTTAAAAAGAAAAAACAAAAATAAAATAAATACATCTTTTTATAAAAACCAAACAAATGAAGTACTGATACAACATAAATGCACTTGAAAACACTGTGCTAAGTAAAAGAAAACAGACATAAAAGACCACATATTTATGATCCCTTGTATATGAAATGTCCAGAACAGGCAAATCCATAAAGACAAAGTAGATTCTAAGTTGTCAGGGACTGGGGAGAGAAGAGAATGACAGTGACTACTAACAGGTACTAGGTTCCCTTTAGGAGTGACAAAAGTATTCTGGAATTACACAGTGGTGATATTTGCACAACTTTTTGAATATACTAAAAAGCCAACAAAATGTCCATTTCAAATGGTCAATTTTATACTATATAAATTATATCTCAATTTTTAAAAAGAAAACAAAAAGAAAAAAAAAAAAGAAAAAGATTCTCTCTATGCCCTTCCCCTCCCTTTCTCTCCCCTTCTAAAAAAAAAAACACATCAGTTAATAAAAAATTACCAATTTTGCTATTTTTGCACAGTTGACATACAATGTTACAATTAGTTCCAGGTGTAAAACCTAGTGATCAACAATGCTATATATTCTAATGACAGCACAATAAGCGTTGTTACCATTTGTCACCATACAGCATTATTACAATATTACTGACTATATTTCCTATGTTATACTTTTCTTTTCATCTCTGTGACTTATTCATTTTATTCACTTATTTCATGCATCTCCCCATCCCATCTCCACACCTCTACACCCATCTACTCTGGCAACTACCAGTTTGTTCTGTTTTTATGAGTCTGTTTTTGCTTTGGTTTTTTTTTAAAGTCCACATATGAGTAAAATCACATGGTATCTTTCTTTCTCTGTCAGACTTATTTTGGGTTGCATAATGCCCCTCTAGGTCCATCCATGTTGTTGCAAATAGCAAGATTTCATTCTTTTTTGTGACTAATATTCTAGTGTTTGTGTGTCTGTGTATACACTCATATATGTAAATGTATACACACATATACACATACACATCCTGTACTTTATCTGTTTATCTATTATTGATGAACACATATGTTGCTTCCATATCTTGGCTATTGTAAATAATGCCACAATAAATTCAGGAGTGCATATAGCAGGGCACCTGGGTGGTACAGTTGGTTAAGCATCTGACTTTGGGTTTCAGCTCAGGTTGTGATCTTATGGGTGGTGAAATTGAGCCCCAGAGCTCTGTGCTCAACACAGAGTCTGCTTGAGTCTCTCCCTTTGCCCCTTCCCTTCCCTCTCTCTCTCTCAAATAAATCTTTAAAAAACAAAAAAACAAACAAAAAAGGAGTATATATATCTGTTCCAACGAGTGTTTTTGTGTTCTTTGGGTAGATACTAAATAGTGGAAATCCTGGATCATATGGTATTCCTATTTTTATTTTTTTTGAGGACCCACCATACTATTTTCCATGGTCATTGCACCAACTTATATTCCCACCAATAATGCAAAAGGGTTCTCTTTTTTTCCACATCCTTGCCACCACTTATTATTTCTTGTCTTTTTAAATAATAGCCATTCTGATTGGTGTGAGATGATGATACCTCACTTAAGTTTTGCTTTGCATTTCCCAATCATTGTGAGGTTGACCATCTGTTGGCCATCTGCAGGTCCTCCCTGGAAAAAAGTCTTATTTAGGTCTTGTACCCTTTTTTGGGGGGTGCTGAGTTGTCTAAGACCTTTTACATTTTGGATATTAACCTCTTATCAGATATATCATTTGCAAATACCATCTCCCACTCAGTAGGTTACCTTTTTGTTTTATTAATGGTTTCCTTTGTTGTAGAAAAGCTTTTTATTTTGGTATAATCCTAAGAGTTTATTTTTGCTTTGGTTTCCCTTGCCTGTGGAGGTATATCCATAAAAATGGTTGCTAAGGCCAATGTCAAGAGATTATTGCCTGTTTCCTTCTATGAGTTTAATGATTTCAGGTCTCAGCTTAGGTCTTTAATTCATTTTGAGTGTTTTCTTTTTTAGGTTTATTTTAGTATATAGTGTTAAGAAAGTAGTCCAATTTCATTCTTTTGCATGTAGCTGTCCATTTTTCCCAGTACCATTCGTTGAAATCTTTTTTCCCCACTGCATATTCTTGCTGTCACATATTAAATAACCATATAAGCATGGGTTTATTTCTAGGCTTCTCATCGTGTTCTATAAAACTATGTGTCTATTTTTGTGCTAGTGCCATACTATTTTGATTATTATACCTTTGTAGTATATCTTGAAATCTGAGACTGTGATTAACTTCTAGTTTTGTTCCTCTCTCTCAAGACTGCTGTGGCTAGGGTCTTCTGTGGTTTCATACAAATTTTAAGATTATTTGTTCTAGTTCTGAATTTGGCTATGGTTTTATAAGAGTACAGATCAAATGGAAGTAAAAGGTGCAGGGAAGTTAACTGGATAGAGAACAAGGTTTGATAGGAGATGAGAAAGGTAAAAAGATTGAAAAATCCTATAAATGTCTTTCTCAACTAATTTTTACTAAGTGCCTGTGAAGAGAGGTTGTCTTTAATTCTAAAAAGTAATTTTGGGGATCCCTGGGTGGCGGAGCGGTTTAGCGCCTGCCTTTGGCCCAGGGCACGATCCTGGAGACCCAGGATCGAATCCCACGTTGGGCTCCCGGTGCATGGAGCCTGCTTCTCCCTCTGCCTGTGTCTCTGCCTCTCTCTCTCTCTCTCTGTGTGTGTGTGTGCCTATCATAAATAAATAAAAATTTAAAAAATAAAAAAAATAAAAAGTAATTTTGTTTTGCCCTTTTAAGCTTTTATATATCTTTAGGCCGCAGGAAAAAAATTATGAAAAATGTAACCTCAATAAATACTTCAAGAGATCAACTTTTTCTTGAATTTTAAACTAGTGCCTTTTAAAATTTTCTATTATCAAAGCCATATGAAAGATCAAAAAGTTAATTAGAGATGTCTACAATCTCTGATGATAGATTTTCAAGCAGATGCCGAGCTATTATCTCTATTTTGGCAAACAAATATAGAAACTCTTAGGTTTGTATTGGTTTCTTTAGCATGAACCATAATGTTGGGTACTCAATAGATGTTCAAAAAATGGAAACACACTTTTAAGTTCTCATTATCAATCAGTAAAAAGAGAATCTTAACTGCCTTATTTTTGTAATATACTACTATGATCTGGAGGGAGTTTAGAAATGGGGGAATACTCTGAAGAAGTGGCTTTATGTTGTAAATATGATTAAGAACTCCAGAATACTGATATTGTGCTAATGATATTTCCTCTCAATCTTTTTTTAACATGTGTGTGTGTGTGTGTGTTTGAGAGAGGGAGTGTGTGTGTGGGGGGGGAGATAGCACAGAGCAGGTAGGAAGAGGGAGAAGCTAAGCAGGAAGCCTGACTTGAAGCTTGATGCCAGAACCCTGAGATCATGACTTGAGCCAAGGGCAGATCAAGCCAATCTAATTAACAGTAAGTACAAAAGTTAACAGTAACTATACTTTAATAATTTTAGTTTTTAATAAGTAAACAGTAATATAATTTACATGTAAATTTCTAGAAGAACCCAAAAAACAAAGGTATGCTTACCTGTGAGGGTCTTTGGAACTTGGTATAATATATACACATTCCCTCTTGGTCAAAGTGCTTTCTATCCAGGATTTCTGGGACTGAAACAAAAAGTTTTTAAAGATGGTTTATAAATTAACTCTCTAATAGTACAATGAAATAATTTAATTATAAGTACATAAAAGAAATAGCTCTATATTCTTTAATTTTTTTCCAATTTACTAAATATTTATCATGAATATACAGTAAAGATTTACTGAAGATAACACACCTAAAATATAACATTCTATTCAAGTCCATTCAAGTCCATTACATGTTGCTTCACGTAATGAGAGGAGGAAAATCAAGTTTGAGATTCCCAGAATGTGCCAAATACCTCAAGAAGGGCTGGTATGATTCTGGGAAGTGGATCATTTAAAAACCAATTACAAGTGATGTCAGATGTAACTAAAAAAATAAAACTTGCCTATATTTAATTTTTAAGATAAATGCATAAAGCATAAGGGCATGGATTGCTAATGGCGTATAAACAAAAAAAGGATACCAAGCAAACTTAATCAAAAGAAAAATAATAAAAAAAAGAAAAATACCAGGAAAAATACATACAAAACATCAGTGGGGATAGGACAGGTTATTACGTGATTACAAATGTTTGAATCACCAGATTGCTATAGCAATCTTAAATATGAATAACCAGTCTCAAAATACATAAAGTAAAAAATTAATAGAGCAAGACAAATCTAGGATCATAGTGGAAGACTAACATATTTTCCTCAATTATTGTAAATCTGAAATAATTTTAAAAATTTAAACAATGCCTTTAATTTTTTTATATCACTATTCAAGTTTCTGTCTGGATCCTTAGACTTATAGTCTCTGAATCCTCATCCTGCTACTGGTGACTGATTAAAAAGCAGCATTATGTACTGGAACAGATGAAACTCTATAAATTGTAATAGAGTAGATTAAAAACCATAGGACCATCCTCCATATAACTTAGCAATATTATCAGCATAGTCCAAAAAAGAAGAGCCTATGTTCTAAAAGGATCCTCTGAGAGAAGAGACAGTCTAGACAAAATTATGATGGGTGAAGTTTTGCAGGTTCCTCTCTCAAATCCTTCAGATACCCTAATAATAAACCTTAGTCTAACCTTCCAATGCTACTTCTGGTAAATTCTGTCAAAACTCTCCATTCAAAATGTCTATTTTCTTATTTAAAAAAAAAAAGTCCATTTCCTAGATCAAAAGTTCTTTATAAACAGACTCACTTAGATGGGAGCAAATTAAACCAAGATCCCCTAATTATAATTATTTTCTTTCTTTTTTAAAAAAAAGCACATTTTATTTATTTATTCATGAGAGACACAAACACAGAGAGGCAGAGAGACAGGCAGAGGGAGAAGCAGGCTCCATGCAGGGAGCCCAATGTGGGCTCATGCCCTGGGCCAAAGGCAGGCGCTAAACCACTGAGCCACCTGGGCTGCCCAAGATCCCCTAATTATAAAAATCACAAGATTACCACAAGAATTTAGGACCCTGAATCCGCAAAATACCCTACATTCTAAAGCTCACTTAGCATAATCCCTCCACTACCTTCTTATTCTAACTAAAGTCTGATATTCCTTTGAAAAATCTGCTTGGTGGGGGTGAGGGGGGGTAGGCAGGATTCTCTCTAGTTTTACCATACAGAAATTCATGTTTGCTTCTAGAATACACCTAGCAAACCCAACCTTAATTCAACTCAATTGCCCAACTGCTCCATAACTTACTTCCTGCTAATGTAAGTAGAAAAAACAGAACAATGCCCTCTAGTTTCACTTTAAAACCGTGACCACAAACCTCAAATGCTCCTTAATGATGCCTAACAATCACACTATATATTCCTAGTCCATTTTCTCATTCTCCTATATGATTTCACACTTCCCTCTCTCCTCAAACCTCCAAACCTCCTTCCCCATTCTCTCTTAATAGATACTTCCCATTTAACTGAGCAAATTTAAGCAACAAGAAGAGAACTTACACAAGCTTCTATTATATCCACCCATCAATAAGTATCTATACCCACATATCCTGCCTTCCTTCCTGTGACTACATGTACTTCTATTTAAGTCCAAACATTCCTCTTGTGCCTTAGATCCCATACACCTCACTAAGGGACATTCTCCACCAAATCCTTAATTTTTTTCATTCTTTATTAACTCAATCCCATCAGCATGCAACCTCATTTTAAAAAACAAAACACAACAAATCTTTGCTTGACTCCACATTTCCTTCAAGCTAATACTGCATGTTTCTGCCTCCATCTACAGAACAGGTTATTGGTAAAAGTTTTTCCCTTTACTTCTCCTCCCATGCTTTCTAAAACTCACTCCAGTCAGGCTTTCAAGCCAATCACTACCTTGAAATAAGTTTCAACAAGATCACCAATGACTTTCCCTAAATTCAAAGGTCAATTTTCAGGACTCCTCTTCATTGATATATCCAGCAGCATTCAACAGAGTTGATCACTCCCATTTTCTTAAAACATCTTCAATAGTTAAGTTTGGTCTTCTCTTCACTGGTCACTCCTTTATCTCCCTTGTTGATTCTTCCCCTCTTTTCCCCAATGTTTTCTTGTTTTGTTTCTTCAGAGATTTTATTTATTCATTTGACAGAGAGACAGAGTGCGCACAAGGGGTAGCTGCAGAGGGAGAGGGAAAAGTAGGAGCCCTCCCAATGTAGGGCTTCATCCCAAGACCCCGAGATCACGACCTGAGCTGAAGACAGACATTTAACCGATTGAGCCACCCACGCAGCCCTCTTCTTCCCAATCTTTGGGACTTCTTTTTTCCAATTATATGCATTCAGACTTTGGCCTTTTTTACCCCAATTGTATTCATTCTTTCAGTGCTCACACCCAGTTTTTCACAATACACTGGATGACTCCCAAATTTATATTTCCACACTAGATCCTTCCCTAAACTCCATGCTCTCCACTTTGCCTACTCAACAGCTTCATTTTGATGTCCAACAAGCATCATAAGCTTAAGATGGCCTAAAACTGAATTCACATTTCATCCACTCATTTCTTAGTTTTCCCCATCTCCGTAAATACCAACTGTATTCTTCCAGTTCTATTTTTTTAAGGCAAAAATCTTACCAACATTCTTAATTTCCTTTTTATCTACTTCATATATAGCCCCATGAGCAAAACCTGTCAGCTTGCCTTCAAAACACATCCAGAATCCAGCCACTTCTCACACCTCCACTGCTACTATTCTGATCCAAGCCATCATCGCCTCTTACCTGGCTTACCAGTATCCCCTCCTGTTACCTTTGTCACTTTACAGTCTATTCATCAAGAAGGATGAAGTAATATTTTTAAAATATCATCAGAGATGCTGGGATGGTGCAGTTGCTTAAGCATCCAACTCTTGGTTTTAGCTCAGATCATGATCTCAGGGTTGTAAGATCAAGCTCATCAGGCTCTGTGCTCAGGACAGTCTGTTAAGACTCTCTCCCCACCACTCTCTGCCCCTCCTCCACTCTCTCTCCAAAATAAATAAAATCTTTTAAAATATGTCATTTTGTCACTTCTCCACTCAGTACTCTCCAATACCTACACATTTTACCCAAGAGTTTTATAAAAGCCAAAGTCAATAACCTTTAAGGTCCTAGTGCTCTGCATCTCTGCATCCTGCCTCATTACATCGACTCTATGAGCTCCTTCAACTCTTTGAGCAAACGTCACCTTCTTAATGAAGCTTACACTATTTAAAAATGCAATTTCCACCATGACCCCTCACTCCTCTATAGAACCATAGAATAATAAAACCATCATCCCCAGGATCACATTTAGAGCACTGTCCTGAGAACCAAAAGATCTGGCCATGTCAATTAAATTGCTAGTATATTATTCCTATCCTAGGCCCTTCTCCCTCTCCACAACCATACACTGATGCTAAGGCACAGCACTTGTAACCTAAAAAGACAAGACATTTCCTATGACTTCTGCGTGTAACTTGAAAAAAATATCATTTGGTAGTGCTGCTCTGACACATGATGATGTGAGGCTGAATTTCTACCAAGACCAACATAACCTACTGCTCTGTTTGAAACTCATCAAATTTTCATTATGCTATTATTTAAAAACACAGAATTCAGGAGTAGTACTGAAATTATACTGATTTATTATTTTTTTTAAAGATTTATTTATTTATTCATTCAGAGAGAGCGAAGAGAGAGGCAGAGACACAGGCAGAGGGAGAAGCAGGCTCCATGCAGGAAGCCGGATGTGGGACTCGATCCTGGGTCTCCAGGATCACACCCCCGGCTGCAGGCGGCGCTAAACCGCTGCGCCACCGGGGCTGCCCTGTGATTTATTATTTAAACATTGCATCTCTTAGACAAATTGGAAACAGTTTGCAAAAAAAGAGGCAGGTTAATGACTGTACTTATTGCTATATGCTTACTGCTTGATCATTAATGTAATTCAGATACAGATAATATAGGAAAAGTTTGGTCATTTATTAAAAAGTTAAACATAAACTTACATATCATCCAACAATTCTACTCCAAAGTATCTTCCCAAGAAAAATGAAAACATGTCCACAAAAAGATTTGTATTTGAATGTTCAGAGAAGCAGTATTTGTTAACAGTCAACAAAATCAAATATCCATATAATGGTATACTACTTATAACAACAAGGGGGACAAGCTAAGGATAACATGCAACATTGCTACACCTCAAAACATTTAAGTAAAAAAAAAGCCAGGCACATAAGATTACGTAATTGCATTTACATGAAATTTCTAGAAAGACAAAACCACATAGTAAGTTTAGTAAATGCCTAGAGCTAAAGTAAGTGATAAACTTAAACAAATATAATGGAACTTTGTGAGAGGGCAGAAATGTTCTAAAACTGTATTGTGGTGGTTATAAAAATAAATAAATTTATTAAAGACTATCAAGGGATGCCTGGGTGACCCAGTCGGTTAAGTGTCTGCCTTTGGCTCAGGTCATGATCCCAGGGTCCTAGTACCCAGCGCCACACTGGGCTCCCTCTGCTCAGTGGGGGAATCTGCTTCTCTCTCTCCCTCTGCTCCCCCACCAACTCACC